AAGTTAATGCAGATGTGGTTCTCTGGCTCTTTGTCGGCCAGAGAACGAATAAAAAGTTTATTGAGTGAGTAGGCTCGATGAATGCCTACTCATTGCAAATATACGTTATTTTTTTTCATATGAGAAAATAGTTTTCCATTTTTATGATACCATATACTCTATTTCATCATAACTAGTCTATTTTTCTTATTAAAACCTAATTTTTCCGTGTGATTCGGAATCTCCGCATTCAAAAAATGCGTTTTCCGCTTTCAGAACGTGAAAACATGCACTATATGATGAGATAAAGAAGATTCTTTCTTCCCAAAATTCCAAAAAAAAATCGTTTTTCTTTTTTTCTCCGCGAAAAATGTGCTTTTGGATTTCGAAATTTTCGAAATGCGATTTTTTTGGAAATTTTTGTGAAATTTTAATACGGTATATATGATTAATTTTAGACATTCTTTTATGGTGTTGACTTAATTTTAAGTTTTGAAGAAATTTGAATATTTATCGAAATTAGAAATCCAAGAAAATCTCTTGTATTCTTTGGAAATAGATAATTTATTGTGTAACAAAGCATATGGTATCATAAAAATGGAAAACTAAGGTAGTCACAAAATCTAAGTAGAAGGGCTTTGAAATATTGAGGGGATTTGAAATTTTGGCTCTCAAAATTTACCCTTCCTCACTACTCGAATTCCGAGCCTCTCAATGAGTTTCCTCTCAATTTTGAACGGTTTATATTGACTTTTGAATACCTTTATTGAGAACAAAAAAATAAATATATTAATAATCGTATAATATTGGCATTTTTCATAAAATGAAGGCCTAAAAAAGGGGGCCATTCAAAAAATGAATTGTTTTGGGGAGTAGTAGATCTAGTATCTGTATAACAAATCATAAAGATTGGCCATAAAAATTAGGCCTAATCTCTTTTTGGTAAAATTTTGGAAATTGATCTCTCTTCATATTAGTCCGTGGTGAGGTACATATAACAAGATCATGGAATAAATGTTTTTGACATATTCACTTTTTATCATAATAGCCGAAATTAAGTATATTGTTGATAATTTTTTGTTTTGTACCTTATTTTAGGGACATTACTATTTATTCATCTTTGTATCATTTTTCTGGAGCTAGTATTGAAAAACATGCAATGAAATCCATGTTTTCATTTGAAATCTGATAAAGTTAAACGTGCATATAAGTTTCTCGCTGATATCACTCGATTGTAAATTAATGTATATGTAATTCAATTAATTAAGAAAAATTTCGGATTGTCCAAATTGAAGGATATAATTTTTTTTCTTTAGCCTATTAATCAATGCATTATATTGTATTCATTGTCTAATAAGTAGTTACACCTAATATTAGGATATAACACTCTTGCTGCTTACAGATACAAATTTTGATATGAGTATTTTGTTTAAAGCTATTATGCTTATAGTGATCACTTATTGAACATGTTGTATAACGTATCTATATTACTATTATTGTATTTCATGCATCTTTTTTCATGAATAAAATTTTATTGAAAAAATTCCAACTTTTCATTAATCTTGTTGCATGCTAAGTAATGTCAATGTGTAAACCTCTCAATTTTATCGTCGGGGAAGCAACACAATTCCCTCAAAAATATTGAAAAAATATAGAAAATAAAATGAATTAAGATGTGCTTAAAATGATAAATAGATTATGATATTAGATTTTAGAAAAAACAGACTTTTGATATAACTTTTGAGAATCTCATATAAAAAAAAGCATTTAAAAATAAATTTAAATATCTTATTTATTTTACTATTGTAAATATATTCTGAGATTTTTAGAAAAAAACACTTTTTATAAGTATTCAATATTAGAGAATACGGTCCAAAAAAAATAGATTCTCTTATATTTGCTTATATAAAAGGAAACTCTCTATCAGATGCGAATGCATGAATTCAGCACCTCTGATAGAGAGTTTCCTCTTATATAAGCGGATCTTTTTCATGAGTTATTGTTAATATAAAAACATAAAAAGCTACCAATATGAGAAATTAAACCCTGCGAGGTGCCAGTCTAGAACTGGCACCTCGCAGGGTTTAATTTCTCTTGACAAATGACAAAACTTGTTCGCAATTGTGAACCATTGCGAGGAAGTTTGCCAGATATCTGGAAGAATTGCTCCTTATGATATATGCATTGTAACTGTATATATCATAAAGAGCAATTCCTTCAATTAAACGCAAAAACTTTGGTGCAATCGTTGCTGATTGCACCAAAGTTTTCGAACTTTCCCGAGGGAATTGGAGGGTGAGAGATACATAGTCTATCTATGTACCTCTCACCCTCCAAATCCCACTCTAAATGGGAGAAACTTTGTTCGCATGTTATTTTATTCAAACAAAGTTTCTCCATTTAGAGAAGGAATAGGGCCTACCAGGCACTGATATATAATCAGTGCTTTGTAGGCTCCTATTCCTAATAAAAATTTGAAAACTTTGGAGCATTTGATTATTGTATTTTGTCAAGAGAAATTCAACCCTGTGAAGTGCCAGTTCTAGACTGGTGCTCGCAGGGTTTAATTTTTCATAAGTAGATTTTGATGTTTTATATTAACAAAAACGAATGAAAAAGATTTGCTTATATAAGAGGAAACTCTCAATCAGAGGTGCTAATTCAGGCATTCACATCTGATAGAGAGTCTCCTTTTATATAAGCGAATATAAAAGAATCTATTTTTTTGGAGCGTATTTCAAATATTGAATATTTATGAAAAGTGTTTTTCCTAAAAATTTAATATAATGCTTACAAAATATATAAAATTAAAATATCTATAATTATTTTCTATATCACACTTTTCATTACACCTTGAAAAGTCTTCTCAAACTCTATTTTTAATTATTTTTTAGATATATCTCAAGTGTGATTATTCAAAAACTCATATAGACTATATTTATTTTTTCATTCAAAAAATTATATGAGAATCTCAAATTAACTTTCAAATTTTTTATTTTAAAAACATATTAATAATCATATTGTAAGATACTTTTTCGCCCAAAAAATAATTGTACTTCCTCGACGATTAATAGGATCTCAATTTCTATCGTTGACACTACTTAGCATGCAACAATATATTTGTTTGTGCTTTTAAATTTCTTAAGCTTTCAAAATTTAAGAGAATTGATAACTTCATACAATATGATTATAATTATATGCTAATTAATAATTCTCAAAATGAAAAACAGTCTTCTCAAAACTAAATTCAATGTCTTTCAATCGAGATTTTGAGGCAACTTTATTTTCTCATATGAAAAAAATAACGTATATTTGCAATGAGTAGGCATTCATCGAGCCTACTCACTCAATAAACTTTTTATTCGTTCTCTGGCCGACAAAGAGCCAGAGAACCACATCTGCATTAACTTATGCTGAAGTTATCTGGATTTCCTCTCTCATTTGAGAGACATCCAGATAACTTCAGCATAAACGAATTACAGACATATTCTCTCGCTCTTTGCTGACAGAGTACAACAACTACATTACACTAGGACAAAGTTTTTCTGAAGTCTCTCATTTGATGAGAGACTTCAAAAAAACTATGTCCTAGTCGAATAAATTTACATTCTCTGACACACAAATTGTTAGAGATCACAAGTATACTATCTTAAGGCAGAGTTCTTCCGAGGCCTCTCATCAAATGAGAGACTTCGGAAAAATTCTGCCTTATTAGATCAACTACATAATCCCTGGCTCTTTGAAAACGAGGGAACAGTAATTAAGTAGTTTAAGGCAAGGTTCTTCCGAGATCTTTCGATGGAATGAATGAGATCTCGGAAGAACCTTGCCCTGCTCGAGTAATTACAGAATCCTTAGTCCTTTGGGGACCAGAAGGCGGTAGTACAAATGCATGAGGGCAATAACGGATAACTAATATCCTTAGAAGCGCAATACCTACACAGCCTAGCTACTATATCCTAGCAGCTAGACTGCACAGGTATTGCGCTTCTGGCTTGCGGAACTCTCATGGAAGACCCATTGGAGATCTCCCGCCGAAATCACTTGCTGATGTGGATGGAGCAGCACTAAGATTGGCCAGATCAAAGGCTGCGTAGCATCCCAGCAAGTGGATAGCCGGCGGCGACACCAGCTGTGGTCCACTATGAGATTATGACACTTTTGCGATTTGGCGCCAAACTTTTTTTTTGGGGGTCGTTGGCAAATAACTGGCAAATATACCGCTTTACATATGTAAACTTTGTAAAGTTAAAATGTCATTTTTTGTGATTTATCCCTGACTCGAAAAAAATCGAAAAATGCAAATCATCTCAAAACTTGCCCATTTCAAGGTTTTCCTTTAATTCGAAATAGCATGATGCTAATGTATCATACCAAAAGGTGTGTATATTGATGAGAATTGAAAAATATCAATCTGATGAATAGCAAATTAGCATTTATAATTGAGGCGAAAACGATAAATCTCATTTTGCCTCTCAATTTTTCTGAGTCTCTCAATTTTTGCAGTGGTCCCTTAAACGTCAAAAGAAAAAGAAAAAGAAAACAAAAATAAAAATAAAACAAATCCCAGTCATAGAATAGCTATTGGCGTTAATACATTTCGAAATAACTCAAATCTTAAATCCATATATGTGTTCATAATTCTACCACTCTACTTGCTTTATATCGTTTTGCTTGAAAACCAAATTTGCAAAGCGTGAGATTTGAAGAAATATATAATACATCTTTGGAATTTGATGGTAGAGTTTTCTATAAATCACAATAACTCCTTGAAATATTTTTGTCAGCTTAATCTCTTAAACCGATGGTTGCGATAAACTATCAGCAAAGAAAGAGTGAATTTGCATTCCAAGTTCACTTCTTTCTTCATTTTGATGTAAGTTTCAATAGTCGTGTAAACTTCATTACCAAGTTCTGAAACAGTTCTTGTTTAATAAAACAAAATTATGATCGGCACATTAATAAAAAGAATTGTATTCGCTAAATAACCCTAGTATTTATAATACAACAAAAAAAATATATCAAACAGAAAATTGAGAAGGACGCAATGCAGCTAGCTCTAGCTCTAGCAATGATTTGCTCTTTTTATTGGTTTCTGAAGGCTTTGGTAAGTTAATATCCGCTGTATGAGTAATATTTAATACGAAATTGTCATTTATTTGCTGTTCAAGTATGGTTCTTGCCTGATCTATCTTGCCTGATAGAATAGTGGCAAGAGCAGCGAGATCCTTTGATTGATAACGAATTTCGGGAATAGAAATCAAAGGAGTTGAAATAACAAGAGATTGTTCAGCTCTATTCTGGCAAACTAAACAATATGATCTAGCAAGTCGTGATAAAGCTATAAAATCGTGATTTTCTGTATTACTCTCGCAGCGAATGGAAGAACTGTAGGAAGCTTGATAATCTTTCAAATTTAGTTTAGTGCATCCATCAATGTAAAGGATTGTAACTAAATTTGTTCGATAATCTTGAGTAATGGAAAAATCTTTAGTATTGATAAGAAATTCGCATAATTGTAAGCAACTCTCGTAATCTTTCTTTGCATAATAATGATATATGGCATTTGTAATTTGAATAAATTGATCATTGATATATTTTTTCAATAAATTTGCATCATTTTGAGATTTAATATTATTGATGCATTCATGTATCATAATAATTGATTCCTTTGGTGGTATGTTCCCTAAAGATTGCGCAGAAACGGCTCTAAACATAAATCATTTTGTTTTACGATCGTTTTCAATTCAATTCATGTGATGTCACTTTTCCGGATTTTGGCCACTTGTTTGTTATAAATGTTACTTTCTCTGTTTATCTACTTTTTTATAGCATTCATACCATATCTTGCATCATACATCGGCTTGGGTATTGCTTGGCTTGATATCCAAAAGTACTTCCAGCGCTCAATTTTATTCTTCGTCGGATTTGGTGCTATTAAGATTTTCTACTTAGCTGCATTATCACCAATTGTTGAAGGACATGTTATACAATCATTCATTGTTAATATGCTTATCACATCGTTCGAGTTTATCGCTTTTTACAAAGCTTTATGCACAAAAAGCTTCAAAGGCTCAAGGGTCATTACATACTTCTGGGCACTCTTCACAGTGATTACTAACACATTTTTCACAATTTTATCAAATTTTCGCTCATACGAAATAGAAATTAACCATATTATCTATGCTTTTGCTGCTTCCCAATATCTTTTCCAGTGGGGTGCTGCTCGCAATATAGCATTAGGAATGGATAATAGATACGGATTTTTCAAATCAAAAATCCCTGTTTTTCGCCAAATTTTCATTTTATTATTGGGTCTTCCAAACGCCTTCGGATCACTTGAAGGAATTTCATGCTTACCATCGTTTATACCAAATGTCCTCCGCATTGCATCAGCCGTTTTGTTATATCTTTTCTCTTCTTTATTACCAAGATATAAGGCCGAAAAGAAGCATTAAACAGAGAATAAAATCTTTTATATAATTACGTTTACTTATGACCCTTTATTGCACAGCCCAAAATTCTTAATAAAAAATATGAATAATAGAATTTTATTTGTCTTATTTCAATTTTTCGGTTTTTCCGTTGTGACTGTTCGATCTAAGATTATTTCTGACACTATCATTGATTACAAACTATTTTCAAATTATACCAGTGAATTTAATAACTTCTAATGTTGCATCCTCTCTTTATAAATGATTAAACATAATGATTATCAGGCGTCTTTTTATCAACGATACCATATTTCAGGTATGTAACAATATCTTTGGAAATATTAGCTATATTGAAAAACAAAAGAGTGCAAGATGAATTGCTAATACATTGAGTACGCATATTTAAAGCAAAATGAATGTGATAAAAGATCACATGAAAATACAATGAAAATAGAGTTGGGATCTTAGAATTAAATTCATTATCCTGAGTACATATCTGATATCTTATTATCTTTGAAAATCATGAAAAATAATTGCATTAGAATTGCATTGAAGAATAAATAATGTGAAAATTTAGCATAACTAATTCTGTTGAATAATATTTTCTTTGTTTTATTGTTTTTTTATATTATTTTGTTTTTTAGTTGTCACTTTTTCTATCAAATGAGTTCTTTAGGTCCACTCCAACTCCTTCGTAAATGGATTGAAGAGCACAAAACCATTGATGACTCCGACCCTGGATTTATAAGTGTCGATGGAGAAAAGATTGATTTAGAATCGGAAGCTAATTATACTCCAAAGAAAGGCTCGAAGTTATCAATGCGAACAGTTTATCTCTCATTAACCACGGATCGTTTCGTGGACTATGTTAAGCAATGCCAAGCTGCTAAAATTAACTTTATGAATTTCCCCGATTATAAAGCTATTACAAGCTACTTACATTCCAAATCTGATGTCCTCGAAGGCCTTATTACCGATAACAAGGAAGAAGAGGCTCAGCCAGCAGAAGAACAACAAGTTCCTGTTGCTCCAGTTGTTGAGACTCAAGTTCCTCAGCCAGTTCAACAAGAAGTTAGGCCAGAACCTGTTGTTGTTGAATCTTCTCAAACAAATAAGATTCATGATGACTTCCAAAAGAGAGCTTCTGAAAAAACTGGCGAACAAGTCGAATACGACATTTTAAGACCAATTGATTCAGTTTTACTTAACGAAAAAGACTTCTCAGAAATGATTACTCATACAAATTCAATCGTAAACTATCAGCAGCAGAACCGAGATAATCAATACGATTCTTCAGCTTCTTCTCTTATTGATGCAAACCAATCAAGAATTTTCAAGAAGCCAATCATATTGGTACCAAAGACAAGCCAATGCGCTCTCAACAATACGAATATCAAGCAATTTTTGGTAGAAAACATTTGGAGCGAACCAGATGAAGGAGGCGAAAACCACTTCGTTATTAATCACCCCCATACTGTTACTGGTAAGATTATTGACTTCGATGTCGTTGCAGATCCAAAGTTATTGAAATTAGAAGATTGGAAGTACGTTGTTGCTATTTTCATCAGTGGTTTCAAGTGGGAACTCAACGATTTCCATGCAGATGATGATAACAGACAACACGACGTCAGTAAATTGTTCCAAAGATATCTCGGCATTTACGTTTGTTTCGATAACGATCAGAACTACTCTACAGTTCAGAACTGGAAAGTTAAGATTTACCAGATCTCTCACGCCCAGAGTTTCCTTCAATCTCAGGTTGCAAACAAGATTTGGCAGGAAATTGAAAATAACTATCGTAAGATCTATCACAAACAGTAAGGATTATCAATTTTGTGGATTATTAATAAAATATAAGAATTATATGAATGATTTTAAATTTTTTTGAAGTTTTTGACTGAATTATCGCTGTATATGGTAGATCTTGATATGATAGACCGGCTTCAAATTCCAAATTTTTTTCAAAATTCAAAAAATGACTATCAAAATCTAAGAATTGAAAAATAAATTTTGATTTTTGGAATTTTTTTGGAAAAAATTTAAATTTAAAATAAAATTTTCTGCTTTAATATTGAATTCCATAAAATTCTAAATAATAGATTTTCATATAATTTAACAATTAAATCTATTTATTTAGTCAAAGATGAATTTTGATCCATTTTTATGAATCAATATTCTAATAAAGAAGGGTTACACTTATACAATGATTAGTTATTGCAAGCACACGAAAAATAAGCATATCAAGGGATTGATACTTCTCAATAATTCACAATCTTTAATCTTCCAAAATTTTTTAAATGTTAAGGTAATTTACTGAATGATATATGCATTAAAAAGGCCTTTTGATTTATCTAAAATGTAGATAATTAAAGAAATAAGATTAATATCACAAAATATCTTTATTTAACAAAATTTATATAATAGTGAAATCACTACAGTCAATAATAGAACCGAATTAATTAGAATTCTATCTTCTTAATCTTCTCAATTGCCTTCAAAACAGATGGATCTTTTTCATCAGGAGAATCCTCAATTTTAGCAATCATATCATGTATTAGCTTTCCAATCAACTCAATGTAAGCTGCCTGCTGTCTTGAATCCTTTTGAGCTGAAATTAAAAGACAATAAGGAACAATGTGGCCCAAAAGCTTGGAAATAGCACCAATCCCTAATACGTTGATGCCAGCCAATGCTCCGTAATGAGCGGCCAAAGTAGAATTTGCATTAAAGAGTATTTTAACGAGATAATTAAAGACTGCAACCCTCATCTCTGTATAACCTGATTCGCATCGTTCGATAACTCTTTTGAGCAAATAAGCGCTTTCAGAACGAATTTTTGCATCTTCTTCTGCAATCATTGAAGAAGAATCAGGAGTAACGAGTATTGATAACGCTATACGAATAAGTGCATGAGCAAACAGCGAAATTGATAAAAATTCGTTATCCAATAGGGCACAAGCAACACTGATGACAATATCAACAAATACAGGTTCATTGTAGTGAGTAGCAAGTTCGTTAATAATAAATTGAAGCAAATATGGTATTAATGGCTGTAATGTTGGTTCTTTTCGAATATGATCCAAAATTTTAAGCCGAGAATTAGTAGTATCATCACGGAGTTGGTTAATGATTCTAACATATTCAGCCAAATGGCGCGAAGAGACGACATCTGCGACATATTGACGAGTAGAATAAGTTCTTGAAGTTGTATCAACAGAAGAAGGTCGTAAAATGTCAAATGACTCAGATCTTGAGATATCATTACTTCTATCTGCCGAGTGATCAGCAACAACTCGTTCAGGTGGAACTCCACCAACTAAAAACCACTGATAACCATATGGAAACATGCGAGGAATTGTTGCAGGCTTACTATCCATTGCATTTGTGAGCTTTTCGATCGGATCTTTTACAATGAAAATTTCTGATTGTTCGAATCCAACTGAAGATAATAGAAAAGATGGAGAATTATTATATCCGAGTAATGGTTTCTCATGTGTTGATTCAAGGATTGTATTTAAATGCTTTGGCATTAATTTTTCAGCCCTTGAATTTCTATATAAAATTGAAGCTTTTCTTAAAATGTTCTTTACATAACTTTCTGCATCATCAGCGACAATCTGTAACAAATTGTGCTTCACTGGAATTCCAAGAGCATCAAAATTGACTTGGGCGCCAGTGAGAGCTGCACTCATTTTATCTGAGCCTTATGTTTAATTTGTTTTCCGCGTGTTATATAAAAATTGAATTAAAATATTCATGTTTACGGAAACATTTTTGAATATTTTACAACTTATTCCTTATTGATAAATAATGGGTGAGGAGAAATGGCCTTTCGAAATACATTATAATACATCCATTCATCACTGATATCAAAAAAAATAAGAAATATTTTTGATTTTTGATTGGTAATTATGATCTATTTGCCGACAAAATCTTCATGCTATGTTTCTTCTTCGCCTTATCTATCCTTTATTGGAAGGAAACCGAATATAAAAATATAGAAAAGATCTGAAATTGGAGTTGACAGATCAATTTGATGATCATGAACTTTCACTAGTCGATACATATGAAAGCAACACAAATGAAATAGTATTTGTCGTTGATATTGAAAACGATATAAAATTATAAAAGAAAATCATATAAAAAGAGATGAAAAAGAGTATTAATTTCTCATAAACCCATGAAAATTTGTAATTTTATTTCATATATATCTAAATATATGGACAGAACACAAATTTTCCCTTTCATCATGTTATCAATAAGGATAGGAGAAGATTGAGCATCCCGAATTCATGGAAACATCATTTAGAAAACAGAAACGAAGGGAACGTCACATCCATTTTCTTGGAATGATGATGTGAAACCGAAAGGTTGGCGCATTTCGGGGGCATCATATAAAGAATTTTCATCAGCAGAAGTAAAATGTGGGGTCGGTAATGAAGCAGAGACGTTGAATGGTGCTTTGGGTCTTTGGAGCCAGGAATGAATTTCAGAAGGATCTTGATTGAAGACACCAAGATATGTATCTGAAGAAGAATTGGAAGATTCTACATCATTTTCATCAAAAGCAAACCAGACAGAGTCCATTCCACCGACCTGGTCCAAGCCCTTTCAATTTCTTTAAGAAATTATTTCGGTTTGACACCAAATTTTTATTAGTAAATGTTATTCAACGCATATTGATGAGCAAAATTATCTAAAAATTTTGTACGTTAAATGGAAAAATAGAAAAGCATTACATTTTTGAATTATAAATTTTTGTTAGAAATTTTCGGTTATTTTTGAATAAGATCAGAAATAATTTTACAACCATCTGAACAAATTCTATCGAATCTAATTCCAGATTTTACTGATAATTCTGATTTTTAATATTTTGTGCATTTTCAAAGAAATTTTTAGAATTTTTAAAATTTTCACCGTTTATTTATTCTTCCATTAATCAATTCATATTCACAACAAGTATTACATTTATTATTCATCAATTTTCCTGCGTTTTCTCAAAAAATCCGGAAAAAAAATCTTTTTGCCATTTTATCTCATGTAATTTCAATGGTTATTGTTGTAAACAGAAATTCATCAAAAGTGACACCTCAGAAAAGCTAAAATATTGAATTTTTGGAACTTTTGATAGAGCACGTTTTTAAATATTAATTAAAGTAAATGCATATTTTGTAAAGATTCTTTTTAATAAAAAATAAAATTTTGAAGAAGAACACAAAATCTTCTGAAAAATAATATCACATAAACTCATATTATTTTCTAATATATAACTATTTTATATAAAAATCAAATTCAATGATCTTAAAAGCGAAGGATAAACCTCAAAATTTACGAATATAATGAGTGGGAATATAATGCTTATCTATCATAAAACCATATGAAATATTCCCACTCATTATATTCGTAAATTTTGAGGTTTATCCTTCGCTTTTAAGATCATTGAATTTGATTTTATATAAAATAGTTATATATTAGAAAATAATATGAGTTTATGTGATATTATTTTTCAGAAGATTTCATTCTATATGCCTATGAAAAGTACTCTCAAAACTAACTTTTTCCTAATTATAATTAAATCTAGAATATTGTATTATGCTTAGTATTATTTCATTTTTCTCATTCAATTTAGAATTTACAAATGTCAAAAAATTGAGAGCTGTCACTTTTGATGAATTTCTGTTTATTACAATCTCATGTAATTTCAATGGTTATTAGCTTCCATTTCCCAACTTAAACATATTTTTTCTTTTCCATTACCAAAAAACAATACCATAAAATCCAATCTGCCGACTTCCGAACCAATCCTAAAATTCTCTTCCTAATTTAATACACTAGCGCCAAAAAGTAAATTTTTACATTCATTGTTTAAAATCTGTTAGAAATTTTCGATATTCAAAATTTTTTTATGAAAATTTTAGGAATAAAAGACTGAATGTTGTAATATCATACACTTATTAATACATACAATCATTATTCTCGATAAACAATAGCTGAATATCGTTAATAAGATAAAATGCATATTTAATTTTATTTGAATATTTTAGTAATAGATAAAAAGTAATTATACAATGGTTACTGTCCAGATCCAGCCATAAGCATCTCAGCTTCGTCGTCTTCATCAACTGGTTTTTGCTTATCGAGGCTTCTCTTCTTCCAGATGAGGATGCAAACAGTAACAATAACGGCAAGGGCCATAAAGCCAAGGATCAAGCCCTGGGACTTAAGAGGTGGTCTTTCCCATTTATAAGTTGAATGGAACCAGCAACCCTCTGTAGAAACTGCTGTAAGTGCAAGTGGCTTAGCATCTGTAGCAGCGAAGGTAACATTATCATCAACAACTGTAACATTTGTGATCTTGTCCTTAGCAAAATCGAAAACAGAGTTGCTAATGTAGACAGTAACATTGTCGCCGGTTGAGAATGAATCAAATGTCGATTTAACGATGATAGAGTTGTTAATAGTAATAGAAAAGCCATTAATGTTGAATAAGTAGCCGAGATCTGATCCGCTATTAGAGATTGAGCAGTTATTGAAGTTGACATATGAAATATACATTTGCCTGTTCATTTTATGGAACTTGAACATTGCCTTATACTCTGCACCGTCAACAACAGCGTTTTCGTAGTTTGTAAAATTGCAAACGAAGTTCTGTGTTGGGATGAAGCGAACGATTTGGCTGAGTTTGACGTTGGACATGTTAGATCCAAGGATAAGAATATCACGAGCATAGACATCAACAACGCGAGCAGGGTTAGTAGCATCTGGAATAATATCATTCATCTGACATAATTTCATTGAAAACTGGTAGTTAGTTTCTGGGTTCATAACAGCGCATCCTTTCTTTGCAGAACAGCTCCTGAAGCAATCACCAGTGAAGTTTGTAGCGTTGGCAATGCAATAGACAGCACCGCCAATGTAGTCAGGGTTTGTAAAGCAATTATCGAAAGCTGTAAAATTGCAATAGAAAATGCCGCCGATGATGACAAAGACAGCGCCACCATCATATGCTGTTGTGCAGTTCTTGAATATCATTTCCTGGCAAGCAACATCTTCTACGTTGCGTCCCATGTTTAAGTTTGTAACTGCATTTTCGACAACTTCACGGTAAGTAATAGCTGTAGAGTCTACGCGAAGAACACTCTGCAAAAAGTTTGTTGCACGTGATGATTTAAGAAGAATATGAGTATTTTTTGAAAAAGATTGTACTAATGGAGCTGTGAATTTGTTAAAATGGCAATTCTTGACTTGTAACTTTGTGAATGCATTATTCATTGTAAGTTGAAAATAAGGGGATCTTGAAATATGTGATGTTATTAAGGCTGTTACTGTTAGGTTTGCTGATACTCGCATACAATAGAAAAACCGCTTTTATTTATTTAAGGGTGCACACGAGAGGATCATGTAAACTTCAGAATTTAGAACCTTATTTTTAGGCATTATCTTGGCTACCTATTTAGGCTCGAAAAGCAAAAAATATCAAAAAATACAACTTGACTCCATTATGACCCTTTCATGGAGGTAGTTTTTATCCGCTAGTATTTTCCCTTTGAATCTCTTTACAATTCGAAATCAAATTCAAAACTCAGTAGAAGAAAGGAAGAATCGACTTACTACGGTTGTAATACGAATAGATACATATATTTAATTATTTTTATTTACATAATAATTGTTTGAAGCTCATATTCCATCAAATTTTTAAATAAAAACATTCAAATGTTGAAAATGTTCATATATTTTAATAGGGTTTTGGCACTTTATTGAGGAATTACTACATACATAGTCGAACTGAACTTGATATTTTGAAATTTAAATTATTTATCAAAATTAAAATTTAACTTGAAATTTATAATTATTTAGTCATATTTTGCATAATTCTAAGTAGATTTTGTAAAAAATCAAGAAAGAAAAATTTTAACGTGCTTTATTTTTTCTTTTTTATAATAATACATATTATTATATAATTAACATATTCATAATGTTTCACCCTTTCAAAAATATAATCCTCCTCTCAAATAAACGTACATACGGGTGGCCTCTTTTTTCAAAAAATTAAAATTTGAAATTTTGGGCTCAAATATTAGAGATTTTTTCAACCTTCAACGATATATGTTGTCTATATCAGACCTCCTTTCTTTTTGATACTTAACATTGTTCCTAAATCTTAGCCGTTAAGGCTGTTCTGAAAATATTTTTTTTTCGAAAAAATTCAAAAAAAATTCTTAAAATTCAAAAATCCCTTAATTCCTGAGGATTTTGGAAAAAAGTTTTTACATGAACATGTGTATATTATATGAAGTATATTGATAAGGTAAAAATCAAATTTTATTGCATATTCATCGAGAAAATAAACTAACGAATCCTTCAAAATTGAGAGGGTAATCCTCCTCCTCTCAAATAAACGTACATACGGGTGCACCCTTAAAATAATTGAATGAAATTATCAATCGTTATTGGCGTGAAGCATCATTAAGAATTTTATTTCTACGGGCGTGCAGAGTTTCGCATTTATGTAAAATTCAAAATTCCCTGCATGAAGTTCTCGAATATCTATAATACTATCACAAAGAAAGCTCTAGAATACATTTTAGGGAATACTTGCATGATTGAATATACGTTTTAGTTAAAAACATTATGTTTTTATTGAGAAAAGAAATATTTATTTCATAAGCTGTTTAACATCGTTTGTAAGTGCGTCGAGTTGGTTCTTGAGGGAGACATTCTGGTTCTTTAAGAACTCGACCTTGGCCTTGAGGTCCTTGATTTCCGCTTGCATTGCTGCGATTTTATCTTCATCATCCTTTGAAATTTCCTGGGAAGATGTCTTTGCGACAGTCTTCTTCTCCGGCTGAGCAGCTGCTTGTGCCTGTTGTTCCTTTGGAGCTGCTGTATTTTCTGTCTTTGTAATTGTGAATTTGCCAACTCTCGAAACTGTCTTAGCGCCTTCTCCGCCCTGTGGCTGCTGTGCCGGCTGAGCCTGTGGTTGTGCGGCTGGTGCTGCAGCGGATGGCTGTGGAGCAGGGGCAGCCGCAGGTGTCACTTTTTTAGGAACTGGTGAAGGAACTTCTACCGGAGTTTGAGGGTCTTCTGTTGGGAATTCCCATGTAAAGATCTCTTGTGGCTTTGGCGATTGCTGCTCCTGCTGGGAGTTGTGGATCGCCTGGAAGCGAGTTGCGAGAGGAGGAAGAGATTCAACGAGTTTCTTCGTGAGTCCCTTGATATCCTTGGCCTGCTTGAAGAACTTGTGCTCAAGAAGTTGATGAGCAGTAGGTCTCTTGGCTGGGCTCTGTACAAGGCATGATTTGATGAAATCACGGAAGGCGGAACTGAATTTGGCGTCTTCTGGAAGCTGTGGTGGTGGTGAGTTGACGATCTTGACAATAACTTCAAGTGGGAAGAGGTTTGCGTATGGAGCTGCTCCAATTGCGAGTTCAATCGCTGTAATACCAAGGCTCCAGATATCGGCCTTCTCTGTATAGCCTTCTTCCTCCTTCAATACTTCAGGAGCCATGTAGCAAGGTGTACCAATAACTGTAAATCTTGCGCGTTTTCTTTGACCTCCTTCAAGAAGGTTGGCTGAAATACCGAAATCGCCAATCTTAACATCACCATGCTCGTTGATAAGGATGTTACCGGCCTTGATATCTCTGTGAATTTGACGATTATCATGGAAATAGCAAAGGGCTTGTAAAACTTCATGAAGGATGGCAGCAATAATTGCTTCGTCTTGAATTCCTTTCTTATTTGAGTATCTCATGATTTCATAGCAGGAGCCAGCTGACATGTACTCCATAACTATGTAAAGAACGGATCCTTCAACAAAAGATCCATGGTATTTGACGACATTTGGACTCTGTGATGTGCTCCAGAATGCAACTTCATGACGAAGGTTTTCTATTTCGATTGGGCATGTTTCGAGGTCAATTGTCTTAAGGGCGACCGTACGTCCATTGGCAAGGCATTCAGCAACATAAACTACAGCTGTAACACCTTTACCAACTTGATTTAAAATCTTATATTGCGACTTCTCCAGAGGAAAGGTCATTTTTTAAAAATATAAAAGTGACAATAATTTTATCCAAAATTTTTAGTATGATGCATCATTTAATAACTAAACCCAAGGAGTATCATATATTTCGATTCAAAATATTGACTACTCAGATTTCCAACAAAATTTTTTTTTTGATAACAATCAGACGCCGAAATATCAATATCTTGTACAGTCTTTGGTCTTTGGCCGATGACTCTTATCAATATATCTAATGAACTGTTCTAGAATCTACTACTGAATTCATGTATCATACATACCAGTTGTCAAATATACCTGCAATAACAGTTATCATAAGGGTTAACCATTTTCTAAAACTTGCTAGCATACATATTAAACAATTCTAAAACGTGTCTATATATCCTCTATTAACAGTATAGTGGAATACTCTGTATATTATTTATTTAATGAATCTTGTTTAGAAATTATAAATCTTTAAAGGATTAAAGAGTTATCTATTTTGCGCAATCATCTCTTTATCTATACGCCTCTCATTCAATAAGATCTCAAACTTCATTTTTTATTTAAAGTACCAGTAGGTTTATTTGATATTACTTTAGCTCCATATCTTCAGGGTCATCAAATTTCTTCTACCAGTCTATATATAATCCTTGAGATTTTTTCATTTGAATTTTTCCTTTGCATTTACATTAAAATATTCATAGATATACTTTGCAATACCATCAGATATTCAAATTGTCACAAATATTCTTATCAATAAGATGTATAAAGTAATCAAAATTAAAATCATAAAAAAACAAACATTTTATTTATTTAAACCCTTATCCGGCTTAATTATCTTTGGACTATTAACTGACTTCTGTGATCTCCTTGATGATTTGGATGATCTGTTAGATTTTTCAGGAGGTTTTCCAGACATTATCTGATCTGGAGGTGTGGGTTGGACAGGAATATCTAAATAAGTCGTTGGCTTCTTATCGTAAGGAAATTCAGGGATTTCATAATACTGGAACTCATCTTTGTTATTCATAGCTTCTTTTATCTCATTAATCATCTCTTCAACCTTCAGATATTCTTCTTCAAGAGCATTAACCTCAGTCTCGTTATCTTGCTTAATTTTAGCAATTTTTTCTTCGTTGGAATTTGCAACTTTATCTGCTGCTTCAAATTTTTCTTTTTGAGCATTGATATCTGTTTGTAATATATCACATTCCTTTTTATGCTTCGCTTCGAGCTCTTCTTCTGCTTTATCAGTTGATTCAATACTTTCAATTTGTTGTTCTGACATTTTTTCGACTTCTTCGATTGCCTTTGCAAGATCCTGAAGACGAGACTTCGAGTTTGACTTCAGAGATTCCAACTTTTCTGTGAGATTTTCAAGTTCATCTTTCATTTGTTGACTTTCTGATTTAATCGAGTCCAACTTAGTCTGTCTTGCTGGAATTTTAGCTGTTTGAATAGAAAGTCTAATATAATCTTTTCTAAGGTCATGGATTTTTGTCTCATTTTTAAGATTTCGATTTCTGTAACAGATTTTATTCAGTCCTTCTAAAGCAAAGCAATCGATCTGGTTTGCAGAAACATCAATGTAATGAAGTGACCAATTATCTTGAATTAATTCAAGAAAATCGTATTCAACTCCTTTTGTAAAGAAATTATCAGCCAAATTAATACTTCTAAGTTCTGAGTTACTAGTTAAAGCTTGTGCAATTTGAATTAATGAGTTATCGTTCATTCTTGTTGTTGCAAGATTTAATTTTTTGAGAACAGAGTTATCGGAGAGGGTTCTTCCTAGTACTTGTGCGACAGAATTGCCAAAACTGTTCTTTGAAAGATCAATTTCTTCAAGAATTTGATTTTCAACTAACAAACTTTCTAATTTTGGAGCAACAGAGTCATCGCAATTAGTATTTGATATATTCAGCTCTTTAAGATATTGGTTCTTTGCAAGAATTGCCAAAAGGAATGAAATTCCTCTTGATCCAATCGGATTTCCACTGATATCCAAAAGAATTAATCTCCATTTGCTAGAAAATGCTGATGAAAGTATATCGCATGCAGCCTCTGATAATCCACATGAACTCATCTTGAGGGAATACAGTCCGTCGTTTTGGCAAATAGCTTGTGTAATTGATTCTGCTGGTTGGAACTGATTTCCGCTAATATTTAAGTTTCTAAGTGTTTTATTTTCGCGAAGGCCTTTACAGAGCTCGTACTGGTCGGCTGGATAAAAGCCACTGTTGCTGATATCTAATGTTATTAAATTTTTACAATAAAGTATCAATTGCGAAACATATTTTGGAAAGTCTTTGAATTTTTGGGTCTTCTTCTGTTTGATACCGGCTATACCAGCAATTCCAAAACAATTTAATTTATCTGTTCTTTTTACGACTTCAAGAATCGTATATAAACCATCTCGCGTTATCCAATTTTGTGAATTTGATTGATCTTTTACTCCAAGCTGTAGTGATGTAACGTTTGATTTTGAAATAATATCTGAAATAACGAGGATTGATCCATCAGAAAGATCATTTGCGCCAACATCTAAATGTCTAATGGGAGCATTCATACATATAATAAATACTCTTGTTAATCCTTCATCATGAATTAAATTTCCGTATAAATTTAAAGTTGTAAGATGTTTAAATGTTCTAAGGAATTTTGGTATACGAGATAATAATGTTAATCCACCTTGTAACTTAGAAAGATCAAGCGTAAAGTTTTTAAATCCTCTTTGTATTTGATTAACAAATTTAATGTAATCATCATTAGTTGTTTTGGAACCTACATCGGATTGCTTAGCAGCGTATAAATCAGAAATTCCTTTTTCAAGGATTTCATTCATATGAAAAATCAAATAACGATTTTTTGCTATGTCAAAAAAGTAGGGTCTGAATTTTGACAATCCCCTTTTTTTATACCTCAGAAAAGTGAAATATAAAAAAATGCTAAAAGTTTATGTTATTTCGGCAAAGAATCTTCCAGCAGCCGACTCGAATGGCAAATCAGATCCATACGTCGTAATACATTCAGTTGATGGTAATAAATTTAAATTTGGACAAACTACAGTTCAAAAATTAACATGCGATCCAAATTGGGATCCTCTACTTAAAAATCCGTTCTTGTGCCCATTTGTACGCGCTAGATCGTTTTTGTTTGAAATATACGACAAAGATACAATATCAAAAGATGATTACTTAGGTATGGCACAGTTTGACATGGAAATCCATCCTATTGGTCAACCAGTTACTCTTGATGTTGAAAACGTTCAACTTCCTACCCCAAGACCACCAAAAATTGTTGTTCAAGTTGATAGTCCAACATCCTTCTATCCAGAAGGCGAAATCTCTAAAAATATACACCATCTTGCTATCACACTTACTTATGATCCTCCGATTTCCTTTACATCACGTTATCATCCACCAGAGCTTTCAATGCTCGCAATCCACAACGATTCAAAGATGATGGAACGAATATACGGAGGCATGACACCGCCTCATGGCATTCTCTTGGATGCTATGCCACAACATGTCGGTCCAACAGGCTGGACTCAAGTTATCAGAGTCAATATCAAGAAGGCAAAAGGATTGACACTTATTCCTCTCGTAACAAGTAAAATTAACAAGAGAACAATTACTGTCAACTACTGTGGTTTCCAAAAAGAGCCTAAAAAAGACAATGTCAGATTATGTGACAGCAAAGCTACAAATACCGGAGTTTTGCTCTACAAATCTTCTGTTAATGCAAATAATGAAGAGCTCCTGACACTCGGCAGCCTTGTAGAGTTCACAGAAAAAGGATTTGAATTCAAAAAGTTCGAAGGCCAACCGATTTCGGAATCCGACTACATTTCATTTGTCAAGAATGTCGGTATCGATCCAAGTACATACGCAATGAGATTCAATATTTCACTCGGAGAAACTTATTCTTTATTAGATGCAGCGAAATTACATAGTATCGAATTCCCTAAGCAGATTAAATTCGGCCTTGGCTGGAGCGGCTCAAAGGATCTCGATTCATATGGTTTTATCGTTAGCAAAGACTATAAAGTTATTGGATACGTTTCTGGAGCTTCGAAATCGAAGTTTAGTTACATCAAGCATATGGGCGATGCAGCATCAGGCTCAGAAGATAAGGATGCAGAGTCAATTGTTGTTAATTTAACCGAAGTTCCAGATGAAGTTGGCACAATTGCAATTTTCGCAACTTACGAGAATGGAACATTCTTACAAGTACAGAACATTTACATGAGAGTATGCACAACCATCGATAAGAAGGAGAAAGAACTAATGTACCTTCCAGTCGTTGCAAAACGCCGCCAGAACTCTTTACTGTTCGGAATCCTTTACAGAACTCCTAAAGGATCCTGGGATTTGTTCCCTGCTGCAAAACTCTTTGAAGGAAAAGATTCTCATGATATTGGAGAGTATTGCAACGAATTCTTCGAAATTTCCGGCATTGTTGAAGATGTTATTAATGCAGAACAACCATCTAAGTAATAATTTAATATTTTTGATTTTTTATGTAAAGATTATCATAATTTCATTTTTTATAATATCATCAGTTTTACATTTTTATTCGAATACATCACAAGGCATATTTTCTTTTTAAAAATCAATAGTTTTGCAATTATTTTTTCAATCCTTTGTTTAAAGGGGTAATTTTATTGAAGAACCTAGGAAATATACTATGTGTTCATAATGCAATTGATCATATTCGTTTGTTTAATCATTTCAATACATAATTTACAATCATAAGAATAAAAGCGGCATTATTTTATCTATTTAATGATGTGCTTTTTCTGTTTCCACTTTATGCGAATGAAGATGTATTCAATCAAGATAACTATGTTATTTAGAGCTTCTTTTGCAAAACTATTCGCCTTTTATTTACTGCACAATGAAAATTCGTAAAACAAAATTAACACATTTCCCATGTTTCGTCATGGGGGCGAAGCAACCCAGAAATGTCGGAAAAATGTAATTATCTAGTATATTGGAATACCAATCAATTCAAATTGTTTTGGGCATTCCAAAAAAATTAGAATTGATTGGTATTATTATTTTTTGCTTTTATGTCGATCAGCATTTGAATCAAAAATAATCGTATGATTGAGAATTTACGTAATCCCATCGTTACTTTTAAATGATTTATTAACAACACCAAAATGATTCAGCAGAAAGAATTCTGAAAATCATTTATATAAATTATGATGGATCGGTTAATGTTATAGGACAAAATAACGGAAAATGTGGTTGGCTTTGATTTAGATTTTGGATAGTATTGAAGTATGTTTGGAACTCTTACATCTTAGGTAAAGCTTGCGATTCTGATATTTATTTCAACCCATGAAACATTTTTTTTTCAATTGTATCTTGAATTGAATTAAAATAAATTTGATAAGTGTTGGAGTGTTTTTCAAACGATTTAAAGAATCAATTTATGAAGTATTCAAAATTTGAATTTTCTTTTTGAAACTCTTTGGCACGACATATTGACTGTTAATCATGACTAAATTTAAATGACCTTATATTTGGTTAATTTCAGAATCGATATTTGCATGATCCTCCCTAGACAATTATGATGTGATGATTATTTTAAATGAATATTAAAGTCAATTATAATTTTGATTATCGCTCAGAAAAATTTGAGGATATATTTAAAAGCTAATGCTTTTGTTTTACATCCACAAGAAACCGATCCCTTTCTAGGGATTATGAACGAAAAAGGATAATGACTATCAAGCTGACTTCAATAATTCTAAATCTTTTTAGAGATCAATAAGTTTAGATGGAATATAGCTGCAATGAAAGTAATAAATGTATTATCACAAGCAATGAATTAGACACCAGTTTTTATCAAAATTCATCAGTCGAATATATCTATATTACTGGAGAAGTTACAAAGATACCAAATTACTGTTTTGGTTTCTGCACTAATCTCATTGAAGTTCACTCATGCTCGAAAATTTCATATATAGGAGAATATGCTTTTGTTCGATGCTTGAATTTAAAAAATATAAGCTTTTTATCTAATGTTGAAGTAATTAGTGATTTTGCACTATGCAATACAAACATCGAATCAATTCATCTTAATAACAATTACGTCAAAATTGGAAACCATGCATTTTACTCATCTCATATGAAAGAAATCACTTTACCTCAAAACATTACTACAATTCTGAATGGAACATTTCTTGGTACAGGTCTGAAGACAATAAAAATTCCATCTAAAGTTGAAAAAATTATGGGATACGCTTTCGGTTATTGTGCAATAGAATCAATCGAATTACCAGAATCACTAATTTTTATTGGACAATATGCGTTTATTAATTGTGTTCTACTTAAAAATATTACATTACCGAAAAGCCTAAAAATTGTGGAATGTAATGCATTTTATGGCTCAGGAATTAGAAAATTAGAATATCCAGAAACAATTGAAAAAATAGATTTTACTGACGCAGAACTAAACTATCTATCGTTTCCTGTATCTGCTGTTAATTTTCATCATGAACCTTTTGATCCTCAAACATATAAAAAATCTATTGTTAATGTTACATATAGACCTAATGATAAGATTATTCCAAAATATCTTTATTATAATTGCATTGATCTAATAGAAATAGATGAAAATAAGCTTATTTTTAGGAATGGACAATTTTGCCTATTACCAGAAAATATCGAAGTAATTGAAGAATATGCATTTTATGGTACAGATATTACAAAGATTAAATTTTCCAAATCAGTGAAAATAATCAAGCGAAACGCATTTAAAACAATGGATGGTTTTTCACCAGTAATTTTTTCAAATATTACATTTCAATCAAACAATATAAGCATTTATCAATTCTTAAACGCGCAAATAATAAATTTCCCAGATAAAGATGGAAACATGAAAACTATTAATTTAACATCAAATGATGAAGCAGAATATAAAGGTGAAGATTTAACTGAATTAACAATGTTTCAATTTTACGGTTATAGAAATGAATCATTATCATTACCCGAATCAATAACAACGATACCATCATTCTGCTTTTATCACGCTTCATTTCATCATATCAATTTATCTCATATCGTTCATGTGGGAGATTGTGCTTTTTATGAAACAAATTCAAATAATTTTACATTTTCAGATAAATTAATCTCCATTGGAAATTACGCATTTGAAAAAGTTAATTATCTTATATTAAATCTTCCAGAATCTAAAGTAATAACCTATGGCGAAGGTGCATTTTACATTATATTCGGATTTAATTTGCAACCTATTGTTAACACAATGGAATTTATTCCTAAATATTGCTTTGCTTCATCAAATTATTATATGATGGGAGATACTTATCCTAATGATCTGGAAATACCATATACAATTAAACTGATCGGGTATGGGGCATTCGAAGGTTCATATTTCTCTTCACTTAAAATCAATAACGGAGATTACACCATACAATCTTATGCATTTTATTATACTCAAGTTGCTCGACTCGATTTTAATTATGGTTTGCAGAAAATAGAAGACAATGCTCTTAACTATGGAATTGATATTCCAAATAATAATTTAAATGAATATGAAAGATATAGAATTGGACTTGAACCAAATTATAATTTTGATTTTCGAAAACAGGATCCATTGTATCAAATGGGCCAAAACATATATTATTGTAATGACCAAAATTGCACGATCTTCGATGATGGCGCTCTATCAATGTATAGTATTGGCCCTTCTGATCTAATTTTTGGCGATAATATTTTTGTAATGGATTTACAAGGTGATGCAAATCCTGAAGCAGGAAATTGGGTGTCTACAAAAAATTTTTATTATTCAGGAATTTATGATAATGATGACAATATATCTGCATCAATGAAATTTTTCATTTATAGATTTAGTGAAAATGTTTATGTTCCAAGTACTTATAAAAATGACACACTTGCAGGGAAACCAATCAAATATTATGATACTAAATATAATTATATAACATAAGGAAGTCAATTTGGAAAATTGTTTTCACTTTAGGAGAATATAATTTTCCATTTGGAAAATTTAAAAAGTGAGACGCGCAGGATTCGAACTTTTTTAAAAGTTGATTTAAATGAATTTTAGTGTGGAATATAAGGATAATATCATATTTAAAATAAGAATATACTAGTTTAGGTGGTATTAATTTTTTCGATAAATTTGAGAGTATGTACGTTTAGGGCATGAAAAGTGTCAAATCGCTCAGCGAAAGCTGAGCTAGCTTCGTTCTCGAAAGAATAAGGAAGGAGTGAAGGAGAATGATACAGAAGTTGACACATTCATATCATTTCAATAAATTTTGATCAAATTGAAATTCAATAAAATTCAATTCAATTCATATCCTTCAGTCCGTACATTGATATCCTTCTGCATCACAATGATAACTCGGGCATCAATAGTTTACAACTAACTCAGAAAAAACAAGATTATTACTTCCTGCTTACAGCTTTTAAAAAGTTTCGATGATAAAAATCACTCTACTCTCGTTTATCGACATATGGTGATAGTAGGTAAACATATTCTTATCGATATTAATAAAAATATTTGTACGAAAATCTTATCCAATTAGAGAGTTATTCATAAAGTATATGATAATTATAATTACTTTATCTTTGTTTTATCTTTGAATAAACAATTTAATTTAAATTGCATAATATTTTTTGGTTGAAAAGACAGGAAACTTAGTTGAGTTTGTATTATTTTTATCGTTTAATTCATTGTATCAGTGAGTGATCCAGATATTTAAGATATTTAGAAAAAAATTATTAATTTGATTAACAAATTTTAATCAAAATAGCAAAAATCTATTTGATAGCTGTAAAAAAACAATAATTTTTATTTCAAGCAAAATCACTTATTTTCATCTAAACGTATAAAATTATCAATTTTATGAAAATAAATTGAAAATCTCATGAAATGTAAAGGAGAGTAATATTTTTCAATTTTCTTTTTTTCTTTGTCTCAAATATTTTCTGTTGGGAATTTTCTTGTTATCAAAAAATAATTTTAATATTTGTTTATTTCATTACATACAATAAAATTTTAAAAACTCTATTTCTTCTCAAGAAAATTTTTTCCTTCATATGAAGAAACATTTTGTTCTCCATTTGATACTGAGTCTAAATCTCGATTTTTGAATTTTCTTCTTTCCAAATTTCTTTTTTCCAAATTAGAAGTTTAATTCAAATTTTCAATAGTTTATATATTTTCTCAAACCGTCTCAGATTTTCTCACTTTTTAGGGATTTTCTCTCAAAATATACAAAAATAGTAATATCAATACATGTGTCTAATATACTTTAAAACCATCGTGACAAAATTCAAAAACGAAGAGTTCTTCTCTCCAAATTTTTTTCAAAATCAAAAAAATGAGATAAAAAAGTACGTTTGGAAAATTCATTTTTAGCATTTTAGGAATTTTCTCACTTTTCTTCCAAATTGACATCCTTATATAACACGATCTAAAACAAGAAAATTGAAAAATGAAATAAATTTAGGAAAAAAGGAAGTACTTAAAAAGAAACACATTCCTATCAGGGTAAAGGAAATAAATTACCAAAAAATATGTTTACATATCGAAGAAAGAACTTCAGATAATGAGTACATGCTAATAAGGCACAAAATTGCTAAAAACTCTCTGCTATCTCTATTTCCATGTATAAAGCCGATTAAATAGCTATTGTTATAAACAATTATTATAAGTATATTTAAATATATTGTATCTAACTTAATCCTGCGTTAGATACAATAAAAAGTTTGATTTCATTTAACATATTAAAAGAATTGGTGAGAGATTGAGCCATTGGATAATGTAGGCCTTGATATGATAGATATATGAAATTTAACTAAATTAGTAATATTTTTGAAATAATTGATATATTTTGTAAGGCCGATCTCAAAATTTTGTATATTTTGAAAGATGGATCCCAGGTGAATATAAAATCTCTCCCTGACTGTGAATTGATTTTGATCTTATAAAAATTTCTCACATAAAGATTTATGGAGGAAAATCAAAAATTCCTCATCAGGGAAATGAAAAAGGCAGATATCGAGGAAGTTGAGAAGCTACATATTGCCATTTTCCCTGTGAGGTACTCCAAAAATGTTTTTATTGGATTTTTGAGACCAGATTATTTATCATTAGTTATCGAAACAGAGTGGTATGGAGAAAAGCGTATTATTGGTGTTTCTACATCATCCCGCAATTGGGCATCTCCTTTTTCTCGCTCTCGAACTGCATACTTATCAACATTTGGAATTCTACCAGAGTTCCGTAGACATCATCTTGGAACATTGCTTTTAAACGCTACGGTTGCATGCCTTGCAAAGTATTATGGCTGCATTGAGCTTTCATTGCATATGGAAGCCGCAAACAAGGCTGCATACGAGTTTTACATCAGCAACAAATTTATTGCTGTCCAATTACTTCCAGATCATTATACATTTAACAATTCATATCATGATGCCTATTTCATGAGGAAACCAATCAATACAATCGAACTAGACAGAAAAAATACAATTGAGTATTCAAAAGAAGTTGAATATTTAGCACATAATTCACAATATATTTCATGGTTCCATAGATTTTGTTTGGATCCTTAAATGCTATTGAAGTATCAAAAGTATATATACAGACTTATATGAATTACCCAATGCCATTGCTCTTCGAAAAAAAATTTATCAATGTATAAAATATTATGAAAAAAGGAGAGCTCTTACTACTATTATGACCATAAGATCAATTCTTATTACTCGACGATGAATCATTTTCTACAATTTCTTACTTATATTATATATTATTTTGTTTTTTAAACTTTATCATATGAATTATCATTATTTTTATTAGAGATCATTAAAATTATATAAATGGTCGCAGATTTTTAAGAGATTAGATTTTATAAAAAAAATTATTGCAAAAAATTTTAAAAAGTTAAGATTGTATTTATATTTTTATGAAAAAAGAGTTTGAAATAATCATTACTTACCAGTCTTGATACAAGCAACATCTTCATCTTCGAGGACATGAGAAAGACCAACGATTTGGCCTGGTCTCTTGCAACTTCTTCCCCAAACAACAGCGCCTTTGAAGTTATCTACGAGATCTTTGTGAATTGCGTTGCAAAGATCGCGAACTGTCTGTCCTTTACGGAGAAGAACAGCCTTTCCGAAGTCTGGCTTATCACCAGGTGGCTTTGTGTAAACTCTGCAAATATTGAGCTCATTGAAGATCTTTTGCTTGATTGAGTCGAGGCCGAGGTCGTAGATGACAGATGTAACGACAGACTTTGGAAGGCGGGCAAGACGATCGATTTCTTCGATTGTAAGTGTGTCAACTTTGTTGTAAACAAACATGGCTGGGATATATCTCAAATTCTTGATGTTAAATGCATCAATAAATCTATCAATTGTAACGTCTTCTGTAATTCTAATATGGCCGGATCTAAATCTGTTGGCTGTAGCTAATGATTTCATCATTTCAATATCTAAGTGTGTTTGTGGAACAACGCAGTCAATTGTAACACCACCACGAACCATTGGTGTGATTTCAACCATTGGTGGAGTATCATTTACACGAATACCGAAGGAATGAAGTTCATTTGTAAGAGTTTCAATTTCAACATCAGCTTTGGCAGCATTGATAACGTAAACAATGAGGTCGCAGGAGCGAACGACAGCAAGAACTTGCTTACCTTTACCATAGCCAGTGGAAGCACCTTGAAGAATACCAGGAAGATCGAGAAGCTGAATATCTACACCGTTTACTTGAAGAATACCTGGTACAGCTGTAAGTGTTGTGAAATCGTAATCACCAATTTCAGATTGTTTATCTGTTAATTTGCAAAGAAGAGACGATTTACCGACAGAAGGGAAACCGAACAGGCAAACACGAGCATCACCGGTTCTTGCAACATCGAATTGTGGACCACCATCGCCACCTTTTGATGCTTCTTCGACAAGTTGAGCACGAAGTTTTGCAAGCTGGGCTTTGAGGAGACCCAAGTGGCGCTCAGTGGCCTTGTTAATCTGGGTCCTGCTCATCTCCTTCTCGATGTCGGCTATACGCTCTTGAACGCCCATCGAAATATCCAGACAAACCTTTTCAATTTCAAAATTTCTCTAGCGCTCATTATCAATATGCAAAAATCGATTTTGACCAAATAAATCGGATACACACTGTTATAAGATCATTTTTATCATATTTTCAAAGATCTATTTTTTCTGAAAAATATTGATGCACTAAAATCTGACAAAATTATTGAGATTTTATTCAGTATTGAATTGAATCTTGTGATTAAAACTATATCAGTACACAGACATATTAAAGCATAATGCACCAAGAAATGCAAACTTATTTGAATTATTTAGCTTAAATGAGATCGAATCCAAGCCGAAATGAGATAAATAGTGCGACATATACAAAAAGGAGATCATTAAAAACATTATGGACTGAATTTTTACAAGATAAATGTATTTTTCTTATAAGCAACCATAGAATTAATTTGAATTTTTGTTGATTGATGTGGACAATCCTCAATTATTATAAGAATTTAATAGTTCCATCAATAATTTGAAAGATTTCTATAATGATTTGGTGATCTTGCTCATACTTTTTTAAAAATATTACATAAAAATTTGATGAAGTTGTATATATAAACAAGGATTTAAAACACAAAAACACAAAATAAAGATTTGATGAAGTTGTATATATAAACAAGAATTTAAAACACAAAATTACAAAATAAAAATTTGATGAAGTTGTATATATAAACAAGAATTTAAAACACAAAATTACAAAATAAAGATTTGATGAAGTTGTATATATAAACAAGAATTTAAAACACAAAATTACAAAATAAAGATTTGATGAAGTTGTATATATAAGCAAGGATTTAAAACACAAAATTACAAAATAAAGATTTGATGAAGTTGTATATATAAACAAGGATTTAAAACACAAAATTACAAAATAAAGATTTGATGAAGTTGTATATATAAACAAGGATTTAAAACACAAAATTACAAAATAAAGATTTGATGAAGTTGTATATATAAACAAGAATTTAAAACACAAAATTACAAAATAAAATACAGAAGTTATTTTGATTTCTTTTTAGCAAGTTCTGCCTTTTTCTGTTCAATTAAAGCCAAAATTTTTTCTCTTTGTTTAAGTAACTGTTCCTTTGCCTGTGACAGACCTTCTATTTCATCACTAATAGCTTCCTTTTCCTCAGTTATTTTTATTAATTCTTGTTTTGCATTTGTCATTTTTATGGCTTTATTATGACGTTTTTCCATTGCTTCGATTCTTCTCATTTGAAGAACTCTTATGTCCATTGCAACACTCCTTATCTTAGCTCTCTTCTCGCGAACAGTTCTCATGAGTTCGATGTTCTCAGCACACATGATTTTATATGTTTTCAACAAAGAGGAAGTTGGATTTTGTTCGGCCAATTGAGATGACCTCGCGCTGAACAATAACTCCATGACTTCAACGGATTTGGATTCTATCAATCGAAGTTTCCTTTCTTCTCTGGCAACAAACATCGTTAAGTCGTTGGATTCGACCAAATTTCTGAGATTTTGGATTTCATCGGCTTTTGTTTGCCTCAAATGCTCTTTTGCTTGATTCAATGCAGCTTCTGCACGCTTTAGAGCACCACCACGCCACTTTTCGTAGAAAAGCTGGTTGAAAAGTGTTGCATAAATCGCATTTGTTTGCAATGCAGGAATATTCAGCTCAACGCTATAAGCGAAGTTGTGAATCTTATCCTCTAGTGTTTCCTCTTCTTCCTCTTCTGCTTCTGTAGCTGTTTCTTCTTCTTCGTTCTTGAATTTTAATTTTTCAAGTTGTTTCGTTTCGTTTTCTGAGATATAAGTATCATAATAGTCATCATAGTCTGATGAATACTCGGAATTCTTAAGTTCTGTGTTCTGTTCTTCATTTTCGCTCTCAGAATATTCAAAATCTTCTTCTGTGTCTTCATTTGCTTGATCCAATAGTGTTGATCTCTTTATACGTCTTGTCTTCCTAATTTTACGTATGCGGTTGGTCTTTACTCCATCAGGATTTAGAGTTCCTGTTTTTGTTCCTTTTTCTTTTTCATTTTTCTGGATTTCTTCAATGTCTTCCTCTTCTTCGATTTGAGGAGAGTTAATAAAACCTTCTTCTTCTGGAAAATTCTCTGAATTATTTAAAGATTCAATATCAATGTTTTGTGCATTAGATAAATTGGCTTTTTGAGAGCTATGTGCACTACCTGGTGATTTTCTACTATTTACAGAACCTTTTTTACTCGGTGGTTTTGAATTTACAGAATTATTCTTATTATTTGCATTTTCTTTATCTGATTCTTTGTTTTTAGCATCAGGTTTGTGATGGTGATGATGGTGTCTATGCTTTCTATGATGATGTTTCTTATTTTCGTCTTGATTTTCATTATTATTTTCATTATTGTTTTCGTTTTCAATTTCATTGTTTTCTTCTTCATTTTCATCTTTATCTGATTCATTTAGACTAATTGAAACTTGTGGTTGAGCAAATTGTTCAATTAATATTTCTGGAGAATTTTGAGCTAAAATTTTGAGAGTTTTAGTCTCCTCCTTGTATTTATAATCTGTATGAATAGCGATAAAAGCTTTTGATGTGATAAAACCTTTTGGATTTTGTAAAATTTGCCAAGAATTAGTTTTAATTGCAATAGAGGTATTTGACTTGAATGGTGGGAAAAAAGGTAAGTATACGAGCGTTATTAATCTATCTGAAAAGAAAAGTTTAATTCTGAAATAATCATTTTCTGGAAATGCGTTTGTATTTTCGAACAATTTTGGAAAATCTGTGGGATTTTTGACAACGTATGCCGAATTTTCTTCATTAGGGAGTTTTAACGTTGAATTTTCTATGAAAAGTAATGGATTAATGGATTTATCAAGTAAATTTGTAATAATTTCAGCTAAAACAGACGAAGGTCCTGATAAATAAGATTTTGTTGCTTTAGAATTAATTCCGAATGAAACGAGTGTTAAATTATTGCATTTTTCTGAATTGTCTAAGATAAACTTTGCCATTTCCTGTGGGGAAGAAGAACAAGTCAATTCAATAGGATTCTTTGCATCATCAACGAATTCATCTGTAACCTCAACGAAATTAATCAATTTTTCATTCATTCTGTTTACTATTTTTTTATACAAAATAAAATTAAAAATAAACATAATAAACATTAATGACATATCATACTTTTCAGAATCCACTAAAAATATTGAAGATTTATCCAATTCTTGAAAATCAAATTCATAAATTTAAGAGTTCCATGCCAAAATGTACAATACTATTATTTGCTATCAAATTATATATCTAATTGTACTATTATTTTCCGTTAATTTTGCAAGACAAACATAAAAATCAGGATGTCCAAGAAGAAAGCCGAGGCAAAATCAGGTAAAGATCTGTCAGAGCTTGCTGATTCACTAATAGAAGTAGAGGACTTAGAAGATGTTTCTAATTCAGATCTCTGCAAACTTCAAACATTTCTTCCTCAACAAATTCCTTTATTAATTCGCAGCTCAAAATACGTTATCGCAAGGAATTACTCAAGATTGCTTGATAGGGTTAAAGAAGAATTAACAGTTAGAACAGCGTATATCGTTCCAGCAAAGAAAGAAGAATTTACTCATCCAGAATTAGAAAAATATGATGAAGAAACAGATGCAAAGATTCGCATTATAGAAGAAAGAGCCATTAAATTAGATCAAGAAGTTGTTAACGTTTGGGAAACTCAGTTAAAACAAAAATATTTTATACCTTCTCCTGCAATTGCAGAAATGAGAGATAGGGCGAAGCGAATGGAAGATAGAGGAGATATCGATGGAGCCAAAAAACTTAAAAGACAAGCAGATGAACTCGAAAAAATGGATAATAACAACATGGAAACTTCATACGCAGAAGATTTACACAATGCACGTATGGAATCTAAGCGAAAATGCAATCAAGAAATACTAAAATTAATAAATTCGAGGCAAGCAGCCAGAGATGAGCTAGAAAGCTCTTTGAAGGCCAAGCAAACAAAGAAAAAGAAACATTCCGCAAAGAAAACATTCAGAGATATTTGAATTTGTTATTTTCAGCAATATCAAATATCAAATTTCAATTTCTTTACAAATTTGTTTGTATTTTTTGTTTTGATATACAACAGAAGCTTATTCCTTACAAATTCACACATTCAAACTTTCTCTCTCTTGAAATACTTTCAAATGTACTCTTGGAACCGCAAAGTTGGATTCTTCATCAGGATTTATCTGAACGATTCATATCTCCACATTCTCTATGTTTACTTTGAAAAAAAAACTATAAATTTAAATTTAATTTTACCTAATTGTATGTAATATTAATAATAAACATATCTTAAAATACTAAAAACTACTTTTTAAATATTTTTGGATATCTAAGATTTTGAAATAATCCTCACCAAGAATACTCATATTAGTTTATGAAGAATGATATAAGCTAAATAAGTTGAAAGTCAAAAATGATTCCCCGGGGTTGATTGCGTCACTTGTTCCCCAATCCCCAATCCCCCATGGGGTACTGGGGGACCTTCAAAAAAGAATGCGGGATTGGGAAAATTTGTTTTCCTGATTATAATATTTTGACACATTACAAATAGACTCTGACTTCATCAAACAAAGCTCCTCAATTTTTGTCTGCCAGCGTCCCCCACTTGGGTGACGCAATCAACCCTCGGGGGACAAAACTACATGTTTAATTTGAACATATATTAAAAATTTTAATTGTCATAAGCATATGCATAAATGCGCTTTATTCTTATCTTCTGTGACATTTATATTTTGTTTAACCATGCTCGACTAAGAACTTGACAATTTCTATTGAATTCGCTTTGATTGCAATGCTAAGAGGGCATTCATTAATATTGAGAGAATTTCATAAAATAATGATGAATATTAAAAGAAAGATAATTATATAAAACAATGATAAATATGAAAAGAAAGAGAATGCAATAAAATAATGATGAATATTAAAAGAAAGATAATTTCATAAAACATTGATAAATATGAAAAGAATAAAGATTTTATAAAACAAATTTAAATATAAAAAGAAAAAGAACTGTATAAAGCAATGATAAATATGAAAAGAGAATCCAATAAAATAATGATAAATATATAAAGAAAGAAAACTCTGTAAAACAATTATAAATATGAAAAGAAAGAGAATTTTATAAAAATAATGATAAATATGAAAAGAAAGAGAATTTCATAAAACAATGATAAATATGAAAAGAAAGATAATTATATAAAACAATGATAAATATGAAGAAAAAGATAATGTAATAAAACATTGATAAATATGAAAAGAAAGAGGATTTCATAAAACATTGATAAATATGAAAAGAAAGAGAATTTTATAAAACAATGATAAATACGAAAAGAAAGAGGTTTTCATAACACAATGATAAATATGAAAAGAAAGAAAATTCTGTAAAACATTGATAAATATGAAAAGAAAGAAAATGAGCTTCATGTTAACATCTGAACCATGTTCAACTAAGAACTTGACAATTTCTATTGAATTCGCTTTGATTGCAATGCTAAGAGGGCATTCATTAATATTGAGAGAATTTCATAAAATAATGATGAATATTAAAAGAAAGATAATTATATAAAACAATGATAAATATGAAAAGAAAGAGAATGCAATAAAACAATGATAAATATGAAAAGAAATAGAATTTTATAAAACAATGATAAATATGAAAAGAAAAAGAATTTCATAAAACAATGATAAATATGAAAAGAAAGAGGATTTCATAAAACATTAATAAATATGAAGAAAAAGAGAATACTATAAAACAATGATAAATATGAAAAGAAAGAGAATTTCATAAAACATTGATAAATATGAAGAAAAAGATAATGTAATAAAACATTGATAAATATGAAAAGAAAGAGGATTTCATAAAACATTGATAAATATGAAAAGAAAGAGAATTTCATAAAACATTGATAAATATGAAGAAAAAGAGAATACTATAAAACAATGATAAATATGAAAAGAAAGATAATGTAATAAAACAATTATAAATGTCAAAAGAAATAGAATTTTATAAAACAATGATAAACATAAAAAGAAAAAGAATTCTATAAAACATTGATAAATATGAAAAGAAAGAAAATTCTGTAAAACATTGATAAATATGAAAAGAAAGAAAATAAGCTTCATGTTAACATCTGAACCATGTTCAACTAAGAACTTGACAATTTCTATTGAATTCGCTTTGATTGCAATGCTAAGAGGGCATTCATTAATATTGAGAGAATTTCATAAAATAATAATGAATATGAAAAGAATGATAATTTTATAAAGCAATGAAAAATGTGAAAATAAAGAGAATATAAATTTTGTTGATATCTTCTCCATTAGAAAGTAAATAAGATGCAACATCATAATTTCCGAAATACATACTTTCTGCTATTGAATCAAAAGTTTGTCCAAAATTTGATTTAAGATACTCTGCAATTTCATAGTTTCGATAATCCAATGCTGTATTAATCATGTTATCAAATGATTTACCATCTTCAATCATTTGCATAAAAATGCTACTATTTCCGCCTTGAACCGCATATTTTTCGGAGTAATTAGTGTATAGAGCTCCTAAATTTTTAAAGTAATTGAAACACAATTCCGAGCCATATTTAATTGAGCAATCAAGTGGTGTGATTTTATTAATCTCCTTTTTAATATCAAGGTTTGGGAATTTACTCTTAAGATCATCAACTTTATCCCATTGAATATAGTATAAAGGAGTTTCTGTTGAATACAAATTCAGGATTTCTTCTTTCATTTTAGGTTTGAAATTTTCAAATTTTAAACCTTTATAATGTAGAAGCGTAGCCAATTTCTCATTTTTCGGTTTGATTAGGCATGAGAATTCATTTGATATCTTTTCGTAAAGTTCAGTAGTATATGTGGAAGGGTTGTGTGACTTTTTTTGTTACGTCTATATATAGATGAAGGTATATTTTCACATCTTCTATATATAGATGATATAAAAATTTTTTCTTACGTTTTTTAAGTCATGAATTCGTAAGAAAAGCGCGACATTATTAAATAAATTAGTAATAAATATTTATATACTAAACACATTTTTAAAAAATTAACATTAATTTAAAATAATTTATTTTTTATCTTTTATAAAAGAAGCTATATATAGATGATGTCAGATATTCCGCGATTAATTAAACATTGTTTAAATCCTGAATGGAATCAATGGAGTCATAATCAAAGACCTCATATACGAGTAAAAGAAATTAGAAATAATTATTTTCATGAATAAAAGATTCACTACCATAATGAAATAAAAAATAAAAAAATAAAAAAATTTTTAAAAAATAAACTTTAAAAATTATGTCTCAGAATCAACATTGAACTTTAAGAAACTAATGATTATTTGAATTTATGAAATCAATTATTTGATTCATTCTTTCTTCAATCTCTTCTATTCTTTTTGTTAAATCATCTATTTTCATTAATGAGGTGATTCTTGATTGAGGAATAGATTTCAAACTAACCACTCCTTTTATTTTTGAAATTTTGAATCCATCAACTTTAAACATTTTATTCAATTTACACGTTGTCAATTCTTCAAATAATTTTTTATTATTAGCATAATAGTCATTAAATTCTTCAACAGATGAAAAAATTTTTATTTCAGTAATTGGTTTAACAACGTTTATTTTTTGTTGAACATTTTCACTTTCATTTATTTCTTCCTCCTCTGTTTCATTTATTTTTAAAATTGGTTTCATTTATCATTAAATAAAAATTAGAATATAAGTGATGAAATATATTTTTAATTTTAATGAAATAATCAGAAATGGCGGCAGGATTCTTTAAAAAATTATGGGATGGAATTAAGAAAGCTGCGGGTTGGGTTCATCAAAAGATTATTAAACCCATTGCAAACTTTTTGGCACCAGTAGCGAAAACGGCAGGAACTATCATAGGTGGAGTATTAGGTGCTAAAGCAGGTAATCCGGCGATGGGAGCACAAGCAGGTAACGCAGTTGGTGGAATTGCTGAAGGAATACTTAATAAAATAGGAGGTAGATAGTGGAAAAATAAATAAATATTATTTTTATCTTAGTATCGGTTGTAGTCTTTGATAAACTTTTTCTCCTTTATTTAATATTTCTCTTATTGGGGCAGCTTTTGGTGTTATTGATTCAGCAACGTCACTAATTGCTTCTTTATTCTTAAATATCCAATTTGCTCCTTTCTTCAATGTTTCCCAAACTTTACTCGCTCCTCTTTTTACTTTATCCCACAGTTTCTTAAATATACCTGCAGCCATAGTTGATTATTTCATTAAAATTAAAAATTCATTTCCATCTTTTAATTTTGATTTTTTTATTTAATAATAAATGACGACTAACTATTTGGTGCCAAACACCAAACCGATTAATGGAAATGTATTTCATTCATTCGAAAAGATAAATGAAATATTTGCAAAGAATGACGGTAGAAGATATTATAGAGAACTTGAAAGTTCATGCTATGACTCTGATACTCCATATTTTGATGATAAACAAACTCATTTAAGAATTACAAATCCGGCTCATGATGTGAACCAATTAGGTGACACATATATTAAACGCAAAGTTAAAGCAACTCTAGTTTCAAATAAAGCTTTCACATGTGATGCCGCTTTTAAATGCATGCGTTTATTCGTTGGTTACAAATCATCAAATCAAAGCTTTAAACAATTAGAAGTAGAAACCGAAAGAGGTGATGCTGGTTATCTTCAGATGGATTGCGCCCGTGAATCTTTCGCATTTGCAACATATAAACCAAAATCAGAAAGGAAAGTTAAAAAGTTTGTTCATTCGTTATATAATAATGTTCAAAAATATGATAACTCAGTATGTGGTAAATATATTGACCCTTCAGAAGTTTTCAAGAAAGCAAATGAAGAAGTTGATGTCACTTTTGATATGATTATTCCGGTAAATGATTTGTTAGCATTTCAGGCGTTCGATGATTATCCTAAATCATTTGGTGATATCATTCTTAAATATTATGTTTTCAGGGATACTTTAGTATTTTGTCAGGTTGACCCGTTAAGAGTTGCTGATTTACAAAATTACGTTTATGAAAAGATAACTGATGAAAATTATGAAAAGATTATGAATCATGTTTATAAATATGATCGTAAATTCCAACAAATCGGACTTCCTACCAAATTAATTACAAGCTTAGCCGCTACATCTGCTGACGCAACAGTTGATAACGTTATTATTTCATGCACAAAGATGGAAGTTTTAGAGGATAAATGCATTACACCAGGATACGGTTTAATTGAAGAATCAGTTAAAGCAATACCACGTTTATTTAGTAAGGAAGATCCATTCATGATTCCAGCTCAACATATTGACGTTCGTTCACTAAATGGAGGTTGCATCACTCCTGAAGGTATCAGTTCAGATTTCTCATACGCTCTTCATAATGTTACAGATGTTGTGTTAACATTTCCGAAGAATGCAATGCAAAGAACGGTTTTAGAAAATCCAATGCTTCGAGGTCTTCAGGTCACTATAGATTCCAGAAACTTCCCCGATCAAGCGATGACCACAATGGGTGACATATTCTTTACACGTATGCTTCAAGCTTCTGATTTAGATGGAGTGAATGAATGCACGGAAGAATACGAGGACTCATTAACTAGACCACTGAATGCAGATGATGGCACGCCATTAGCTAGAACATGGAAAGACCAAACTTCATTCTTATGCACTATTCCAGTTCAACGTGATGGAGCGGGTATATTCTTTGATGGATTAGAAACTTTCAACTCACAAGTTACAGTACAAGTGAAAGCTTATCCAATCATTCAGGGTGAAAATGACACTTACTGTTCAAAGGTGACAAATCCTCCTCAGGTTTGGTTTACTAGGACTACATATTGGACATGGACACCGGATGAAGGTTTGAAATATCATCCAACAGGTACACCATCACAGTATAGAAGTTCATATGATGAAATATTGATGAATAGAAATGTTTAAAATTATAAATTTATTTTTGATTAAATGGATTTAAATTCATCCACCCCTTATGAAGAATTAGCAGGAGTATATAATACATACGTAGATGATATGATTAATGAAGCATTGAGTGATAATAGAAATGCTCTATCTAAGGAAAAATTAATGAAAATTCCATATTCTGAATGTTACTTAAATTCAATCACTGCAGCAATTGGTAAACAAAATAAAGGTAAAACATTAACGATATTAAAACAAATTATCATTATTGCTAACACTTCCACATATTCACATGTGTTAATTTATATCAACCGTTCAGGTTCACCTTCAGATGATACATTTGAATCTTTAAAGCATTTAATCAAAATTCCAATTATTTATTTATCACAAGAAGAAGCAGAAGATTATTTAAAAAACTTTTTAATGTATAAAGAATTATATAATACAATCAAGAAGCAAGGATTAGAGGATAAAATTATTGATAAACAACGGGATGAATTATTTGAAACACTTTCTATTTCAAATTTTGATAAAGAATTTTTGCATTCACTAATTTTTCTAGATGATGCCGTGAAATCAAAACTAATAACTAATGAGAAATCATATTTTAATCAATTATTAACTCAATGTCGACATATTCAATGTTCATTCTTTATGGCTGTTCAATATTTCAAAGCATTAAGCACAAACATTAAATCAAACCTGTCCACCCTTTTCATTTTCAGTGGTTTTAGTCGTCAACAGTTGAACGTTATGCTTTATCAAGTGAATTTACCAATGAGCATTAATGAACTTTACACACAATATCAACAATTAGGTGAACATGGAAAAATAATAGTTGATTTAAATAAAGGAGGTGTTAAATTTGATTAACTTTTTATAATTAATTTTTATTTTTTATTTATAATTAAACATGACAGAAATAGCAAATCTTCTACAGGTTCCATTAAAACAAGGAACAAACAAAAAGGGTGCATATAATAGAACTATGAAAGTTCCCGATGGAATGAAAGAATTAGTTCATATTGTTGCTGGTCTTCAAAAAGATGTTAAACAAATGAGAAACGTTTTAACATTACCAGAAGCTCAAGCATATGCCAAACGTCATGGACCAAATTGGGAAGCACATGAAGCAGACATTACAGGACCAAATGGAAAACCTGATGGTATAAATGAAGTTTTCGTTACTGATGGTCAAGGTAATATTAAAGTCATAAATGGTTACAAATTAACTATAACTGATTATCCTAAACGTAAAGCATATAATGAACGTTATCCTATGCAATTTGATGAAAATGGAAAAGCTGTTAAACAACACATTGGAGAAGGTGAACATGGTCCAATTAATTCATACCGTTATAATCCATATTCTTATTTCAATGCAGAATTAAATGCTATTGAAGAGGGACCGGATGGATTACCACGATATTCTAACCAGTTTGATGGTCAATATGCAAATATTAGACCCGAAATTCCAGCTAAGAAATTCTTTAAAGTTGCTTTATTCGATCCAGTGTTCAATGAACAGAAAGAAGCAATGAAAGCAGAATTTAAACCAATTCAAGTGGCAAGAATTTCTTCATCTTCACTTTCAGAAGCGTTCAAGGAATTGATAAAGAAACCACTTTATTCTCAACAAGGTTATAACTTTGATTTAATTAAAGAAAGTGATAGACGTAAATTAGAAAAATCAGATGATTTTAAGAATGCATGTAATGAAATGATTAAAGATATTGTAAATGATAAAATAAGACTGGAAGAAACTCAAAGCAATATCAATAACATAATTGGTGCAGTTACAAAGAAAGTATAAGCAAACAAGGATGAACCTTGGGATATTACCGTAACAACTAAATAAAACTTTAAATATATTTTTCTTTTTTTTATTCAATTATAAATGAGAAGACGTTTCACAAGTCAAAAGAACACAAACGCAAAAGCAGAGATTACGGTTGGTTATAACGTAAATGATGATAAATCACGAATTATTCAAAATGTTAAAGTTAATGTTAGCCCTGAATTAACAAATATGATAGGAACAACAAAAAATATTGAAACTATTGTTGGGGATGTTTCTATCTATGAAGAAAACAAATATTTTAGATGGCAGTTTGTACAGTCCTTAAGAAATGGTATGCGGTGTAAACTCATTCCGAAAAATAACAATGAAATGTATGTAAGCTATATAAAGAATGATGGTACACAAGTTAAAGTTCCATTAGACAACAACTGTTACTTAAACTTATATGGAGACGAACAAAAGAAATATTTAAGAGTTTATGAAATGACAGATATGACATTGTCTAACCTAGCTCCAGCACCATATTATTATGACTATGGAGATGATGTCAGAACACCACATGTAGATGAACAAAAGCTAACATTATATTTAGATTATTATAGATATAAAAGATATAATGCAATAGAAAAAACAAGAATAGTATATTATTATATAGATGACAAAAATAAATTTATAGTCAAGATTTTACCTACCCTGAAAACATAAGATTATATTATAAAAAATATTCCGACACAAACCAGAAGAAACCTGAAATAGTTGCACTATATTTTAAGTTCAAAATAGACAATCCTATATTATCTCATATGTTTGATTTAATGAACCCAGTAGGTTCTATTTATACGTCTATGGATGCAAGAGGTCCTCAAGTAATGTTTGGTGTTGGTGCATGGGAACAAATAGTCGACAAGTTTTTGTATTGTGCTAACTCTTCAAAGGAAATGGGTGGAAGTAAAACGATTACAGGTGAAAATTTACCTGCACACAGTCACTACATAGATTTAAGTACATCTCAAGCGGGTTGGCATAAGCATAGATATTGGGATTGGTCAGGAATGACAAAAGGTAAAGGATATGATGTTAAAGACGACGTTAAGTTTGCTATAAATTGTTACTGGAGTGACACTCAGGAGAAGGAAACCATACACATTTCGTTTCAGGATATACACAAACAACGGGACAAGGTAAAGAATACATGCCACCTTACATGACAGTTTACGCATGGTATAGAGTTCAATGAAGCTGCTGACGACTCTATTGCGTTTTACCCTCGACATAAATTAGTTGAAAGTAGGAATGGCAAACTTGCTGAAACCATTGACGAAGCAAAGCGAGGAGTGGTTATTGAAATACTTGGCTATAACATAAACGATGACACTTATAAAGTAAGATATGAAGGAGGCGTTGAAGATGTTATACCATCTAAGAACTTGAGAGAGTCAATGACAACACATCTGGGACCATTAGAGCGGGAGTACTGGAAAGACAAAAATAAGCCAGAAATAAGAAAATTCTTCTAAACTTTTTCATTAGATGTAAATCAGACATGAATGAGAACAGTCATGATATTATTAATGGTACCATTTATTTTTGTCATAAAGACGCAAACGGACTCTTTGAGTCCTGAGGTCTTTCAGACCGAAGCGGCGAGGACGAAGTCCATGAACAAAAATCATGTTTATGTTAGCATGTTAGATCTCACCCGTTTTCTAACCACTTTTCTAACATGGTCTAAAACTCTCGAAAATCATGAATTTTTGACATTTCCTTATGAAAGAAAAATAACGCTAATTTTTTTCTAAGAAAAATTTTTATCTTGTATGTAAAGATATGATTTCAACAATAGGTTCTACAACACTTCAAACAACAACTTCACCAAACTCTTTAGTTATGAATCCAACATCTATGTTAGTAGAGATGAAAAGCTTCATTCCTTCTTCATATACTTTTGAGACAGAAATACAAAGAATTAAGCAAGAACTTTTAACAAGTAATTTAGACTGTAGTGCGAAAGATGAAACAAATGAACAGTATCTTTATGACATGCAGGACATTATTGACCATTTACCCAAATTGCCTGAAATCCAACAACAAAAGCTCACTATTCATGAATTCGATGAAATAGAAGTGAAACCAACTGACTCAGTAGAAATAAAGAAGTTCATACGTAAAGTAAACTATGAGTTTCTAGGATATCATTGCAACCATAAAGTTATGGACAAAGATTGCGACATGGTATATAAGAACATCTCTGACATATATAAATCTGGGGAGTTTAAGACATACGACAACTTTGTTTCATTAGTTGCTGAATGTGTTTGGGAAATAAGAGATAAAGATAGAAGAGGTAAGGTATGGCATGAACAGTTAAAACCAGCAGCTTTTGAGTTAAAGAAAACCATTGACGCCTTAGTTGTTCTAGCAGGTCAAATTTCAATGTATAACGCAAAAATGAATCCGCAATGTTCAAAATGTAAAGCAGCAATGAGGAAATATAACTACTCCGTCAAAGAGATAGAACGTATGAGAAACGACTATGCTGACTTAAAGAAAGAAGTAGAGAAACCAGCAGAAGATAAAATGGATATGTTGACATTTCTGAACAAAAACTATCCAACTGCTGACGATTTCCTATTATCTGATGTCAAGAAGAAATATAAAGAAACCTTCGGCATAGTTAAAATTTTTGATATCCTTCGTGAAGAAATAGAAGCTACAAAACTGTTTAAAGTCATGAACCATCGCAACATATACCATGTAAAACGCTTGTAAATAGTTTTCTTCGATGTTAGAAAAGTGGTTAGAAAACGGGTGAGATCTAACATGCTAACATAAACTTTATTTTTGCATTAATCCCACTATGTTGTCAAAATGTCATGTTGTCAAAATGTCATGTTGTCACTATTTTTCAGAGAAGTTAAATTACCGAGTGACACATAGTGACATAGTGACACCTTCAGTTCTTCAAAAATAATTCATTAGTTAGAAAATAACGCTAATTTTATTTTTATATCTTTTTTATTTTGTATGTAAAGACAGTAATGACAAACATTGAGTTTGAAACAGTTAGAAAGATAGACGATGACACCAAAGTGGTTAGAATAGGTGATTTAAACGTAAGATACTCAAAGAAATACAACAAATATTCTTTGTCAGACATTATATCTCCATCTGAAAAGAAAACAAACGACTGGGTTAGAAATGCTTCAACTCAGAAAATTTTGACAAGAAATCCTGAGCTTATGATATCAGTAGCATTTCATGGAACAAGAGCATATCTTATAGACAAAAGTCTTATACCAATAGTTTTGTTATGGTTAGACCCAGTTGTTGGATATAACTTCATAACATATGGTTCATTCGATACGGAACGTTGCAGTGAAGGCTTACTTTACATCGTTCAGAAACCGAAGGACTTCAACACAAAAAGATATAAGATAGGAAGGACATATAATATAACTCAAAGATATGACAGTACAGTCAATAGAGTCAAGGTTGTGTTTGTTAATGATATGAGAGCTGCTGAAACAGAACTGCTTGAAGTTTTTGAGAAAATGTATGGTGCTCCACGAAAGGTAAAGAAACGTTTGAAGTAGATGAGATAGATAAAGCTATAAAATTATTTGACGAAGTTGCTGAAAAATACATGTAAAGCGTTTATTTTTGTCTTTTGTGAAAGTCAGAAAATAAAGTTAGTTTTATTTATTTTGTATGTAAAGACAGTAATGTCAACATCAGAGAACACAACAACTACTATCGTTCATGAAGCCATTAATGAAGAATACGAGTACATACAGTATAACAAACAACTTCGCCTCATTCGTTCGGTCAAAGATGACATGTACCAAATGCAAAGTATAATGAATGCTCTTCGTTCTACAAAGCAAGAGGTGAGAAAAGAGGTGAGATCTCACTTCTTCACCTAAACATTATTTTTGGGTCATTTACACTCATTACGATGAAGTCATGACAAATCATTTTCCATGTTGTTGTCAAAATGTCATGTTGTCTCATTTTTTCAGAGAAGTTAAATTACCGAGTGACACATAGTGACATAGTGACACCTTCAGTTCTTCAAAAATAATTCATTAGTTAGAAAAATAACGCTAATTTTATTTTTATATAAATGAATACCCCGCAAGCTCAAAATTTACCACGAATCATAACAAGGGAGGAAACGATAAAAATGCTGCGAGAACTTGCTAAAAATAACAAACCACTAAAACTGAGAAAATGTGGTTATGCAGTAATGATGGAAAGAGAGATGTTGTCAAAGAAAAATAAAATTAATTTTGGATTGAGTTTAAAAATTCATCTTTATTAAATTCATCTCTTCCAATCAATTTATTTATTCTATTAAATTCTTTTATTTTTGCTTCACTTAGTTTAAGGATTGAACGGTAAGTTTCTAATTTTTCGATTATTTCTTTATCGTTTTTCAACCTCACCGCATTGTGGCTTCTTTTTTGTAATAGCATATTTTTGATTTAATTCTGTTTAGTTTCTTTTTTATATTCATCGTCTGGACTCTTGACTGCTTCGTTGTCACTCATTTCTTACGAAATAAAAAAAATTAAATATTATTTAAATATAATGGAGTAATAAAATAAATCGGAATTTCTATTAATTTATTGTCAACTTCAACTAATGCATTGCCGTTAATATATCTAACAAATTCAGCTATTGTGTCAAATCTTCGTCTTCTTTTTGTCATTGATTTATCAGTTTTTCCATAATCGAGATGAATCAAAACTTTATCCCCTTGTTTAAAATTCATGAGCCCCGAATTAATTTGTTCACGTTTAACATCATTCAACCTTTCCATTTGCTTTCTAATATATTCCCATTCTTTTGAAATATCATTTTTCATTTCCACCGGTTTCATGTTTATAGTTCTATGCCATGTATTATTATAATAATATACTAACTGTTGTATGATGGAGTCATGAATTTTCCATCCCAGTATATCTGACCGTTAACCCCTAACGCATCTCTAAGAGTTCTCATTACCGCATCAACTATTTTATTATGAAACGTATATGGAGAGGATGAAAAGTAAAATTAATTTGTGGGAAATAATGAGTCATAGTTGCCTGAAATCCTTTATCACTATCACCCCTGATATTATCTACTCTTTCATGATCTAGTAAGTATTGAATAGCTCTTCTTGTTTCCTGTTCTGTTTTCCCTTTCACTGGAATGCAATATAAATATCTGGTGTTAATGTTAATGGCAAATAAATAAGTAACGTTTCCTTTTGAATATTCTAAATGATCGATTTCGTATGAATATGGATATGGTGCAAATGAAGGGCGACCAAATTTTTCCTTTAACGGTTGAATTTTCGGGTCAATTGGTTTATTTAATATCTTGAAACCCTTTTTAAAATCTTTTTGCTTCTTTAATGTTTGAAATGGATATAATAAAGTGAATGATGAAGGATTAACTGGAGGAGGTGGTTTTTGGTATTGCAGGTACAGTCGTTGGAGGTTTGGTGTTGCAGGTACAGTCGTTGGAGGTATTGGTGTTGCAAGTGGTTTAATTTTATCCGCTTTGATTTTGGATGATGAAGTTTTGGAATTCATTCCTTCCTTCATTAATTCTGGATGTATTCTATTCATTTGTTTAAATATGCTGTATATAAAGGTTTGATATACTTTTCCCGCTTCGAGTTTATGTTGAAGGATGAATTCCAAAAAGTTGATCTTTATTTAAAAGTTGGGCTGAATGTGTTTAACTAATGAATCATAAATTAAAGCTTGTGCATCATTTTTGGTCTGAAGGACCCGGGCGTTTTGTTTCTTTGTTTTTTGTGGCTCAGGATTATATAATTTATATAATTCATCAATATCTTCTTCTGTTAATACTTCATTTTTGAAATCTTTCAAATGTTTAAGTTGTGATTTAGTTTTTTCCTTTGTATATTCATTATTTTTAATTTTATCTTTAATTTTAGAAATTATTTCATCATGATATTTCAAAAATTCATTATCATAATATGAATAATAATAATCTATATCATCATCCGTTATATTTTCATCATATTTTTGGAGATATGCTTTTAAATCATAATAACTAAGAAAATTTTGATCACGTACTAAATCATCAATTAAATTTTCTAAATCTACGTTATCCATTTATATAAAAATAAAATAAATGTTTTAAGGGTGCCCACCTCTTTGATCAAGAATCAAAACCATCATTCAACGGTTCCTTTTGTCTCTTCTGTGGCATTTCATTAAATAAACGGCATACAACATCCATTTTCACAACATACAGCCTTAGTGTGTGCTCCTGTTAATGCAGTCTTACCGATTGTTAAGCGAGTCATTGACCGTTTTTAAGTTGTAAATTAATATTCTGACCATCAAATATCACTTTATCATTTATTATATCCAAATAATTTTTAGGTGTTAATTGTTTATTTTGTCGTAAACTAACTCCTTTCATTTTTTGTGCAATCTTTTTAAAATCACTTCCATCAATTGAACCGTTGAATGATGTATAACACTTGGGGCATAAAGCAACCATGTTATCACCTTGTTTCTCAATTGCTAAACCCAATAACTTCTTCTCATGTGCTTTTTCTTCAGCTTTATTCTTTAATTTAGGTTTAAATTTCTCATCAAAACAAAAGAAATCAAAAGGTGCGAATTTGTAAATGTTTTTATCATAAAATTGTTTATCAGTAACAATTGCTTGAAATGCTTGAGTGTTAGGAAGATTTGGGTCGCCAGCGATTGCCCAATAAGATGAATCAGTATCACCTTCAATGAAATGAAAACGATTAACATTCATGCATTTATACATAAAATCATAAATGAAAACCAAATACCAGTATTTAGCATTATCTAAAGTGAAGAATGCCTCTTGTAAACATGTATCACATCTATAAAATCTATCTTTAAGCATCACTTGATACGTATCTTCACCTATTTCTCTTATGTTTTTAAACTTATTTGACATACATGCAACGCGTGCCTTCTGTGCATTCATTATTTTAGTCTTTGCGTAATTTTGTGTATTCATTGCATCGTAACCATATGATCCATTAAGTGAAATCTTGCAAAATAAACTTTTTCCTTTATTTCCTTCTAATTCAGCCTTTTGTCTTTCGTTCATAAATTTGTTCGCAAATTCATTAAAACAAGTGTTTTTAGTAAATGTTAAAATTGATTGAATGTCATCGATGATAAAATGAAATTTGTCTATTAGATACCAAAGATAATAAGAAGAAAATGGTTGATATTGGTTGTGTGTTGATGCTAACTGAGTTAATTTTCTCTGTTTCTGGTCAACCGGTAAATTGTTTGATTTCATGTAATTATACATAAAACTGCCAATTGTTTTTTCATCTGTGATAATATCTAAGTTTCTTATTATCGGTAAAAAGTTTATGTAATCATTAATGTATTTTTCATCAATGTGACCCTTTACTTCAGCCACGAATAAAGTATTTTTCTTCTTAATAATTCCCAGTGCTTTTGCTTTCTTTGTTGCTGTATCACAAATGATAACACCATTCAATCTTCCCGGCATATACATTTTATGGTCAGTATATTGAATGAAATCATGAGGATTAGATGAAAATGATGAAGGATATAATGAATTAAAGTCAACTCCAACGAAATGAGTCATAATGTTGGTGGTGTCCTCATTTGATACAGTTTTAGTTTCTGGATTATATGAAAGTTTATTAATGTGCGTGATTCCTTTAAGATTTACTCTATGTTGAACATTTGATAAACCACCAGTAATTCCATTACGGAGAATGTGATAAGCTTCAACTGAATCTAAAGTCATTGGTAAATTATTTTTTAATGCATAATTTCTTAAATTGATTCTTAAACGTTGAACATCTTCATCTTTATTTGATTTTACGACATTGCAATAACAACACATTAACTGACAATTTTCTTTGGTATGTGGTTTTTCATTATCGATTCTATCCAATGTTGGTTTATTTGCATATGTAAACGCTTTACCACACATTTTGCATTTAGATGAAAGGATTAAATCGTGATAGTATTGAAAATCATCCGTTGAAACATTATTTTTAGTATCTTTCGCCTTTTCATCTTGTTTCTTATATGAATCAATTTTATATTTCCAATACTTTTTTGTTAATTCAAAACTTGATTCTATCTCTTCCTCAGGATATTTTTCATTAGGATTAAAGTCTTTATATGCTAAAGCGTAACGAATCATTGAAGCATTCGATGATAAAGAAAGATTATGAAGCATGTCAATTTTATAAACAAATGTTTCTTCGATAATTTTATCAATTGGGTCAATCATAATTTCAACGTCTTTATTGCAATAATGAATAAAATATTCTAATCTATTCTCAAAATTTTTAGCATCATTGAGATATATTTGATAATCTATCTGATATAGTTTCTTGAGTTAATGCTGAATAAAATGAATCTTGAGTGAATGGTTCCACTTTATATAATTCTTCTTCGTAATTCTCCCATGTGATGAATTGATAAGGGAAAAAGGATTTAACACGTTTTATTGTTTCCGAAATCTTGAGTGAATTGGTCTAATGTCCCACCCGCTATATAATTTCTGATGTCAATAAATCTTAATTCATATGGAACGTTTGTTTTCTTTACAATGATTTGCTTAAATTGTGAAGATGAACCCAGCATTGATTTTATTTTCCATTTTGCAGTGTTTAAATCATGAAGAATTAAATTTAAATCAAACTTTCCCGAATTAAAACCTATGATATTCACTTTATTGAATTCCTCATCTAGAAGTTCTTTAAATGCTTCCTTCTGTTTTTCATTTAATGTTTGAGACAAAGTCCCCACCGTTTGGTCCGTTTGCGACTTCATTAATTCTTCATATTGTTCAATATTTGATTTAGCAACTAATGAACAGGTTGAAAATAAAAACTCAATCCAATCAGAAATAAAAGAATCACTCGAAGTTAAGCAAAAATTCCTCGTATATGTTTTATCATTTAATTTAACCATTGATGATACCATGAATGGTTTTAAGTAAGCGTTCAAAGTTGCACACTCAGAAAGTTGTAATTCTTCTTTAGTCTCTAATGTTTCGAAGTCAAAAGTAATATAATATCTTGTCGGTTGATAATATTCCTGCAAATTATGAGCTAATAACCACTGATATATCTTCTGTTTCGTAATATGTGGTGCATATGGTTGCTGTGTCTTTTGCTGAACGTCTTGAATTAATCTTCCATTATTTTCTTTACATTTCTCACAATGCTTTAAAAATCTTCTTTGGTTTTTCCTTTCTGGATCATCACGGATAGAATAAACTTCTTCTTTACAATATGGACAAACTCTATAGCCGGTGAGTGCTTCAACGTCTGTTATTCTGTCAGCGTGAAGTTTTCCACATGGACTCTGTGTTAATAAAATATTTACTGTTTCAAATTCTGGATCTATCATTATTGATTCCACTAATGGAAAGTCTACCTTTTATGTCACGTCTTCTGGTTGAGGATCACAATAATAGAAAATCAATATTAACATTTAACATTCTCGCTAATCTCTCACTTTCTGATGAAATATCAAACCCTTCATATGCATCTATTGGCTTCATTTAAATAGCTTCTACGAGTTTTAGGATTAACACCATCAGGAATGTTATAGAAGCGTTTAAATAACCTTCTACCTTCTGCTCTAATTTGATTATCATTCATTTTAGCTGTTCCATTTTTGTTCATTTATGTAAGAATAAAATTAAAAAATAAATAAAAATAGTTTATTTTTTAAAGCCATAAAATGAATTAAGAAACACATAAATTTTTATCATCTGCGACGTGACGAATACATTTTAATTTACTCAAGAATGTGTACCCTGATACATTAAATCTAATTCCTGTCTTATTTAATTTCACAACTTTGAAAAGGAATGTATGAATAGCTATAAAATGATGAGAAGATGTTTTATGGGTTGCTTCCATTTTTTCTGAAATAAATGAATAAATATAATGCTTATACGTTTTCATATCTTTTATATTCTTAATAACGAATGGTATAGACCTTTCCACTTCGTCTTCCTTCGGTGCTGTTCTTTCATATGAAACATTATTGGTATCTTCAATAATGAAACCACAATCACACAAAATTTTATAGGTTCCAATGGTTTCTTTTGATATTTTATCTAATAAATCAAAAACTTTATCAACACCTGTGCATTTATTTAAATAATAATTTGTGTAAATATCATGGTCTTCTTTCTTAATCGTATTTGTTGCATATGTCACGTTTTTAAGAGCTTTTTTGAATTTCTCAGAATCGAGAGGAGGGGGTGAAAGTAAATACAGGATAATCTCCATTATCAATAAATTGTAACTTATGTTTAGTATAAATTTAGTACCTTCTTCTGAAAGTGTTTCATCAATTTCACCATCTAATAAATTTGTGTTGATTCTGAGACATAATTTTTATATCTTTCTTCATGAGATTTCTGAACTGCTGATTCTGAAGCTGGGATATTCATTAAACCCTCTACTTCATTTTCATTATATTTTTCAACTTCTCTTAATTCCTTAATTTTTTCATCTATTTCATCTCTTATTTTTTCCAGTCTTTCAATTTCATCATATTCATCATCTTTAATCCGTTCTTCATAATATTCAGGGAAAACATCAGGTTCTTTAGTTTTTCTCTTTTTAGATGTGGGATATAAGAAATTTATAACATCATCTTTATTCATTTTTCCATCATAATCAAACTCATTTAAAAACTCCGCGAATTTTTGACAATTTCTAAAATAATATTTATCAACCTCATAACCTGCCTCCTCTAATATATCCTTTATTTCCTCATTTGTGAATCCTAATTTTTTAACGTCGTTAGTCTTGACACTCATTTCATACAAAATAAAAATAAATTTTCATAAATGTAAGACATGAATTTTTAAAGTTTATTTTTTTTATTTCATTATGGTAGTGAATCTTTCATTCATGAAAATAATTATTTCTAATTTCTTTTACTCTCTCGTACATACTAGATTTAAAGAATTCAGAACTTTTACCATAATCTCCTAAATGTTTTCTTATCCCTAACGTGTGCCAGTTATTATATGAAACTGAATAAACTTTATCTTTATCTTTGCATCTTTCATCACTTCCAATATATTTATATCTCAGTTTTGATTTAGCATTTTCATATTCATTAGCGTTTAATAATTCACAGTCTTCCTTTTTAAATTGATGTTTAAGATATTCAGGATTTAATACTCTACGTTTATATGCTCCTAACTTAGTTCTAAAGGTTTTTCTACAAAATTTAGGAATTCCATCCTCTTTAATGTCATCAATGATTTCCATTTCATTATTTTCAATTTCTTCTTCTCGTTTATGAGGTCTTTGATTATGACTCCATTGATTCCATGAAATTAAATATTCTTTATCATTATATTTATACCTCATTAGCTTATTTTGGCTTTCATATTCATTTAATAATTCACAGTCTTCCTTTTTAAATTGAAGTTTAACCCATTCAGGATTTAAACAATGTTTAATTAATCGCGGAATATCTGACATCATCTATATATAACTTCTTTTATAAAAGATAAAAAAATAAATTATTTTAAAATTAATGTTAATTTTTTAAAATGTGTTTAGTATATAATATTTATTACTAATTTATTTAATAATGTCGCGCTTTCTTACGAATTCATGACTTAAAAAACGTAAGAAAAAATTTTTATATCATCTATATATAGAAGATGTGAAAATATACCTTCATCTATATATAGACGTAACAAAAAAAGTCACACAACCCTTCCACATATACTACTGAGTTCTGTAAATAATTTAATATCTTTATCGCGAATTTGTGAAATAACATCAATCAAGTAAAGTGACATTTGGATAGATATTTTGTTATTTGTAATGAATTCAATAATCTGTGAATATATTTGTAAAATATTATTAGACATATTCATAAAGGCGACGGAATTTATGAATAGGGTACCCTATTTATGAACGGTTAGAATTTGGAAAAACCGTCGCAAGTATGAAAACCCTAAATATGGAAAAACCGTCAAAAGTATGAACAGGTAGGTGATCGGAATCTTCATATTTTTTATTTGGAATTTCCAAACAAAAGTTGTTTCGAAATTCCAATCAATTTGGAATTTAGAAACAAGAACCTAATAATCAATTATGTATGGAAATTAGAAATAATCCCTATACTATATGCTATTGTTTTTCACTTTTTTCTAAAAAATCTTCTAAATTAATTTAGATTTTATTAATTTTTAGACTAAATCCAAATACACTTGATTAATTTCTGTAATTATTGAAGAAGGCTTAAACTTATATCTTAACTTATATCTCAAAAATAAAAACATTTTTCTTTTTTCTATGGCGAAAAATGTACTTATTTTTTGGAAATTTTCGAAATATGATTTTTTTGCGAGACTTTTTGAAAATTTTAATATGATAAATATGAGTTATTTTATGTTCTCTATTTGAGAGTCTGCCTATTTTTGAGTATTGAGCAAGATTGAAAAATGAGAAAATTTAGGAACATAAGAAATCGATTTATCTCGTCATGTAGTTCATATTTTCGCGTTCTGAGAGCGGAAAACGCATTTTTTGAATGCGTAGATTCCGAATCACACGAAAAAAAATAGGTTTTAATAAGAAAAATAGACAATTTATGAAGTAACAAAGCACATAGTATTATAAAAAAGAAAAACATTTTTCTCATATGAAAGAAAATATAACGTATTTTTTACAGAGCGTAGGTATATATCGAGCCAATTCACACCATAAATTCTTTTCTCGTTCTCGGCCTATAAACAACCTGAGGTGCACAACAATATTAACTTATACTGCTGTTATCTGGATTTGAATCCTCAATTGAGAGAATTCCAGATAACTTCAGTATAAACAAACCATATACATGTTTCCTCCTTGCTTCTAGGCCAAGCATAACAAGTACATTACCTTAGAGCAAATCTCATTCGGAGTTTCTCATTTAATGAGAGACTCCGAATGAAATTTGCCTATTTGATTAATATCGTGCTTTATGAGATGCAAATTCTGATGATAAATATTGATCTAGAGCTTATATAAGATGCGAAGAAACTTCAAAAAAAGCTAACCGGTAAAGACAGCAACTTGCAACACCAAGTTGCTCACGTAGTGATTACAAGCATATCTGCAAGGCAAAGTCCTCAGGATGCAGAACTTTGCCTGCAATCAGAAAAGAGATTGCAGCAGAGTAACCGGTAAAGACAGCAACTTGCAAAGTCAAGCAGTTTCTGAGATTTTGATTTATAAATCATAAACCTTCATGCTTGATGATTTTGTAGAATTGTTAACTCATGTCATCAGTTAATGCTCACCTAAGGGAGGTGTTTTGCGGGAGCTGGGGGTATCTTGGTGAGTACTCAGGAGGCCAAGAAGGGCACCCCAACCGACATTTTGCTGATGGATTGAGTTCGCAACCATTTTTATAACCGTAAAAACCGTCGGGACAAAACAACATGAATAATTGAATTTTTTAATGATAATGATTGTGAAATAACATGTAACTATAATTTAAGAATGCCATATTTTTGTTAAAAAAAAATCGAAAAGTGAGATATTTTCCATTCTAATAAATATATTTGATAACCGGGGTGTCCCCCGGAATCAAATAAATTATCATATCGAGAATCGGAGATCCTTGCAGTTTCGATTTTTTCGAAAAGTGAGAGATTTTCCATTCTAATAAATATATTTGATAACCGGGGTGTCCCCCGGAATCAAATAAATTATCATATCGAGAATCGGAGATCCTTGCAGTTTCGATTTTTTCGAAAAGTGAGAGATTTTCCGTTCTAATAAATATATTTGATAACCGGGGTGTCCCCCGGAATCAAATAAATTATCATATCGAGAATCGGAGATCCTTGCAGTTTCGATTTTTTCGAAAAGTGAGAGATTTTCCGTTCTAATAAATATATTTGATAACCGGGGTGTCCCCCGGAATCAAATAAATTAGCATTACTAACATTCCTTTTTTATTTAAAATTTTCAATTCTTAAAACAAAATTTTACTTCTATTTAATTATTTGCCATGAAAGTATAGAACATTAAAAATTCATCCTACTACCTCCACCCTTATAATACCTTCAAAAAAATTATATCTCAATTTATTTTCTATCTTTATATTGATGTGCTTATTCAAAAACACTAAATCATAAGTCTTCAGTTCTCAAAATACTCTCAAATTATCTCGTTGCGCATATTTTGAAATTTGATAATTTTAAATTGTTAAAAAATTCATTAATCACAGTAAAATATCTATATACAACAATTAACTAACTGATTCCACATCTTGAACATTCGCATTTATTTAATATATTTGAATATCATTTACATCTTATTGAATTAGATCATAAATCACAGTTCCCTAATATACTATCTAGCTAACCATTATTGTTGCACAACTTACATGTGATTAAACACACGTGTATAATTCTGTACAACTCATATCTCTATCAATACTTTATTTATAATCAAAACAAAGGTTAAAATTGTATACCCTGTCACTGTAGAGTATTCTCCCAACTTTAAAGTGAAAATCAAAATTTGATATTTTAGTAATTTCATGTGAGATCGTTATTTTATAGGAAAACATACTGAAAATGTTTATAAGATGTTTCTCTATCATATGCCAAAATATCATGGTTTAAATGCTCTCCTAAGTGTCTATAACTGAATTTTAGGGCAATAACCTTATTCTAAATGTTGGGAAAGTAGTAATTTTTATTTTTGAGATCCCGACAGCTACTTCTCCAAATGAGATTCTTAATGTATATGTCCTATCAATAATACTTCTCAAAGTAAAAAAATACGTATTTATTTTTATCAAATATGCAAACACTCTATTTATATGAAACAAAAGTAGTTAAAATTACGTAGTATTATAGGTAATTAGGTTCTTTCTTCCATTCTTCAATAAATTTAAGAACTGATTCTGGTTCATAAAGATTTTCACTTTGATTTACAGAATATAGAGCTAATTTCTTAGCTTCTATGGAGGCAGCTGCTTTATTGATTGCTTGGCAGGCTTCTTCGTATTTTTCAGTAATACTATTTGTATCTGGTGGAAATGACCATGCAACATCCAATGGTTTAGTCATAAACATATCTTTTGCTTTTACAAGCGTACCTCTGCATTGAGTAAGTGAATGTTCATATAAAACTAATTGTCTGTTTAATTCAGCAATGAGTGCATCACAGCTTACTAGCTGTTCCATTTCTAATTTACTTTGAAGCCCTGCATATTGGCTTAGAGAGCCAAGATTGTTCTTATATTCGCGAAAAGCCGTTCTAATTGATTCCCATTTCATAACTATACCATTAAGGGCATTAATTGCTTGTGTACTTTCATTCTCACATCTATTTAATTCCATTGTAATCCTCATAAAAGAAGCTTCCATTTCAAGATTTTAAATCTTGGCACTTTTTACAGGCGAAAATGTCTAAAATCATTTCCATATGGTAATAATGATTCTGAAGCATTTTAACTATTAAGTATTGCAAGTGGTTTATCTGCTTGTCTATTCCATTTGGGTAAATTGTATCTCTTTCTTTAAATCTATAATAAACTTTTTAATTTAGAAAGATGAAAAGGTCATTAAAAGGTATAAAGCTATATTAATGTAAAATATGTTGATTATTGGAATATTCAAGCGGATAAGTCTAAATTAATTTTCATAAAAAATTATATTACGAACTAAATAGTTTGAAAAGCATTATATTTGACATGAAATACAAACATTTATTCAAATTTATAAGTTGGCTGCATATCGAAAACATAATAAATGCAGCCACCGATTAAAGCAATTAAAACAAGAGCAATCATAATGTATATTGTTCTATTCTTAAACCTTTGTGCTGGGAAGAGAATTAAGTCTCTAAATATCATTGATAACCTTTGATTTTGTATATCGTTAAAACTTTCAAAATCTTTGCCGATAACTTGAGACAAAAGGTTTTCTGAAACTTGGCTTATCAATACATACTTGTTTTTCTTGGAATTCGTAATCATTGCGGCAGGATATTTGAGATTGTCTATTTTTATATCTCCTCCGCTGAGGAATTTAAATCTTTCGGCAGTTACTGCGGCCCAGTGATGTGTCAAGTCTTTTTTGGCTATGTTATTAAAAGAATTTGCATCATTTAAGTCAGAAACGATCAAAATAACAAGCGGACGATTCTTTGACATTATTTCTTTCCATTTTACAACAGCAAATGGCTTAGTTTTGTATTCTTTTACGAATTTTTTGACATTTTTTATCGACCATGGTTTTTCTAATTGAACTGACGCTAATTTTTCAGTATATATTGCCATATCCATCTCGGATTGATTGTAATTGATGTAAAATTGATCTGCAAGATTATAATCTCTTCCAACTAATTTGTCGATAAAAGCACAGCCTTCTTTCAGATTGCCAGCGTAATTTAGAACGAATGCAGGATAATTTAATGAACTATTCAATTGATTATTATCTAAAACGTTGCATAATTCGTCCATTTTTAATAATCTTAGCTCATCTATTTTCTCTTTGAGTCCATTATAATGTCTACTACCATCATATGTTTTTGAATTTCCTTTTAATACTATCCTGAATCCGGGATATCCATTTACATGGTGTTCATGCGAACAAGTATGGTGATATGCTTCACAGTTCAGCTCAGCTATGATTACTTTTGGATCATTTTTATATTCTTCTGCTAATTTTTCCCAATCAGGATGAATTTCTTTGCAATGTCCACAATGTGGTGAGTAACAGAATACAAAAACTGGAACTTTCCATGATTGGTTCATGACATATGTATTTAATCGATCATTCAACTTGAAGGCGAAGAAAGGAAGTACATATAACATTTTTTGGCGACTGCACGCCCATAAAAGAAATTTTCGTAGTTTTTCGAAAATTTCAGAATGTTAGTTTTATAATCAAATTTTAGAGAAAGAATGAGGAAAATTTTTAATTGTCACCTTTTTATCCAAAATTTATGGAATAGCAAAAATCCCTTTTTATAGGGGATAAAAGCTATTTCATAGATCTTTTTTTGGATATGAGTATAATCAAATACTCTTTAGACATCAATTGATCAATGTATCACGAAGAAAAATTCACGAAGATTGGGAAGAATTTTATCCAGAAACTGAACAATACGAAAAATATACAAAAAATACTAATAAGCTCACTGCAAATGGAAATAACTACTATGTTTCATCATGCTTTTTCACTCAAGTAAACACACAAGGTTCAGTTTACTTAAACACACAAAATACCGCAATCAAATTCCTCATTGATACTACAACATTTAATAATTGTAGTAACAGTCAAACAGGCGGTTGTATTTTCTATCAGCAAGAAGGCGAATTTGTTCAAGATCGCGTCTGCAGTTTCGCTTCTAAAGTAAACTCACAAAGTACAAAAGGTGTTTACTGTAAAATTGATGTTACTAATACCTACAAAAATTATATTTATGATTCCTCTATTAGTAAAAGTGGAAATGAAAGTCTCTTCGGAACTAGAAATCTTTATTTAATAAATGGCCAAATCGAAATTAAATCAATCAACATTTCATTTTCAAAAGTATATTGGAGAGATTTTTATCAAGTTGAATCATTTTCATCAAGCTCAAATTGTTCATTTTCCACTTTTTCTAATTCATCAAGTACCGATCAAGGTTGGAAATTTGGTCACTCAAGTTCTCAAGAAACTTTTGAAATTCTAAATTGTAACATTTTAAATAACTATAATGGAGGAATTCTTTATTCGGATCCTCTAGTTTATATCAAAAATAGTAGTTTTATAAATAACATTATAAGTAGTATTTATAATTATTTTGAAGGTAAATTTACATTAGATGGATGTTACATTGATAACAATTCTCCAAAAACAATAGGAGCAGTTATCTTTATAAATACAATCACAAATGAATTTACTCATAATCTTTCTCATTTTTCAACTGCTCTTTGTCATGCAGATATTCCTACTATTTATGAAATCAAACAAAACATTCAACATAGTGAATATAATTCTTTTCTTTGTGTTTTTCTTTCATCACTAAACATCTTATTTTAATCTTAGTCTTATTATCGATGATTATATTATTTTCACATAGAAATTACATTAGAGTAGTAGCAAAGAAATGATATCATATATCTTCTTAGCTCTCATGGATTTGATATGACCGAATATGAAAAAAAAATTGGCCATATTTCTGATTTATGATCGTTTAGACACCAACACATATAATATATTCATTAATTAAACATTAAGCCATTCTTTGAAACAATATTATTTCAGCAATTCTTAGTATTTCATTAAATAATTAATAACAATAGCCCAAAATTGAAAATAGAAAATATTATTACCGAATTAAATGCCAATTTGATTAAAATTAAAAAAAAAATTAAAAATAATGATATTTACATACACGTAACAGCTATAATTGTAATTATGCTTTTCCGAGTAGTATCTTAAGCTCTTCGAAGCATTGTTTTGGCATTTTCATTATATCTATTGTAGTATTTTCCTGTATATCAAGATCTGGCATCCATTTCTTAAGAATACGCATGACGCCGAGTAAAACGTTCTCATCTTTAAGTTCGTCGAGAGATTTTTGGATTGAACTTGCTTCTTCGGAATTAACGCGACGCTTGTGAGATGAGTTTGATCCCTTTTTAGTGAAGAACTTTTCTCCAGCAAGCATCCTTGAGAAGTTATCGTAGGCTTCGCCAATAATTACGATTTTTTCAGCGCACTTCCTGATATTCTTCTCTACTACTTCTGGTTTAGTAACAGCACGTTTTATAAGCCTTTTCTCAAACCATGATTCTAAATCGTGACAAATTAAAAGTAAATTTTTCTGTGCGCTATAGTATTCAGCTAAATCGGCAATAAGTGTGTTAACATCAAGTGACCAATCGAAAATTGTTAAGTATTTATTGTTTTTCAAAAATTCTTCGATTTCATTTAAAGATCTACTATATCCTATTTTTAAATCAGGTTTGGCAACATGGGAATAAACTTTTTTAGCTTTTATTTTCTCGTGGATCTTTAAACACCAATCAATTTCTTCTTGTTTCATATTTTGTCACTTTTTTATGAAATCATAATAACTCAGAAGTGAATTAAAAACAAGACATCAAGGCATGACAAATAAAAATTTTGATATCATCTTGCTAATGAAAGATGCTGACTCAATAATGTTCGATAATTCTAATAATTTTGATGATTCTAAAATTAAATCTGAAAATTTGGACTTATGAGTGTAACTCAGTATGATAGAATGCTCAAATATTAAATATATTAACAGTTCTTTAATAAATATAAGGATTTTAAAACAAAAATATGTAAAACAAAATTTATTGAGGCTGTTGGATTTGTTCCTTCATCTTTTGAACCTTTTCTTTCCATGCAGCATCGCGTTTCTTGTATGTTTCGTAGTAATGTTTTGATTTGGCAACTAATTCTTGCCTAGAAGCTTCCATTTTCTCGATTTGGAGCTCTAATTCTTCTAACTGCTTTTGCTTAGCTTCTTTATCTTGAGTTAAGCGCTGTATTTCCGAATCAATTTTCTCATTTTCTTTTTTGAACTTAGAATCATTTTCATCATCATGGCTTTGAATAGGAGTTCCTGAAGCAGCTTTGAGTTTGCCTGGTTGGAAGTGAGTTTCTTGATCAATAATATTTAATATGATATTCAAAGCTTCTTTAACATATTTAGATGTATCTTCTGATTTGCTTAGCTCTGTTGATATAGCATTGAGTTTTTCTAGATATTGTGACTGTGACAAAGATTGAGCACACTTAAATGTTGCGCTGAGATTTTCATTTCTTCTTCTTTCGGCATTAAGCTCTTCACACAAAATTGATTGCTCATTTTGTAATTGTGCAATTGTTTCTGCTGGGTTATCTGACGGAGATTTTGGAGGAAGAAGTGGTGTTGGCTTGATTTGCTTTCTTTGGGCAATATATTTATTAAGAGATGTCATAGCTAGACCTCGTGGGTTACCAAGTGAAATAAAAGTTCTGTCTTCTTTTTGTTCTTCAAACATTTTTTTGTAAATTTTTTTTTCAATAAACGAATGGTGACAGACCCGCAAAAAAGTTTACACAAGTATGAAACATTTAACAAGTCTTGTCTTAATCCCTTAGAATAGTCGAGAAAGTGATGTTAAAAATGAATAAAGATATTAAAAATATTTCAAATTTATAAATGAAGAATTAAAATTCATGAAAAATATACCTCAAAATGCATGGAATGCTTGTATGAAAGCAACCTTATTATCCTATGCTATGAAAAATATCTTAAATTCTCATTAAAAAGAAAAAATTATCCAAATACAAAAATAAAAGGTGAAATCTATATAGTATTTTTCATGTATTGAAGGTATAATGTTAGTGGATCATTTCCAGATGAGTGATTGATGCATAACAAAGTAAATAAATTAATTGTGGAAGCATTAATAAAAAACAGTTTAATTTCTAGATATGCGTACCTTACATATTACTATTTTATTGCTTCTTATTGCTAAATGGATTTTGTACAGCAATGAAAATAAATTCACCATAAGGAGCAATAATTAGTTCGTTTTTCTTTGATCTTATACGGACAATTTCTAATTCGCCGGCTTCTGGGATTTCTTCTAATGCTTTGTGGGTTCTAGATATAAAATGAGCAACTAATGCTGAAAATGTATTTGTTTCGTCTGCTGAAAATGTTGTGCGAATTGGAACGCCTTCCTTTGTCATGGCTATTGTTCCAATAACGCCTTCTTTGGTTGACAAATCATTGAGAATCTTCTCAGCTTCAGTCATAATACGTTATATTTTTGGAGGTTTTGTAAAATGAGAATATTATCATGAAATAATTACATATGATATTTATATGGCCTCCATTTGGCAAACATTTCGTTTTTGGGCCTCATATCAGAATAAAAAGATCATTAGGAAATTAATTGTTGGCGTTTTTTATCATTTTAAATGCCGGATTACAGCTATGTGTCATTTGTATGTTAAATCATGTATTGTATATAGCTACCCAGCATGTAATCCCATCATATTTCTTATTTTGATCTTACATACATAATTAGCTGATGCATAGTAACGCATCAGCTACTTGGCTTAAGCTCTCCATAATTCCATGAGCAACTAGTGAGTTGGGAAATTCATAATTTTGCCATATTGATCATCTGACCTAATATTCATTTCAATCTGTTTTATTTGTAATTGTGATTCGAAGCATAATTAAAACAGAAAACAAATAAATTATGTTGGAAAAAAATATTCAAAAAGATTTTTAATTTTATGACTGATATCTTTACGATTATCAAGAATGGAGATAAACTAGAAAATGCAATCAATAAGAACAATGCTAATCGAATACTTATTAACAAAAAAGAGAAGCTTTTTCATGGAATTACACCATATTTGTACGCTTGTATCTATGGGAAGCCAGAAACTTTAAGAATATTAGAAAAACATGGTGCAGATCCGTATTTTAGGCTTGTTAGAGCTTCAGATCATGTAATTTATCACGCTCCAAAATGCAAAATCGATACGAAAGAATATTTTGAACAATGCCAAGAAGAAGCAAAAAAGAAGCAATCTGGACTTAATGCTGTAGCACTTTCTATAATGAAAGACAACATTGATGTTTTAGTTTATCTTCATCGAGAAAAGAAATTTAGTTTAGATGAAAAATCAAACGGATTTTATCCAATACATATAGCAGCGAGACAGAATGCATCTAAATGCTTTGAATATTTAAAGAATAACATGGAAAATTGTGATCCTAACTTGAGAACAGGTGAACACTCAACAATAGGCGATTTGGTAGACAAAAATAATTCAACTTTGATTAAAATTATTTTAAAGCCACTAAAAATGAAACCAAAATCAAAAAATATCGATCCAAAAACAACTAATTTCCTTTCTGGCATTGGTTATAATGAAAGTGAAATTAAAAGAATACCAGAAGATGTTTTGAAATTCGGAATTGAACGAAAATTAGAAAATTTCAAAGATTTGAAAAAACAGGCAGAATTAGTTAAGAGAACTATAGAAATTGAGAGTACACAAGATTAGTTTCAATAAAAACTTTATTTTTATAAATTCAATATAAAATTTTTTTGATAAGTGAATTTTTAATCAATTTATGTCCCATTAGCCGATTTAATAATGTTTAATATTATAAGCCTTCAAATGATAATAGTAATTCATAGATAATCAAACTGTTACGCACTTTGTTTGATATTTACGGTGATTTTTATTCTTTTAAGAATCTATGTATAGGGCTTTCATATTCGAGACTAATTTGTTAAATTTATGCAGATAAATCTATATTTTTTGAAGTCCAAAAAGTGACAAAACACATCAATCTTTGAATATGCTGATTACTAGCAATTCATGTAAGATTTGGTAATGAGTCTAAAGTTACCAAGCCAGAACCTGTCAGAAGATCAGGAAACACTTTCAAATTTGAATATCCATGCTCTAATAATGATTGTACATTCTTTGAGTTGCAATTCAAACCAAGTATGTACAAGGTTGAGTTATGGGGTGCCTCTGGTGGATACTTAGATAATCGAGGAGGAAGAGGTGCTTATACTTCAGGGTTTATGTCACTTTTCAACCCGAAAACCCTTTATCTATATCTTGGTGAAAGTGGTGCCTGGAGTGGTCCTGCGACATATAATGGTGGTGGACGAGGCACAATAAATGTTACTGATCGTAGTTACTCAGTATCTGGTGGTTCAGGAGGTGGCGCTTCCGATTTACGACTCATGGGAGGTCAATGGGATGATTTTGAAAGTTTGAAATCAAGAGTAATGGTTTCTGCCGGAGGCGCTGGGTCTGCATATTATAAAAGCTGTGGAGGCTTTATTCAAGGGGGTGCCGGCGGTGGTCTAATAGGATCCAATGGTGTCATTTGCAGTTTTGACGAAAGTGATTGGTTTGATAAATCATATGGCGCAAAACAAGATTATTATGGAATCGGAGCTAGCTCCCATGGTGTAAATGGAAAGTTTGGGATTGGCGGATATTGTAATGATCCATTTCATGGTAGCGGAGGTAGTGGAGGCTATTATGGGGGCGGTGGCGGGGGTAAAGTCGATTCACGCGTTGGAAGTGGATCAGGAGGTTCTTCTTATATAAGCGGTCATGAAAATTGTAAAGCAATAAGTCAAGATTATACTGAAGCAAACTTAAAACACTTAACTACATCTGTACATTTCTCTGGCTTCCGATTTTATTCCACTACTCTTCTGAGCAGTTTGGTTAAAATCCCAAGTTTTTCGTCACCTGATCAATATGAAAGCAATGGCCATAATGGATATGGTTTAGCAAGGATAACCGTTATTGAAACCATGAATGCTGTATCTAATTGTATTTATTTCAGCATCAAATATTCTTATTTGTTATTATTTATAAACATTGAATTCTCAGAAGGATGATAATTAGAACTAATGTTTGGTAAATGTGTAAAAATAAGAGATAAGTTGAGTTCCTATAATAAATAAATAAAAATTATATTTTACTATTTAAAAAACAATAAAAATAACACACAATTATATATTGACAGTAACCTTTGGCCATAGTATCTTCTTGCAATGAGGCAGTTGTTCCAATCTCTCCTCTTTTGAAGGTTCAATTGAATGGAATTTTTCATAAATTGGGCTGCTGACGTATTTAGGGGTTTCTTTACGCTCTATTATCCTTGAAGCTGGTAACTGGAAGCTTGAAACAAAGCAGTCTTGCATGTAAGTTGGTTGTCTGTAAGATTCCGAAGTTACTGGCGACCAAAAGTAAAATAGAGAGTCACTAACTATTATTGTGAACATTATAACAACAGATGATGGTATTTCTTCTTTAAATCCGAATTCTGAGAGCCCTTTTGTTGCAAATATTTGGAATAAAATTGAAATTATCAAATAAGGGATAAGTAGCTGCAGGAAGTAAAATATATGCCTGTCAATATACCATTTACCCATTTCATAAGCAACATAAGTGATAATTGATTCATTATCCAAATTTCTCATGAAATTTCCATCGAATACGATTCTTTTCATTCTGCCTCCGACAGTAATAATATTTCCTTCCTCTAATTTGTCAGAAGTAATCGAAATGTATTGTAATGGAAAATTACAAGTTCTTGAGATTTTTCTTATTTGTCTCATGATATTCTTTTCGGAATATTTCTCTAGATAATGTCTGTCAGCATAATAGTCGGGTACCATTCTTGGAAGTCCACAAAATAGGAAATATAATATTCCAGAAACGATAATCCAATGAATCAGCCAGAAATATTTAGCAGCAGAAAATTTGACGATTGTTGATCGATTTTCTGGATTTTCTCCATCAATTTTTCTGGAATTTCTTCTTGTCAATAATTTTGTGAGAACAAACAAGATTGCTTCGAATATGTAGATAACGCCATGGTAAATCAAATAGAAAAGTACTGATCTTGGTGGGAAATGACTGATATCATCAGAAAACCATGTAACATCAGAATATCTCAAGCGAAGAGTATGAATAAGGAATCTTTGTAATGGAAATATTGTCGTTCCATAACGTGCGAGTATTAAAATAACCATATTAATGATATCTGTTTGTGTATATGGATAAATGATGTAAGAAAATTGCAAAATACATATGTTTGCAACTAGTAAAAGAAAATCTTGTCGCATATCAGCTTTGATTCGATCTCTTTGTACGTGCATTTGATTCATATTTCCGGAATAAATCTTATTTTCGATATATCTTGTAATATTTTTGACTTCTGAGGCATTTACATAGAATTTCAATATGAATTCGGCTATTAAAAATGCGAATAATGCAATTTTAAATTTCGGAATTGTTTTAATAACTGGTTTAGAAGATGCCTTGTTATCTGATTCGACAGTATTCACTTGTTCAACTTCCTCATTAGATTGTTCGTCATATTGCTCATCTTTTTCTTCTTCACTCATTGAAATTTTTTGATTTCATATCACCTTGGATTTCATTTCTCCAGTTATCATATGTTTGAGATACTTTGTTATTATTTGAATAATTCATATGCTTTTATGCACAATTTGTAAATAATTATATTAACTAGCTGCTCCGCACGGTTTCGTTCGCAGGATCTCAACAAGAAAGAAATTTACATTTATAGAGTTCGATACAACGAAAGATGCAAAAGATGCATTTCATTTCTTGAAATCAGCTGAACAAAATTATCACGATCATTGTTTTCTACATGAATAACTTAGTATTTTTTTCTTCTAATGAATTTAAGAGGTAAAATATATGGTAAAATGCAAATATATCTTTAGAAAAATTATTAATGTCTGAGCAAGACGTTCATCCAAGCAAATATAACAAACTGCGAGGCAGTTGCAAATACTATATAGATTCGTATCTTGCATTGTATCAGCTAAAAACGGAAAACGAAGGAGAATTAAAGTCGATTTACAAAATGATCAAAACAGATTTGATTGATTCAAAGAAATATCTCTGCACAAATGTTATTAAAGACATTTTAGTTATCATCCCGTTTAATAATCGCTATACAAAGTCATATTTATTTCTTGCCAAACTCATATCTGATGATTACCATATCACAGAGGTCAGCAGTGTTGAAACTTTTCCAGGCTTCCTGTTTTATAAAGAATATGGAATTCAATTAGACAAATCAGCTAATTTTGAACAATTTAGCTCAACAAATCTGGACATTCATACAGAAAATACAATTTACAGAGCAATTATGTATAATGACATAGAAACATTCATCGCATTCACTGAACAAGAAGGATTTAATAAAGACCAAACACTTAAAAGCGATTTATATCCAGACTCTTATAATGAATATTCATTACTTGAATTATGTTGTTACCATGGAGCAGTTGATTGTTTCAAGTTATTAAGAACAAAATTTAAATCAGAAATAACTCAAACATGTCTAGCATTATCATTTTTAGGCGGAAATCCCGAGATCATGAGTGAATGTTTGAAATTTCAAAAACCAAATGAAGAATGCATGGGTTATGCAATTATTTCACACAACGTTGATTTTGTTACATTCTTGATGAATGAGTACAATTTAGAGATCGACTTAGATTATTGTAGGTTTTATAATAATCTTGAATCCTTTTTAATTTATTTCGATCAAACTAATGATATAAACAAATGTTTCGTTTATTCAGCAATATTTGATACTCCATCCCTTTTGGAATACTTCCTTTCACATGGTGCAAATATCAATGAAAAAGATGTAGGTGGAAGAACCGCACTTCATATCGCAATGCTTACTAATATAAAAGAAACTGCAGAATTTCTTATTTCACATGGTGCGAATATCAATGAAAAAGATATATTTGGAAGAACTGCACTTCATATTGCAGCAATAAACAATAGTAAAGAAACTGCCGAACTTCTTATTTCACATGGTGCAAATATCAATGAAAAAGATAAATTTGGAAAAACTGCACTTCATGTTGCAGTAGAAAACAATAGAAATGAAACAGCAGAATTTCTTATTTCACATGGTGCAAATATCAATGAAAAAGGTGAATATGGAAGAACCGCTCTTCAGATTGCAATACTTAAAAATAGTCAAGAAACTGCAGCAGTTCTTATTTCACATGGTGCGAATATCAATGAAAAAGATAAATTTGGAAGAACCGCACTTCATATGGCAGCAGCAAATAGTAGAAAAGAAACTGCAGAAGTTCTTATTTCACATGGTGCGAATATCAATGAAAAAGATATATTTGGAAGAACTGCACTTCATATTGCAGCAATAAACAATAGTAAAGAAACTGCCGAACTTCTTATTTCACATGGTGCAAATATCAATGAAAAAGATAAATTTGGAAAAACTGCACTTCATGTTGCAGTAGAAAACAATAGAAATGAAACTGCAGAATTTCTTATTTCACATGGTGCGAATATCAATGAAAAAACTAATAATGGACAAACCACTCTTAATTTTGCAATACTTAAGTATTAATAATAGTAACGAAACTACAGAATTTCTTATTTCACATGGTGCGAAAAAAATAATGTTCTTACATAAGATATCCATTTGTTTTCTGGTATTTTCGAAGGAGATTGTTGGATTGATAGTATAATAATCGTTTTTGTCCATTTTTTGCACTTGAGTTTGTTAGATGTGATGACCTTTATTCTATTCATCCTCGTGAAGTTGCACATGAATTCACTGGATACAGTCTTCCAAAATTGCATAAATGTTTAGGAAGAGATTCAATTTGGATAGTATTACACCAACAAAATATTTTTGATTGGCAGTGGAGAGAAATGTCTTCCATTGTAAGCTCTAAGCATGAATTATTAAGAATATAAGCAAATATAACTATTTTTTTAAAAAATCTAATGCGTATAAACATATACCTGAGGGTTAATTGCATAAATATATTGTAATGACAAATTAATAAGAGTGAAATAGTGTCAAAACTGTATTGTTTGCTAGTGAATTTTTGATTTTGAGTATAAATTTTATCATAATTACACTCTTTATATCATAAAAATGTTATATTATAAAAATCAAAAATTTCAACATCCATTCTATCATATCCTCTTTTAAAAGGCGTTTAAAATGTCTATATGTGTCAAGATACAGAAGCCTTTTTAGAAGGTGGGGAAAAAAGTGACGATTTTCCAGGGAAAATGAAGGGTAAGTAAAACAAGTAACGTTGATTGACTTAATTTGATTTAGTTTCATTGAATAAAACCTTAATTGATATATTTTCCTATATAATAAGCATGCTAAAAAAGATAATATTACATATTTACTATGTAAATTCACATTACATTTATTTTACTGATCTTGAATAATGCGTTATTGATCTGAATTTTGATCTGTTACTTCTATCGGCTGTAATGAGTGGATTTACAACTTTTTCCATCATTCTATTAAAAGCAGAAATAAATTCTTCAATCTTTGCATTCTCTTTGAGGTCAGGTTCGGCCTGGGATGCTTGGATATATAAGTTAAAGCATTGAGTTGCAACAGTGGTGAGAGTAAGCAGCTGGCACTCGAATGATTTTGTAATAGCGTCCAAAAACTTCCTCATGAGCTTGAAATCTTAGAACAATGTAAAGAATAGAGATGCATTCAAATCTTTTACGTTTTCTATACAAGATTTGATGGCGTAAATGATACCAGTGAACAAATCTTATTGGTTTGCTTCAATTTTTATATATGGATTTGGATCAACTATAGCATAATCGAGAAGTTGAACACAAATTTTGAGAAGATCATCTTTACAATTTCTCTTTATCATTATTGCTTTCATGATTATTGTTATTGATCAATTAAAAGTTTGCTTGGCTATTATATCCTATATGCATTTTAAAAGCCATTAAGTTAATTTTTATATAGTATGCTATTTGAAAGTTTTACACATTTATCATAAATATTTGACATTTATTAAGGGAGCAATTACCGCTTTCTGACATGCTCTCATTATATTCAAAATATATTAGTTACTTTTTGAGAGGAGGGACGTATTTAAAAAGTGAATATATATATTTTAATAGTTGCTTGATATTTTTTTGGGCTTATTTATAAGCCCGAAAAAAGTGTCACAACTATTTACATATCTTTATTTTAATAACAAAAAAGTATAACAGCCATATGAGCTACTAGGAGATGAATTATAATAACTTTTTACTTTATAAATTTGAGATATAAAGTTTGGAAATATCAATAAAAAATTGATATATATTCAGAAAGTGGTAAATGCATAATTAAATTCATTAAAAATTCGTCATCATATGTGAAAGAAGGCGTTCGGCGTTGTATTTAAAATGAGGATCAATTGCTCGATCCATAGATGTTTTCCCTTCATTATCTTTCTCATTGATATTAGCACCGTTTGAAATAAGAAGCTCAACTGATTTAATACAACTATTAATAAATGCCAGATGAAGAGCTGTTTTCCCTTCATTATCTTTCTCATTGACGTTAGCCCCATACGATATAAGAAATTTGATTGCTTCCTCATTATAATGATATACTGCTATGTGAAGGACTGTTCTTCCATGTTTATCTTTTTCATTAATATTTGCACCATATGAAAGAAGAAGTTCAGTTGCTTCTTTTTTACAGTAATATGTTGCATAATAAATAGCTGTTCTTTCATCATAATTTTTTTCATTGATATTTGCACCATATGCGTGAAGAACCTTGATTGTCTCTGTATGATTATAACGTGCTGCAATATGAAGAGCTGTTTCTCCATTTTCTCCTTTTTCATTGATATTTGCACCATGTGAGAGAAGCACCTTGATTGTCTCTGTATTATTATAACGTGCAGCAATATGAAGAGCTGTTTTATCAAGTTCATTTGTTGCATTGATATTTGCACCATGCGATAGGAAATATTCGCAAAGGGATGGAATATCAAACAGCGCTGAAGCAATAAAACATTCATCAATATTATTAGTTTGATCAGAATAAACTAAAAATGGATCAAGATTATTGTAAACTCCACATTTTTCTAAATCGATCTTTATTTTGTGTTCATTCATCAAGAATGTAACAAAATCAATGTTGTGTGAAATAATTGCATATTCCATGCATCCTTCATATGGTTTTAGACGTTTCAAGCATTCGCTCATGATCTCTTGATTTCCTCCTAAAAATGAAAATTGTAGACATGCGTATGTTATGTGTAAATGAAATTTCGTTCTTAAAAACTTGAAACAATTAACTGCTCCATAATAACAGCATAATTCAAGTAATGAAAATCCTTGTTGACTAAATAAACCATAAATATATGGATAAAATTTACTTTGAAGTATTTGACCTCCATTAAATTTATCCATTCCAGCTAATATGATGAGTTTTTCTATGTCATCATTCATAATTGCGTTAATAGTATTTTCTTGAAGAATGTTTGGATTTCCTATATTTAGTTCATTGAAATCTTTAGACTTTCCTAATTTAATTCCATATTCTTTATAAAAAAGATATTCATCAATTTGTGGAATATTGGGGACTTCTGTTATATGATAATCATCACATATGTGTTTCACAAGAGCTAAGTATGACTTTGTATAGCGGTTATTATACAGAATGATACGCATGATATCTTTTATAATGTTTTCTGGAAGACGTTTCTTTGAATCAATCAAGTTTGTTTTAATCATTTTGTAAATCTCATTTAATTCTTCTTCTTTTTCCGTTTTCAGCTGATACAACGCAATATATATATCAATGTAATATTTGTGTATGTTTCTCAATTCAATGTATTTGCTTTGATCATTGTATTGATCAGACATTAAATCTTGATAAAGTTGTCACTTTTGGTCTCTTCAATGAAAATTTTTAAATTTGTCATAATTATTAATCAAATAAGTTATTTATGACATTCATCAGGATTAAAAAGGTTTAGTGTCAAACATGTGAAATGCAAAGATTGAATATAAATTTACTACCTTCCAATAGGGCAAAAAATCATATTTGATCAAATTTAAATTCGAGCCTCAGATGGCTACGTTTGCCCTTCGGGCAAGCGTATCCACCTTTGGCAAAATTAATATATATATATTCATTCTAAGATATGAGCTCATTCAAACTCTCTGAATTTTTTCCAAAATTTTATCGTCATTTGTTCTGAGAAGTATATGTGATGAATTCTGATTATTAATGTTTCATTATCATCAAACATTAAATTTTTTGAAAAAAAAATAATTATATTATCAAAAAAACTCTATTAATAACATGTTTTATTTGAGAGCAGCTATTGGCTTTCTTCCAAATCCTTTTGTAGTTAATTTTGCAAAAATCAAAATTGCAGGTAAAGATATGATAATCAACACTAATAGGACATATTTCTGGATCGACAACGATTTCGGATACCACTCTCTTGATGGTGTGAAAGGCGCCGACGGCGAAAGAGATCTTGAAGGCGGAGGAAGAGAAGCAGTTGGCGAGAATGGCATAGACGGGGAGAACGTTTGTGTCCTCAGCATGTAGTAGCATTGAGAAATGTCTGCAGCGCTAATTTGCAGAGTATTTACTTTATCCATTCTGAAATTGCATCCTTTGAAGAATACAGCTGATGCATTTCGTTTGATCTCTTTCTTTGCAATGTCTAAATGGCAATCTAAGAAAACAATTTTATCTGTATCATCTGAATTTATGAAATTTCCAAATTTGTTGCCAGAAAGAGCAGTATGGTTAATAACTAGTGTTGTACAGCCGATAAATGATACCAAAGTACCTTTTTCTGTTGCATCATTATTTATTATGTTGCAAAAAGAGATATCTGTTTGTGTTTCGACCTGAAATAGGGATATCAGTCCAGGTCCACTATTATTTTCAAAGCTACAATACTCTATATCCAAGATAAGCATATCTTCGCAACCTAGTGTTCCATCTGCTGAAATTAGCTTAGATTGGCTAAAATTACAGTTTTCCATAAAGGACATGGTATCTGAAAATACGTATAATGATTGCTCATTTCCGAGATTTGACGGTCCAATATTATAAAATGTACTGTAAGTCAAATATCGAGGATTCTTTCCCGATGGATCATCGTTATTTGAATGCTCGCTTTCAATGGTGAATGCCATTGCGCTAACTCCAGCATAAGATTTTTGTACACAAGTAGACTTAATTGAGTAAGATTTCGAGAAAATATAAAAAGCACCTGAGTTAATCTTTGCGTAGCAGTTGTTAAATCCGCATTTTGTGAAAGTAATTTTTCCGGAAGTGGAATTGAAATAAACTGCACCTCCATACCCATCTTCTTCGTTCTTACAATCAGAAAAAACGCATGAAACAATGTTCATCTTAGTATCATCGTTAAAATCTTGAAATGTTGTAAAAATCTTTTGAGAAACGCGAACAGAGTTGATATGAAGAGGTGGGTTGAGGAATTTTTGAAATGATGATTTAGTTAGTGTTGCGGAAATTTGCTCAGATCTGAGAAATGAATTATAAAATCTTGTTAACTTTGAATTATGAAGTGAAAAACACTGAATCTGTGCGGATTTTGACTGAAAAAAGAATGGAGATCTGGAAATCGAGGTTAATGCTAATGATGTTATGGATGTGTTGATCATTTCAAAAATTTTAGGGTACCAGGATAAAAATTTTATCCCCTTTTATTTTTTTAACAATGGAAACTTCCCAAATTGATAGCGATTTCAAAGGCACAATAAGTTGGAAGTCTCCTAGAAGCGGCAAAACGATCAAAGTTGAACAAATTGTTGAGAAAAAAAAGGAAGAAGATAAAGAAAAATATTTTATTTACTATACAAGCAAGAAAGGACTTCCAAAATTCAAATGGGTCGATTCAACAGAAGTTACAGCAATAAAGCAGTCACATGATTCGAAAAAGAAAAAGCAAAAATCATCTAAGGATGAAATCATATCATCTCTTCACTTAAAACACGGTGATCGAGCTTTTTTATTTGATACATCAGAATGGGAGAAAGAAAATGATACATTAATAGAATCCAAATTTAAGAAACCATATGTAAGCCTTCATAACGTAGATGGACAATATGATAGGCATGGTAGCTTCTGCTGGTATTTGAAATACTCAAATGGGTCTGCTATTAGAGCAAATAACGAAATTAAGCAAGAAGATCCTTCCTTGTTCCTCAAATATATTAAAGCACAGCCAGATAAATTCGTTGACCCTAGAACCAATTGAGTGTGGGACAAACTATCCAGTGTCACTTTTTATTAACCTTATTTAAAAAATTAATAAAATAATAATAAAAAATTATTTGAATCTTTTACATTAATTGTTTCTTTTTTAAAAGTACCTTTAAAGTACAATAAACAAGATTTGAATCTATTGATCCTTGTTGCAAACTTGAATATATTGCTTCAAGCATTTTTGAGAGTAGCCCATGCTAGCTTTTATCTCTTCTTGGATACCAAACTGGAGGAGCTCCATAGTGTTGAATATCACGGGCTCCATACAACAAATTGAATAAGGTATTTCAAAATTTGAAGGAAATGGTCCATCATTGAATGTAGTGGCCGGGAATTGAATGACATACAGATAGTTTGAGGAAATTTGTTATAAATTATAATATAATTGAAGAATTAATTATCAAAACAAGTCTAAGAGCCATTTGTCAGATTTTCCCGAAATGCAAGGTTAAGATTTTAGCAGCGACTAACTTTGAGTGTACATATATAATTGTTATACTGAGTACTTTCTATCTGTGTTACTTATTTGAGTCTAAGAGCCATTTGTCAGATTTTCCCGAAATGCAAGGTTAAGATTTTAGCAGCGACTAACTTTGAGTGTACATATATAATTGTTATACTGAGTACTTTCTATCTGTGTTACTTATTTGAGTCTAAGAGCCATTTGTCAGATTTTCCCGAAATGCAAGGTTAAGATTTTAGCAGCGACTAACTTTGAGTGTACATATATAATTGTTATACTGAGTACTTTCTATCTGTGTTACTTATTTGAGTCTAAGAGCCATTTGTCAGATTTTCCCGAAATGCAAGGTTAAGATTTTAGCAGCGACTAACTTTGAGTGTACATATATAATTGTTATACTGAGTACTTTCTATCTGTGTTACTTATTTGAGTCTAAGAGTCATTTCTACCATAGAACTAGATATTGTCTCTCATTAAATATATATAACTGTAAACTGCTTAATTCATTTATCTATTTAGATAAAATTATATTTATATAAGATTTCATGTTATTATTTCATCTTTATTATTTTTTTTATTCCTTTGAAAAGTGACACTGGATAGTTTGTCCCTTTCTCGAACCAATTACCGAAATTGATATTATTTTTATTTGTAAATAAATTGTTAATTTCTTTTACTATACATACTACTGTGATATGGGAGTTCAAATGAGTTGCTTTTAATTAGTATTTTCAAAGAAAATTTAAAAAATTCAAAAATCTAATAAAAATGCTTGTTCTGATTGCAAATTTAAGTCAAATTCGATGGATATATTAACTACAAATAACATTTTATATAAATAACATAAAAAACAAAAATAATAAAATAAAATTACGCAATATAGCAGCAACGAGATTTCTGAGGTGGATTCGGGGTCGCTGCTTGGGGTAAGCTTCTTGATTTTTTACTAAATGTTGAAGGATTGCTGTTCACAGACACAGAATTGGATTCTGTATGAGTTCCTGTTTCTGATAATGATGTATACTCTGTTTGGGTGTTACTTATCCTCCGCATCTTTCTTTTATCTGTAGAAGATGATTCGTATTCATATTCGGACGTAGATTGGTAATAAGTGCTTTCTTCCGAGCCCGAATTATATATTGAGGTCCTTCTAGTGCTCGTTCGGGATATATCTTGTGTGGGAGCATTAGAATGTGAAATTGTTGGATGATGAGATTCTGAATAGGAATGGTGAGATTTTTCGGTGGGGTTTGAGTATTCTGAATAGGATTGGTGCTCTGAAACAGATTGTCCGACTGTTGAATGATGACTTGTCTTAGATATTGATTGATGTTGAGTTGTCTGAGAGTTTGAGGATGAAACTGAAATGGAAACATCTGAAGAAGTATCTGAAGAATCTGAAAAGTTCGGAGATAAGTCAAATTGAGAGATTTTCCTTAATGGATTTCTTACTGTGTCTGAGGGCTTATCTGGGCAAATATGACTCATGTAAGCAGGAGACTCGCCTATCGGAGGAAGTCTGTTCGGCATAATTTGATGCAAAATCATTTCTTTAGCTGTACGAAGTTCAGCAGTGTCTGTTCCTGATGGAAGCGGTGGAGCTGACATTAAACCAAACTTTAATGGGCTTCCAGTATCTGTTGGCATATCATCAGGTGGCTTTTCTTGTGATTGCCCACTGTTCATGGGCTGAATCACAACAAGAGCTTTCAAAAAAAGTGCCACAAGATTTATTCTCAATATATAAACCACAAAAAAATTAATCGGGAGATGGAATCGAAATCAAGTGATTTATTTTGACTTTTCAAATATGAAAATCCGTTATTTTGAGGTTGGGATTATTTTTTGATCGATGATGTCATTTTGACATGTTTCAGTTTAAAATCGGATTTGACTAATATAGATGCTGGGTAGAGTGGATTCGATCGAACCATAGATTAATTATAACCTTTCAACTTTAATTTCTCAAAAAAATAAAGATGGCAAGAAGTTATATATGTGAGTAAATGACGTCTCTGGTCATACCTAGTAATTGACATATAATTAAGTGCTGTAAAATGAAATTAATTAAATTTGAAAAATAACAGTTTTTATTTTCAAATAATTAGGATTGTGAGCATATGGTATTGATGATAATGTTGAATATAGTACCGATTTTCGAATAAGAAAAAAAAATTATTTAAAATCCGATAAAAAAATATATTTAATAACAAAAAATGAAAGTTAATCGAGCTTGCTATTGGAGAATACACTTCTTATGAAGATTGTCGATGTCAAAACTCCAATTCCGCCACAACTCAATCCGCAAACTAAAGAAAAGAAAGCAGTAAACGCAAAGTAGACAACGCATCCATCATGCCTCATGTTTTCGATCTTAAAGTAGAAATAGAAAACCGAATAAAGTATTATAATGAAAAATGAGGAGAAAGGAGCCAAAAACGAGATCCATTGCCAATTATATGACTCGTTATGCAATCTGAGGAAGGTATTGTATATTGACAAGCACCCGCTGACGATAAAAATGCAAAAAACACATGATGTTAAATCAGAAAAAGTGACGGCGGTTTTTCCCTTCCAGAGATACTGATATAGAATAAATTGATTTGGAATCATCATTATTCCGATGATAATTGCTGATACAAAGCATAAGAAAAACGATGTTGTGTACCATGGCTGTTTTGGAATGATTCTTGGCACAACAGCGATTTCTTTTGCAGTAATATCGGCAAATCTCTCTTTTAATGCAATAATACTGCCGAATATACAAGCTCCGAATGAAGGTAGTAGGTAAAATATGGTCAATCCAATAATATTTGGTACAGATAGTGCAAATGGAGAACTTTCATCAGCAAATATCTTTACAGACCATATAATTCCTACGTATATTATATTGGGAATTATGTTTGCTCCGAAAACTAATCGCAACCATTTCTTTTGTGAAAATAAGAAAGAAATTGCAGCTGCAAACCATCCGCAGAGGACATTTCCAGCAATATATGAGAATAAAAATAATTGTATACGTGTTCCACTCTTTCTAGGTATTCCTTTGGCCATACAATAGCCAAATGTGCCAATTACTGAAATAACTAACGACAAACCATGAGAAGCAAGCATAAATAGTAATGAGCTGTACTTTGGTGACCGAAATACATCTCCATGAAGGATCTTCCATCCTCTATCAGCTGAAAAAGTCAAATCTTGTAAATCTAACTGAGTTGAATGTTCGAAATCAGACATCATTTGATTGTAAAGCGACTTTACATATAGTATGAATAGAATTGTTAATACAATATTAAGGCAAACTGATTTTTCATTTTCAAAGTACTTTTGCCTTGGTTTTGTCTCTGTTTTATTGAACTTTTCTATCGATTCGTATCTCACTGAGTACTGGAAGTCTAAATCCATCTTCGTTACGATTCTTTGATACTCGCACATTTCTACTTTGAAATCTACGATACAATTATCATGTAGGAATACTGTGAATTCCATTCTCGTTGCTAATTCAGGTCCTCCTGGTGTCATTCTCCCAATTTCGTAATATTTTAAAATATCATCCAAAAAAATTTCGTAGTTATAATATGAGCTAACGGCTAATTTGAACGATGTTACATCGAATGGCGATAATATCTTTTTAAATATTGTTACGTTTTGTTGTGGTTGGTTAACTCTCAGATGAATTCCAATGTCTTTCAAATGAATTCCAAGTAATTTATCACCAGTGGTTGACCAATATCGGATTTTGTTGTTTATATTTAAATCTCTGAACGCTGTGATCCGTTTTAATCTTTCCGCTTCTGCTGGCTTCTCTGGGAAGCCAATGTTACCGAAATAAGCAACAACTATGTCTCCATTTCGATATTTACCTTGAAGTGAGAAAGCAATCTGAAAAAAAAGTTGAAAAAGCATAAATATAAAAAAAAATTGTCACTTTTATTGTGCAAACTAAACCAAGCAATTATATTCCGACTATTTCTAAATATCAGAGGGCTGTTTATATAATAAATCTTTTATATCTCGAAAGCTGAGCTTTCCTCACGGATATTGTGATATAAATCTTTTTTTTTATAGCATAATGTTTTAAATTCCTTTAATGTAGATTTACCAATGCTATTAAGTTGAAATAAACTGAATATTTCATTGAATTAGAATAGATATAGAAAGTATTTTAATATAAAACAAAAGAAAAAAACAAATTCATAAATATAATAAGAAAAAATTGTAAATAGATAGTTAAAAGTATTATGATATTGCTCTATTATCTATTTATACAAAACAAGTAGTACAATTGTCTTCAAAAGACATAAATTAGAAATAAATTCTAAATTATAGCTGAATATTATCGCCAAATGCGCTTGTTGGGCATACCCATGAAATAAGAGGACCATTTCCGCATATTTGTCTCATAGAATCAATCACAGAATACTTTGGAGTGTCAATTTGTTTGTATTTTGTGATTGTTGTATTATTTTCGCAAAGGTCGATCAAATTTAGAATCATTGACCATGATAAAATAAAAGTAAATATAAATTCTTCAGATGCAGAAATTATCATCAAAAAAACTTGAATGGCATCTTGTGCTTGGTCAGGAACAGAATTCATAAAGAATCTCCATACAAATAATGATATTGCGTAAAGTGCTCCATAAAAATTCATCAAAATAAATTGTTTGTGATTGCGTTTACCGATCCAATTTGTAACCCAATCACATATGTGGTCTGCTCTAATGATAAATCTTCCTGTTGTTTTTGATAGCGAACAAGAAGGAGGAATATTTTGCTTTGCAAATCTGTATTGATCTGAAGAAGTTATTGTTCCGGATAGTATTTCCTCAGGCGAATACTTTGTTCTTCTTGTCTCTACCCAATTATATGGTAAATATCCAGGATCTGATAACATTGCGGAAAAATATGACCAAAAGAACAAAATCATCATAAGAGTTATTTGCAAGCATGATATTATTTTTGATATTAATGATAATCTTGGGAAAGTAATAAATAAATACGATGAATATGCAAATAATATTAAAAATACTACCGATGAAGGCATACAAGCTGATATTTCCCAATACCCACAGTAATGTTTGTTTGTTTTCTCTATTTTCATTGTCTTAACAAAACAGCAACAACCTTCAAATTTCCAAGATGTCAAAGGAATGTTTTTAAGATCGATAGGATCATTTATTTCATCATTTTGAAGATTTTCTGTATATGATTCATGTACTAATAGTTGATCTGTATCCCCATTTTCATTCATTTTACCAAATTTTGAAGAAAAAGTGACAAAATCAAATGGAGGAAAGTAATTTTGGCGAGTTCTGGAGCTGGTTTGGCTTTAAAGGTCAACCAGATCCGGATATTGAATACACATGGTTCAGGATACAGGATTCTTTAACATTTGATGGAATAAAAAACATAATTACAGATTGTACAATTTATTATTCATCGCGCAAGCCAAACCATTATTTAATAAAACAAGAAAATGGTGTAACTGAAATATGGGATATTACTGAATGCCAATTTCGAATTATTCCCGAATTTCCATCATCAATTGAAGTTTCTTCAGGCAAAAGGCTATTTATTCTATGGGGTGTTTCGTCCTCTTTTATAGAATTTTTAGTCCAAGATCACAAATTAATGCCAACACCGAATTTAAAGCCAGCTTTCAATACAATTCCTATCAAATACAGTCGAGTATCTATTAAAAAGGATCCTCCTCATACTGGCGAAGTCATTCCTACAAATTAAAATAGAATTCTAATATTAGGTTTGCCAAAGTTCATAATAATATATCTATTAATGATGATTTTGATAGGGATGCATGACTTTTAGATTCTTGCTAATTTAATACTATTCTTTTTTAATATCTTGTTTATTTTCATAAATCTTTCAGTTATAGATTATTTTCTTCCATTTCTTTATGAGACTGAAGGATCCTGTGATAGTTGCTTTGCAACATCAAATGAAACTTTCAAACTTTTCCAAGTTAATTATTTGTTTTTTATAAATTGTCAAAATCCATTTTGCAGATTTCATATCAAACAATTTCATGAAAATTTGCTGTTTCGAATCAAATGATGAATTGTTTTTGAGTATTTTATCAAAGATTTCATCAATTTTGTTGTAATCCAATTCATGTTAGTGAGATTCTGCTATGTTCTAGAATATATTAAGTAAATAATGAGTAAAATGTGGGTTTTAGCTTATCACGCAATCTAATGTTAAATAATTCAGACTTATGATGAAAAACATTCCAAATTATTACTACTGCTGCTAAGTTTCATTTAAATACAGACTTTCAGCACTTCTGAATATTACAAACAGTTGAATCGATTTAGATATCTTGTAATTCTTAAATATTTTCTTCATAATTACTCAATTTCATATAAAAACAAATTGAATTTAAAAAAATAATATAGGTTTATTGAATAAAAACAATTTTTTTATGATATATCTTTACTGAAAGCAAAACTTACTTGTAATGATTAGTGTACGGCATTTTGTTCAACTAAGTTAGTTAATGAGAAACTGTAGTACTATGAGTTGCTTGAATTTAAAATTTTATGATATGACTAAATGGTCGAAGTTTCTCCTTAAGTTGTTCTTCATCCGCAACATGTGAAATCAAATCATAAATATACCTCCTTGTTCCTGAATAAAATTGATTTTCAGGCGAAAAGTTAATTTCCACTTTAAATTTGGACTTAATGAAATCTTTTAATCGTTTATTGTCATCGGATAGATTGATAGACTTATTATCCACCACAAGTTTAACTTTTTTTGTTAAATCATCTAAATTGGGAGCAATGTCGAAAAATTCACCAAATTCATATAATTTGAACTTTGAGCCATTATCACGCTCAAGACGATCTCGATCGAAGCCTTTAATTATAGCCTTGAAGCCCTCGTAATCACACATTTTTTTTAATTGGCCCCTAAAATATTGGTTTAAAGACCCAATATTAGTTTAATAAATTTTCCAACTTTCTTTTGGAAAATAATTATGGTGCTAATAGAAACATACAAAAAATTGAATGAAAATTGAATTAACTCATAAAGAAGTCTAAATTTTTAGTTCGTGAAAAATATTTATCAAATATAAAGGAATTTTTAACTCATTATTAAATATAATATTAAGCTGATTATTACCGATTAATTGGTGCAATTTCCAACCCTAAATACTGATTCAATACCTTGCTTCAGAGATGAAAATTAAAATGTAAAGAAATTTCGAACAAAATATTCATTTTTTAAATGTAATGTTATGAATATTTTTTCTTGATTTGATTTTTCTTTTTCTTTTTATCGGTTATGTAACGTCATGCGTTAAAAAGAGAAAAAAAATGAGCTTACCACCTCTTGATATTTATTCTCAAGATTTTCAGTATGTTAAATACCTTATTCAGAAGCAGCTCGATGCGCCACGTCTTAAAATTATTGAATGTTTAGATGCAGCATCGGTAAGTGCAGCAAATTCTTTTGCAGAATTCTGTGAAAGCTTGGAAGATAAGAATATTGTTCATGTTTTCATGCCCCTTGATTCATTAATGCAACCTTTATCAGATATTGTTACGCGTGGTGTTAGAGTTAATCCAAGAAAAGGATTTAAACTCAATGTTGACCGCATTTTACTTCCAGACAGAGCAGCAGAAGAAATAACTCTTATTCATTGTCTTGTTGCACTCGGAATGCCACAAAATTGGCAGCACGTTGCAGCAGAATTACAAGATTATTCATTCGATACATCAATACCGACAGGTGACGCAATTTTAGATGGCTTCCAATCAATATGCACGAATCCAAAGCAACACGAATACTATATTTTCAATCCAAATCAAATTAGAACACTTCATGTAATCAAAATCACTGGAGGAAAAGATTTAGAGAAAGTTGCAGAGACAAGTTCACTTTGTGATCTCTGCCACAAGCGTGAAGCCGATGTTTACTGTGCTAACTGCAAAGTAAAGTTATGTAATCAATGCGATGAAGACGCTCATGGCCACAATCCTGTTCTACAATCACACGAACGCATACCATACTCAGATGCCATTACATCAATGGAATGTTGTCCATTCCATCCGAAGAATCGCGTCGAACACATTTGTCTTGAATGCGGACTCCCTGTTTGCTTCCAATGCAAGCTTGCAGGCAACCATTCCCAAGGAGCAGCCGCAAAACACGAATTAGTCCCTATAAAAGACGCTTACCACCAAGCACTTTTGTATTCAAATGAAAACGATAGAGATTACAACCGTCGTCGTAGATTGATCAAAAGAAAGCTTGCTGATGCAGACCAGCGCCTCAAAGACGTTGCCGAGAACACTAAAAACCTTGAGCAGACAATTATGAAACTCGCTCGAGAAGCCATTGAAAATTTGAAGCAAAAAGCCGGAGAAAAAGCTTTGAGAATCAGAAGTAACCAAGTTGAATTACAGCGCAAACTCGATGAATTAGAAGAGAACGCTGCATTCATAGAGACACACAGAGACTTGTCCAATCCAGCTACGTTTATTCAAGCACTTCAACAACATCAAACAATCACAAGAACAGAACTCAAAAATGATGATGATTTGCCATCTGATTTATGGGTTCAAGGTGATCTCGCTGTTGTTGGATCATTGGACATCAAGCCAAGACAATTAACTGAACTCCCTGAAGGAATTAAAAAGAGAGATTTGGATTTCGAAGAGAAAAATGTCCGTCAAACTGTTAATTCAACAACAGAAACATATACAGAGACACAATCAGCCACGGAAACAGCTCCTTCATACACAGAAACTGTTCCTTCTTCAGCGAGACACGCTCACAGAGCAAGATTGTCAACAATGGCTGCAAGAAGAGCTAAAAAAGTTGGTTGGGAATTGCCATTTAAACCATTTAATAGTTCGTCAATTTTGACAAATGATGAAGAAGCAAGGAATCTCTATTTGTGCCTTCCTTTCAAGACAACTCCTGAGCCACACATCCTGTTCTCAACTGAGAGAGATGGAAAGTCTATTTCTAGAATGCACCAGAGAATAGATAACATCGGAGTAACAATTGTTCTTATTAAAAATGGTGCTCATGTTTTCGGAGGTTTCGCTGCATCGAAATGGAACAAAGAAGGAAAACCATTTGGTGACGGAACTTCTACTTTTGTTTTCTCACTAACACATGACGCTTTCTTGCCATTCAGAGCTAGAAGTGAAGATGCTTGTTACCTCAAAGCTGACTACGACTACATTTCTTTCGGAGGAAAAGACATTTTCCTTTCGAATGATTTCGTTACTTGTTCGTCAGAAATAGAGAACTCTTACACGGCTGGATTCCCTGAGGGTTCGAAAGAGGCTAAGACATACTTGGCAGGTGCGGAAAAATTCAAGGCTGATGTTGTTGAAGTTTGGGGTTTCTTCCAAAAATAAAATTTATATTGTAATGTTAAATTTAAATAAAAATCACTTTTTTATGATCTTCTTGTTAGAAAACGTCTTTCTTATCACGCTTAAATTTCCACCACGCCCTCAATTCTACCAGGCCTACATTTAGTGTTTATAATACAATAAAAACAATAAATAAGAATAATTGTAAGAATATTTATTCATTCTTCATTCTTCCTCTTCCTCGTTTTTTTAGGAGGCGGTTTTTATAAAGGAAAGTTAATCTTCAACTTCACTTATTTTTAAAACAGTGAAAAGATAGAATATGAATTGAATGAAAACTTGCTTTAAATCGATCGTTCAATTTAAAGGTCGTCCCGAGATAATATATAGGGGAAAAAAATGTTTTATATTTAGAATCAATGGGAATTAAGAATTATCTTTTTTTATTATTATTTCTAATGAAATTAATCTTCGAAAAGATCAGAAAAAGAAAGATAAGTTTTTCCATCATTATTTTTTTGTTCATTAATATTTACATCATGTGAAATAAGAGATTTAATATTACATGCTGCAACATCAAGAGCAGTTTTCCCATCATTATCTTTTTCATTGATATTTATACCATGTGAAATAAGAATTTTGATTATTCTTGGACATTCATAATATGCTGCAAAATGAAGAGCAGTTTTTCCATCATTATCTTTTTCATTGATATTTGCACCATGTGAAATAAGAAGTTCAGCTATTTCATCATTATATTTCCATATTGCAGTATGAAGAGCAGTTTTTCCTCTTTCATCTTTTTCATTGATATTTATACCATGAGAAATAAGAAGTCCAGTTATTTCTTTAGAATAATTAGATGCTGCGGCATGAAGAGCGGTTTGTCCATCATTATCTTTTTCATTGATATTTATACCATGTAAAATAAGGAGTTCGGTTGATTCTTTACTATTTTTCTCAACTGCATGATGAAGAGCGGTTTTTCCTCTTTCATCTTTTTCATTGATATTTGCACCATGTGAAATAAGAAGTTCTGCTATTTCTATACAATTATTCTCTGCTGCATTATGAAGAGCGGTTTTTCCTTCAATATTTTTTTCATTGATGTTTGCACCATATGATATAAGAAGTTTGGCTGTTTCTTTACAATTATACCGTGCTGCAATATGAAGAGCAGTTTTTCCTCTTTCATCTTTTTCATTGATATTTGCACCATATAAAATAAGAAGTTCGGCTGTTTCTTTACAATTATAACGTGCTGCATTATGAAGAGCGGTTTTTCCTTCAATATTTTTTTCATTGATATTTGCACCATATGATATAAGAAGTTCGGCTGTTTCTTTACAATTATACCGTGCTGCAATATGAAGAGCAGTTTTTCCTCTTTCATCTTTTTCATTGATATTTGCACCATGTGAAATAAGAAGTTCGGCCGTTTCTTTGCTATTATTACATGCTGCATAATGAAGAGTTGTTTGCCCATTTTCATCTTTTTCATTGATATTTGCACCATGTAAAATAAGAAGTTCGGTTGTTTCTTTACTATTATTAATTGCTGCTTCTTGAAGAGCAGAATACCCATTATTATCTTTTTCATTGATATTTGCACCATGTAAAATAAGAAGTTCGGTTACTTCTTTATTATTATTTTCTGCTGTTATATGAAGAGCGGTTTCTCCATATTTATTTTTTTCATTGATATTTGCACCATGTGAAATAAGAAGTTCAACTGTTTCTTTACTATTATAAGTTGTTGCAATACGAAGAGCGGTTTGTCCATCATCATCTTTTTCATTGATATTTGCACCATGTGAAATAAGAAGTTCAACTGTTTCTTTACTATTATAAGTTGTTGCAATATGAAGAGCAGTTTGTCCGAATTTATCAAATCCATCTAGTAAAATTAAACCAATATTTTCTTTTGTAAATTTTATATTGACATTTGCACCAAGTTAAAGGAAGTATTCGCAAAGGGATGATATGCCAAACATCAATGAGAAAATAAAACATTTGTTAATATGCCAAATATCATTAGTTTGATCGAAATATTTGGATTCAAGATTATTATAATCTGCGCAATATCCCAAATGGATTTCAATATCGTATTCATTCATCAAGAATGTGACAAAATCAATGTTGTGTGAAATAATTGCATATTTCATGCATTCTTCATATGGTTCCTGATATTTCAAACATTCACTCATTATCTCTGGATTTCCGCTTAAAAATGAAAATTCTAGACATGTTTCAGTTATTTCTGAGTCAAATTTCGTTCTTAATAACTTGAAACAATCAACTGCTCCATGGTAACAGCATAATTCAAGTAATGAATATGGATATAAACTGTATTATAATAATATGGATATAAACTGCTTTCAAGTTTTTGATCTTTATCAAATCCATGTCTTTCTGTGAATATTATGAATGTTTTCAAGTCATTATACATAATTGCTTTGTATATTGTATCATCTGTGTGAATTTCAAGATTTTTAAAATTATCTTTTTCAAAGTCATCAACTTTGGCTAATTTAATTCCATATTGTTTATAAAACAGGAAGATTGAAATACGTGCAGCATTGTAGGCTTCTTCCACATGATAATCATCAGAAATGAATTTTGCAAGAAACAAATATGACTTTGAATAGCGATTATTATACGGAATTATATTTAAAATATCTTCCATAATCCTTTTTGGCGTATATTTCTTTGAATCGATCAATTTTGTTTTGATCTTTTTGTAAATTTGTTTTAATTCTTCTTCTTTGTCAGTTTTCAGCTGATACAATGCATTATATGAATCGATGTGATATTTATAGATACTTCGTAGTTCGATAAATTTATTTGGATGAATGTCTTGTTCGGACATCAATAATTTTTTAGGACACATTTGCATATTTTCTTACAAATATCTTTTAAATTCATTAGAAGAAATGAATAATATGTTAAACATGTGAAAAACAATGGTCTCAAAGATTTCGGAAATAATTTATGAACATTAATTCAGTTCAAAGATATGAAATAACAATAGAGAAGTCGAGGCCTATAGGTCCTATTATACAAGATTGTAGGGATGATAAATATAATTGAGATTGGGGCAAATGCAGTGCCATTTGAGAAAAAAGTAAGAATATTGTATACTTTTAATAGAATTAAAGAACAGAAAGAATTTTACAATAGATTTGTTTTTCAATCTTGAAATCAAATTTTAATGCAATTGCTATAAGTAATAGTGCGATATATCATGACATTCATAAAAATGTGTCGTACATGACTTTCATAAATAACTTTGTAAATATCGATTATTTGAATTATGTTTTTACCATTGAGCGATGATTGTTTCAAGTTATTAAGAACCAAATTTAACTTAGAAATAACTCAAAGAAGTCTTATGTTTTCATTTTTAGGAAGAAATCAAGAGATAATGACTGATTGTTTGAAATATCAGGGGCCAGATGATGAATGCATGTAGTATGCAATTATTTCACACAACATTGATTTTGTTACATTCTTGATGTTCTTCATAATGTAGCAACTTTTGATAGTAAAGAAACAGAAGAAATTCTTATTTCACACGCAGCAAATATCAATGAAAAAGATGATGATGGAAAAACTGCTCTTCATTTTGCAGCATATTATGAATGTCCAAGAATAATCAAAATTCTTATTTCACATGGTATAAATATCAATGAAAAAGATAATGATGGGAAAACTGCTCTTGATGTTGCAGCATGTAATATTAAATCTCTTATTTCACATGATGTAAATATTAATGAACAAAAAAATAATGATGGAAAAACTTATCTTTCTTTTTCTGATCTTTTCGAAGATTAATTTCATTAGAAATAATAATAAAAAAAGATAATTCTTAATTCCCATTGATTCTAAATATAAAACATTTTTTTTTGAAAACTTTTGTTTTTTCAATAGTTTACAAATAAGAATGCAAAAAAAGTTGAAATAGATTAATTTCCGTAAATTGACATATCTCTTATTCATACATAGTTTTTGAAGGAATGATCATGTAGTGTTATGTAATATGAAGATACAGTGTGATAATTGTTCAAAATAAACCAAGGAATAACTTGAAAAACATCAATCAAATGTTGGTGCATTTTTTTCATATCTAAAAAAGTGACAAAAGGAAGTTCTTTGATTCAAAGAGAAAAAAAAGTCTTTACGAAAAAATACAAACACTATTTTATTAAACTAAAATGGATTATAATGCAATTTCTGGTTGCAGTCCATTGTTATCTGTTCAGTTGCAATTAGAGAGGCAATGCAGCAGTCAAACTCTTTTCTGTGGATTGAGAACTGTGAAGTATTAGCTATTTGTTGGTAAAGCTCATCTGCGCTAACTCCTTCGTAATTCTTCATTGTTCTTGTGATCAAAAATTCTAATTTTGGTTTCTTCTTCGAGAACAACTCCTTATGATCCAATTTTCTTGGTACTTGTGGCAAGAATATGGATAATTGCGGTAATTTGTTTAGTTTCCTTTGAGGTTTGAAATTTGATGCTAAAATGTATTTTCCTGCCATCCTTTGGATCAATCCTAGCTTGAGAAGTGCATTAACAACCTCTGGGATGCATTTCTGTGTTAATCCAATCTCAAAAATGTTCTTATCTTCGCTGATCGCCATTAAAACTGCCAAATAAGGATAAAATCCACTCCATGATACTCCTTTGTACTTAAATGTTACATGATCAACTAATGGAGTGAAATTCAACGCTCTTTTTGGGAATTTTTCTTTATAATGCTTTCTATAACTTTCTCTTGCGATTTCTACTTCAGGAGGTACGAATAGTTGCTTGGATAATGGTACAATCCATAATCCAGAGGTTACTGCGATGAATTTGATGTTCATTTCTGAAGAATGTTCGAAAATTTCAACATTTTCCATTTCATCCATCATTCTGTTGATTTGTTTCATTATGCTTTCTTCGATAAACGGAGAAAAGCTAATGACTGAATTTTTCTCTATTGCAGGGGGTGGAGTGAAGTACCTCAATAATCTATTACAAAGGAAATGATGGTAAAACTGGGAAAATTGATCGGTATCATCGAACAAACTTAGTATGGATACGACGTCCTTCATCTTCTGGTCCGTGACTTCTTCAGTAACTATAATATTATGTATGTATCTCGCGATCATATAAATACCAAAAGTATTTGAGTCGTTTAGGAACCTCTGGAGTAGTAATAATAGGTCACCTTGCAATCCTGATGGTATCTCGTCGTTGAAACTCTTGATGAAATTGTACACAGATATCAATTTCGGAATACAAGAATTATTCGTCATCGAAAACAAGCTGTTTAGATAGGTAGAAAGGCGTGAGATCCACAGATTCTTGTATTTATCTACGAGTCCTTCGATGTTGGAGCTGTTAATGAAGTTAGTTATTGTTTTAAAAGCATTTTTATCTTGTAAATCAAAAGCGTTATCGAAAATGGTACTTAACTCGGATACAATGAACGTATTATAGGCTAATGAGCGATAAAGATTATCGATTTTCTCTAAAAATGATGAGTTTATCGATTGAAATATTGATTTGTTGTTTGAAATGATTTCGTCTACCTGTGAGATGATGGTTGTTGACTGGTAGTCTGTAATCGGATTACGGAAAAGGAAATTCTTTGAATTTTCTTCGAATGATTGTAAAAATTCTTTTTCAAGACCGATTTTGATGATAAAGTCAATAATCCATTGAAGTTTTGTTTCTTTCTCTTGTGAAATGCGTAATGTGTCTATGTAATTATTTGTTTCTTGGAAAATTTTCTCCATAAAAAGCGTATTTGATCGAAAATGAGTATTAAACTCAAGGCATACCTTCTTCTGGACTGTCATATTCGAATATGACCATGAGGCAAAGACGTAAGAAAAGAATAGAACACTTCTTGAAATTTGATGAATCTGAAGCGCGATGTTGTTAATCGAGGAGTCGTTTTCAATCAAACTCTGAAATTTTTGGTACATTTCGCTTGACTTTTCCGTTAAATATACATTAACAAGGAGATTATAATCTTTATGTGAAGAAATTTTTGAGATTTTCTGGTATATTTTCTCAAAAGACCCAACATTATGTGGTGACTGGTTAAGGAAAATATCGAGATTTTGGTTGATCTCGTTTAAAAGTAGTAAAATATTTTCATTATTTTTTGCTACAACTGATAAAGGAGAATGTTTAATTTGAGTTGAATTTGATCTCAACTGGCTTGTTATTTTCCGTTGATGCCTTTGTTCTTCATGGAGTTTTCCCGATTGAGTTCTTCCAACATTCAACATTCTGGCATAATTTTAGGAAATGTATGAAATAAGAAAAAACATAATTATAATCTAAATAAAGTTTAATACAACAATTTTATCTCATTAACTTTGTTTGAGAGCATAATCATTCTCAATGAAATGTTGATATCAATGAAGAAAACATTTCATGTCAATAAGCTAGAGAGGAAATAACAAAGAGAAAGGAATTAACCGCATCTATGCGAGGAAAAACACTTAAACTACAAAGTTCGGTTGCTAATTAAGAAGATCTTTATTTCATTACTGAGCCAAGTTCTGCAGGTGTAACTACATTTGGAGGTGGATTTACTCCAAGGTTACCTGAATCTGCGCGTGATTCAAAGAGATTCACTGAAAGAAATTTCAATCCGAAAGAGATTGAAAATGTCGATTTCACAAATCCGATGTTGAGAAATCAGAGAGCTTATATATTTGTGTGTTTATAAAAATGTGGTAAAAAAAGTAAATTTAAGAATGATTTATAAAAATTATGTTTTTTTTTTTTCATTTACCCATTTAATCTAGATTTGCACCGTGTGAAAGAAGAATCTCAACTATTTCTTTATTATTATTATGTGTTGCAATATTAAGAACTGTTTCTCCATTTGCGTCTTTTTCATTAATATTTGCACCATGTGAAAGAAGAAGTTTAATTAGTTCTATATTGATACCATGACAAACTGCATAATGAAGAGCGGTACTCCCATTCTTATCTTTTTCATTGATATTTGCACCATGTAAAAGAAGGAGTTCGACTGTAGCTTTGTGATTGCTTTCTGTTGCATAATGAATAGCGGTTTTTCCATAATTATCTTTTTCATTGATATTAGCACCATGTGAAAGAAGAAGTTCGACTGATTCTTTTCTATTATACCTTGCTGCTTCATGAATAGCGGTTATTCCATAATTATCTTTTTCATTGATATTTGCACCGTATGAAATCAGAAGTTCAGCTGTTCCTTTACTATTTGAACTTGCTGCATAATGAAGAGCGGTTTTTCCATAATTATCTTTTTCATTGATATTTGCACCAAGTGAAATAAGAAGTTCAGTTGTTTCTTTACCATTCTTCTGTACTGCATAATGAAGAGAGTTTTTTCCATAATTATCTTTTTCATTGATATTTGCACCGAGTGAAATAAGAAGTTCAGCAATTTCTTTACTATTATGATATACTGCATTATGAAAAATGGTTTCTCCATTTTTATTTTTTCATTGATATTTGCACCGTGTGAAATAAGAAGTTCGACTGTTTCTTTACTATTTGTACCTGCTGCATAATGAAGAGCGGTTTCTCCAAAAATATCTTTTTCATTGATATTTATACCATTTGAAATAAGAAGTTTGGCTGTTTCTATACTATTATTACAAGCTGCAACATGAAGAGCGGTTTTTCCATCTACACGTTTTTTGTTGACATTCGCACCATATGAAACAAGCAAATCAATCATTTCATTATTAAGATCGTTTAATGCAAGATAAAGAACTGTTATTCCGTTTGCATCTTTTTCATTTATATTAGCACCATGTAAAAGAAGGAGTTCGACTGTAGCTTTGTGATTGCTTTCTGTTGCATAATGAATAGCGGTTTTTCCATAATTATCTTTTTCATTGACATTTGCACCATGTGAAAGAAGAAGTTCGATTATTTCGTTATTATCATAAGATGCTGCTGTATGAAGAGCAGTTTCTCCATAATTATTTTTTGCATTGACATTTGCACCATATGAAAGAAGAAGTTCGACTGTTGCTTTTTCATGACAAGATACTAAAGAATGAAGAGCAAATTTTCCATATTTATCTCTTTCATTAACAGAAGCGCCGTGTGAAAGAAGTAGCTGAACAATATCTGTATAATCATTGTGTGCGGCAATATTAAGAGCTGTATTTCCATCTATATTTTTTTCATTGACTTTGGCACCATGTGAAAGAAGAAGTTCGACTATTTCTTTATTTCCGCAATCTGACGCCCGATAAAGAGCAGTTTCATTATTTAATGTTGTTTCATTGATATTTGCACCGTATGAAATAAGAAGTTCAGCTATTTCTTTAAGATTATGATTTGCAGCATAATGAAGAGCAGTACATCCATTTATATCCTTTTCATTGACATTAACGCCATGTGAAAGGAGATATTCAACCATTGTATCGTCAAATTTATCTGTTGCAAGATGAAGAGAAGTTTCTTGATTTACATCTTTTTCATTGATATTTGCACCATGAGAAATAAGAAATTCGGCTATTTCTAGGAAACCAAACAATACTGAATAATGAAGAGCGGTACGTTCCATTTCATCCTTTGCATCGATATTTGCGCCAAGTGAAAGGAAATATTCACAAAGGGATGGAATGTCAAACATCGATGAATAAATTAAGCATTTGTTAACATCATTAGTTTGATCAAAATAAACTAATAATGCATCAAGATTATTATATAATCCGCATTCATGTGGATCAATCTCTATATTGTATTCATTCATTAAGAATGTAACAAAATCAATGTTGTGTGAAATAATTGTATAATACATGCAAAGTTTATCTGGCGTTTGATATTTCAAACATTCACTCATGATCTCTGAATTTCCTCCCAAAAATGAATTTCCTAGGCATTTTTGAGTTATTTCCGAGTTATATTTCGTTCTTAACAACTTAAAACAATCAGCTGCTCCATGGTAACAACATAATTCAAGTAATGAAAATCTAATGGAAGATGGATAGAAATCACTTTCAAGCTTTTGATTTTCATCAAATCCATCTCTTTCAGTGAAATAGATGAATCGTTTTAGATCATTATACATGATGGCTCTGTAAATTGTATCTTCATAACAAACATCCATATTTTTTAAAAAATCAAATCTGATATCTGTTGGGTTGCTTAAATAAATTCCATATTCTTTATGAAAAAGGTATATATACTCTTTTGATAGATATGGTATCTCTTTTATTTGATAATTGTCAGATATGAGTTTCACAAGTTTCAAATATGACTTTGTATAGCGGTTGTTAAAGACAATGATACCAAAAATCTCTCGTATAATTTTTTCAGGAAGATATTTCTTTGAATCAATCAAGTTTGCTTTGATCATTTTGTAAATTGAGTTTAATTCTTCATCGTTTTCAGCATTTAACCGATACAATGCAGCATACGAATCGATGTAATATTTGTGGATGTTTCTCAATTCACTATACTTATTTGGACTCGTGTCTTGATCACACATCAAAAAAATATTTAAATCACATACTTGCACTCTGTGAGATTAAATACCTTTTTAATTCATTAACAGAAGAAAATGTAAAGCGATGGGTGATGAAAACAATATTATAAAAAATTTCGGATAAGAATTAATGATTACAATGAAATTCATACACATGAAATGACTCTTTAAAAGTTTTAAAGTCGAAAGCAAATAGATATCAAAAATATTGTTGGCTCTAGGTGAAAGAAATTGTGAAATCAGTGATAATCATATAATATTTTTCAATTTTGGATCAAAAAGATTTACCCATTTAAGTCGTATTAAGTATATCCTACTGGCAAATTTCAAAAAAAAAATTAATCAACCATCAAATTCTTTGAATATATTGCCGATGCGACAAGTTTAGTCCAAAACATGTGTTATTTTTTATACATGACTTAATAATATATAAAAAATGGATTTCATAAAATCGATATCCTTTTCATTTGTCTGAGAGCCTCATTGAACGCAATGCCATATCTAAAAAATTTACCATTATAAATGCCGTTAAAACTCTCAAACATGATAAAATAATTATATTTAGATATGAAAATTGATTTCATTTCTAATTACATTGCACCATTTATACATGAAATTTTAGCTCTTTATGAGTTCTACACCGTTGGCCAGTGAAATTGAAAATAATTTAATATAAATTTTCAATTCTTAACCTTTCCAAACAAAAACAGTATAGATATTCACATTTCCGCCTGCTAAAGGGTATTCTTGCTTCTAAATCAAAAAGGATCGAGGAAAAAATAGTGGACCGTTTGAACCAAGTCAGAGGCTGAAGCGCATGCTCGCGCCCAGAATCTACGCACCATACCGCTGGAATCCTTTTCGCTGTTCCGTTTACCGGCCTCACGCAGTGCAGATTGCATTATCAAGATCGAAATTCCAACCTTCGTCGGACCCACGACCCCGCAGCAGTACCTGGTAGGAGGGCACTCAACACATGACAACCGCAGTTTACCTTGATCTACGCGACTGCCTATTTTTTAAGGGTAGCGTACGCTTTACAGGCTGGAGTCACACCAACCCACCCATTTGGTCCCACACATTAATATTCTTGTTCCGCCACTTATGAAATAATCAAACAACTTTATAACTTCATGCTTTTTGACCTATTAATAAGACATCTATCTGATAAAAAATGTTTGCCTTTATATCATTAATATTTAGCCTTGAATTTCTTATTCGGCTCTTATTTGTCTGTATTTTTAAATATTTTAGAAATTATTGGGGAATATCACCTTTTCAATAGTATTATCTTTAATGTACATAATGTCTTAAAAAGATTATCTGTATTTAAAATGGAAAAAAAGTCAATTTTTTATTATTTTGATTTCATATCATTGATTTTATCAATATCAGATAGTATCGTATCCCAAATATGTCTCATTTCTTCATCAAGATCATAATCATCCATAGTATTTACTAAGTCTTCGTTCAAAATAATTTTAATTATTCTTTTTGCATCAATTTTTCGCGAAGACAATGAATATGATATTGCAATATTGAGTAATCTCAATCCTTCTATGAATGGGTTGTAAGAAAGTATCTGAACAATGGCTTCTACGAATCCAATTCTCATTGCAGCTGAAACAGCTTCATTTCCTATTTCTTTAAGAAGGAAAAGTAAACATTTCGCTGAGGAAATTCTTGTTGCGAGGTTTTTATCGCTAGAAATCCCGTAAATAACGAAATGTATTAATCCTGAGTCAATTAAAGAGAAAATAGTGTTGCTATCATTATCAATAAGTTGTTTGGTGATTGTTTCGATGATTGGCATCGATTCTGAGTTTGGTTCTGATGAAAATAATTCAACCCAGTTTAAATTCTCGAAAATAATGGGAATAATGTCATGGTTAGATAGCATCGTTTGTATAAAGTACAACCTTGATTGAGTAACAAGCGGATTTGATGTGTGTTGCTGATTTAAAAGAATATAAAATTTTTCTTCTTTCAAAATGTCTAAAAACTGATCAGGAAACTGATTTATGCAATTGGCAAGAAGGACATATGATACTGGATATGATGAAAACATGTAGCTTTCTTGGGAAAATAAAATTTGATATATCTCGAAAATAACTTCAAAAGGATAGCTGTAAGTAGTAACGAAGTTATTGACAAGCTCTAGGACGTATTCTGCCTGGTTATCCTTGAAGAATGAAAAGATTATTGGGGATATTAAATTGATTTCATTTTGATCAAGAATTTGTTGTGTGGATATGGTAAGAATGATATCATAAAACGATTCGTTCTTTAATGAATCTGTATTTTGAAGATTCTTCATAATCAAATCAAATACTTTAGTTTTGATCAAGGCATTATCTGTAATAAGCTTGGATATGATGTTTGATGATGTCGTTGATACTATTGTGTCTTCATGAAAGGTAAATGAAAAAATATGATCCAAAAGTTTCTCATTAAGAAGTATTGGTGCAATTTCTTCAATACTATTTGATTGCGACTGGATAAAAGAATAGAGATTGCTTAATTGTGTGCAGATTGTTGAAACATCGATGTTTTCGAGATTATTCGTAAGGATTTGGCAACTATAAATGAAATCTGTAATAGATGTTGACTTATTTGATGCTTTTATGGAATTCTTTTTGCAGTCTGAACCATTTGGATCGAAATTCATTTCCATCTATTCAACGCATCAACAAAGAAAAGTGACAAAGTGACTTCCTCATTACATGTTCATCTTCTATCTTACTAAACAAGATTTTGAGACTTCAAATTCAAACGATATCTAGCTGATTTTCAATTTTTGCAGAAATCGAAAGTAAAATTTAGCCAAAAAGCACAAATCATCAAATAATGCTACTTTCTGTTGTTACTTAGAAGAATATATGTATGTGTATTATGAATGTTCTTATATTTGCCATTGATTACAATATTCCAGAAAGAATTTAGACAAGATTCGTTCCGATCCAAGATTAGAGCTAATAAAATTCGAAGTTAATGTGGTTTGGAGTTCTATAACTTGTAAAAATTAAGGTATTTAAAAAATATTAGATCGTTGAGCTTAAACAAATTGAACTACTAAGTTATTTGCTTTGCTATAGGTTATCTTAAAAGAAAGTTGATATAAACAACCATGATAGGTTATATGAAATTTGTCTTCCTGATTTTCCTCATAAGTTGACCATCACGATCCCAAGTTCGAGATGAAGCTCGTCAGAGATCTTCCATATATTGCTTTAAATAACAAAATTTATGGAAATGGTATTGATGAAGGTCAGAAGAAAAAAGATCTTTGGTTTACAAAAATTTACTGATATATTTTTTTAAATTCTGAAACAACAGAAAGTCCGGCAATGATCTATGCATGATATCATAGTATCAAATAATTGATATCAATTTTTACACGAGTCACTTTTTTTAGTTTTATGACAGTGAAAAAAGGGCATACGCCGCTTGACTACGAAGCAGCGTTTGCTGACATTAATGTAGCTGTTTCTACGAATATTGAAATCATGGATACAATTTTAAATACCCTTGACCAATTTAATAAGTCGTATCAACAGCTCCAAGCTGAAATGCAAAAGCAGACAATTAATGCTCCTAAGCCTATAAAGAAAAATATAGAAAAGAAAAGCATTTTTAAGAAAACCAGGAGTAGTTATATGGAAATAGTTCCAGGAACCAAATTGAATGAACTTCTTGATCAGATATTTGCTGCTATAATGGATTCTGGTTATCTTTCAATGTTTACAAAAGGAACTGAAGAATTTTTCATCCCAAAAATCGCCGAAATAAAAAATCAATACGAGAAAAACGTTAATAATATAAAATCAACATACGGAAAGTCTCTCGAAACGCTTAAACAACATCAGAAAACATATTCAGAAAAGTTAGATACATTTTACAAAAACTGCCAAAAGCTAGAAGAATTATATGATGCTCAGAAGGTAGATAAGTCCGAGGCCAATGTAGAAGCCTATGAGAACATGGTTGAAACCGTTACGCAGTTACATAAACAATTGGATGATTGTCTCGAAAAATACAACTCAGAACGTTGGCAGTTTAATGAAGAAGCAGACACATCTTTGGTTATATGGGAGGAAGCGGAAATAGCTCGCCAGAAGAAACTCACGAACCTTATTAGTGATTTTGCCAGAGTTTTCTTACAGATATCATCTGAAGCTAAGGAATTTGCATCTGGATTACGTGAACTGATCGGAAAATTCGATTATCAATTGGATATTCCTCATTTAGATACAAGCGTTGCAGATTCCACCGACAAGTTCATGAAATTCGTGGAATACGAGGCACCAAAAATTCCAGTTGATATCAGCGAATTCATTCCTACCCATGAATTCTTCTCAGATGAACTCGGAACATATGAAGATACTTTAATCAAAGATTTTGAAGGAGATATTACGATAAAGAAAGGTGAATCTGTTACAGTAAATTACACAGAAAAGGATTTCTACATAGTTACTGTTAATAGCACTGGTGCTTGTGCGGAATTGCCATTTGAGTACTTGGCCAACCAACCAATGCATGGCAGATCGATATGGAAGGTGATAAAGAAGTACAAGATGGGTGATTACCCAGTAGAAGAGAATACAATTGTCGCAGTCTCAGAAATTAAAGATTACATGGCTTTCTGTACATTACCAACCAATAAGAAGGGAGAAATACCTCTTCAGAATCTAGAACGTGTTAATTAACTGTACTTTTATTATATAATTCGTAAGATTACGGATTTTGTTTATTAAATTATTCTTATTGACTAACTGAAAATCGTTTGTTTCATGAGTGACAACTGAAGAATTTAATGTTCTTAGAAGTTTTTAGATCAAAATATTTTTATTTCAAATTTACATGAGCTGGCACAATATTTTTGTTGTAAAAGCGTATAATTTATGTTTTTAAGTTCTTGAAATTCTCCAAATTTTTTTCAAAATCATGAAAATGAATTTCATATTCCCGAATTTTTTCTTCAATTTTTGATTTTCAAAATAATTTTGGAAAATATAATCAAAGAATTAGAGGATATATTATCGGTAAGGTCTTTTTATTTTGTCTAAAAATTCGATATGTACTATCTTTGCTTAATATTGGTTAATAATTTTTGATTTTTATTTTCTATTATGGGATTCATTGTAAAATTCATATATAATTCAACTACAATTAAGCTATATATTGAAACTACCCCTGATTACATACTGAATTACCTCAAATAGAAGAAAAAATTTACTATTTAAATTGAATTCTTAAAATATTAACTATAAGTCCGTTTAATCAAAGATCCATTTTGGTGAATTCTTATCTGAAGATAAGAAAAAATTAAAGGTAAATAAAAAATTTCAAATAATTGACATTGCGTATTCTTTTTCTTGGATAAGTTCTTCTTCTGTTGCTTTGAGCTTAGAATTAACCCAGTCGTTAAGCTGTAAGTCTTCGACAATGTGAACTTTTCCGTCTTTGTCAACTGTACAAGGGAGGGAACAAAGGAGACCTGGTTGGAGTCCATAAGGAGACGATTGAGGAACAATCGCACCCATTGAAATGATTTGGTCTGGTTCTGTTCCGAAGAGAAATGCCTTCATTGTAAGAATTGCAGCTAAACAAGGAGATGATGCTGAAGAAAGTCCTCTGTAATTGAGAATCTGCCATCCTCTTTTGGATATGTAGTCTGGAAGTTCTTCGTGAATGTATTTTTCCTCAAGAAGTGAAGAAACAAAATTTTTTTCGCCATCTTTCTCGAAATATGCCTGCGAAATGTCAGGAAATAGAGTGTCTGAATGATTGCCCCAAACAATAACATTCCGAATCTTAGAACTTTCGATGTTAAGTTTTATCGCAACAGCATTCGTAATTCGAAGGTGATCAAGGTAAGAAAGAGATGTAAAGTTTTCTGGTTTGAGATTTGGTGCGTTAAGTAATGTTACTAATGCGTTCGTATTTGCAGGATTTCCTGTTACTAAAACCTTACATGTTGGTTTCGCATATTTATTCAGATATTCGCCTTGCTGTTTATATATTTTTGCATTGTTAGCAAGAATATCTAGACGCTTCTGTCCTGGGCGCGTAAAGCAAGTACATAACAAAAATGCGACATCAACGTCTTTGAATCCTTCCTCTGGATTTGTTGTCGCAACAACTCCATCAAGATACCGGAAACTGCTGTCTTGCAATTCCATCGCTAATGCATCTAATCTTGATTGTGCGGAAGTTGATTCGAAAAGATGAAGAATAATTTTACGCTGGCCAAAGAGCATACCATCTGCAATCCAATGGGACATCACGTAACCAATCTGACCTGCAGCTCCAGAGATAAGGACTCTTACACTTTCAGTCATTTTGACAGAAATTTTTTATCGATTTCTCCAAACGATGGATCTGAATAGAAAGAAAATATGCTTGATAAGCACCTCCTTTCCAGCTCTATATCAAAAATCGGAAATCGATTATTTTCGACTCAAATTATTGTAACTTCATCAAATTTGCCTGACAGGCATTGAAAATGTTTCGCCATGGTAATGCTCATATTAACAGCTTCATTGAACAATCAATAAATTCAGTAAAGAACGTTTATTCACCTTCGATTGCTTTAATTTGAGTTATAAGACTTTATATTTGATGCCATGACAGAACTGTTATTCACATGATTAAATATGAATTTGTAATTGACCATCATTCAAATATATGCATATTTCATCAATCCAATTAAATCTGATTAAGAATCATATAACATTACTAGGTGCAAAACATATCTCATGTAGAAACAGGAGTCATAGTTCATTGAATTTGGAATCTTGTTGCTAAAATGTTTAACCTTCATATTTATGAGCTAAATTATGGAAATTCATTATTAAATTTGCGGGATCTCAGAGGAATTTATCTCATTAATTTATGTGTCTATTGATATTTTTTAAATATAAAAATCAATATCGTTTTGATAAACTAGATTGTCATATATAACCTAGTTAATATATCTTTTCATCCAGCAAAACATACATATAATCATAAACAAACTACAACATTATATAAATAAAAAAAAATTAAAATAATTTAGAAAAATTAAAAAAAAATCAGGGTAATTCAATGACAAAAGAAATTTGCTCTACTCAAATTTATAACTCTATATTTGTTTTTGGACCAACTTCGCCAAAGCTGAGAAGTCCGGTGAAACATTATTGGGTTTTGGTGGCATAAACGGCTGATTGTACTGTGGCGGTGGTGGCACAGGATGTCCGTATGGCGCCGGTGCTCCGTACTGTGGTGGCGGAGGAATTGGAGCGCCATATTGAGGAACGCCGTAACCTGGCGGAGGAGCACCGTACTGTGGAGCTCCGTATTGAGGTGGTGGTGGCATTGGCGCTCCGTATTGTGGAACGCCGTATGACGGAGGAGGATTATAATCCTGATACCCTCTAGGAGGCATAGAATTCTGTTGATATTGTTGTTTTGGTTCTGGCTCAGAGTAAAATGTAATATCTAAAGCATGGCCATCCAGTGTTTTCAAAACTCGAGATTGCGCAACAGCTGCTTGCGCATGGCGAATATCATAAAATTTAACAAGAAAATTATTTGGTTCTTGATTTGATCCTTTACCTTCAATCGATCTGATTTCTCCAAATGGAGAAAGAACCCTATCTAAATCCTTATCAGTGATATTTACACTAGGATTGACAGGTTTTACAAAAATAGAGGCAGATGTTGGACATTGCCCAACAGTGCCAATAGTAGGAGGATGGAAAGCAAAGTTTGAACTGACCTTGCGTTCCATAAATTCTCTGTCTTGAACAGCTTCGACGGCTTTTTCAGCGTCTCTTATATCGTAATATGTAGCAAATGCTTGTCCTTTCTCACTACGTGGATAGAGATTTACAATTTCTCCAAATTGAGAAACAAATTCATTTATTTTTTCTTTTGGCGTATTGAATGGCATGTTGTAGAAAAATACAGTATGTAACGGAGGGTTTATTTGAGTTTTCTGGCGGGGACGGACTTCTTTAGCCGGGGGTTTTGGCATTGGCGGAGGATTGTTCATCTGTACATTGTGATTCTGGCGCGGTTGATTAGATCTGTCGATAGGCTTGTGCTGCGTAGGGGCATTTGGGTTATGGAGTTGGAATGTGCCCCCAAGAAGCAACTTAGCAGCCTCACTCATTATAAAAAGTGCCAAAATTTATCACTTTTATCGTTTCATCGTATAGCCTAAAAATGTCCCCTTCATTTGTTATCTTTCATGTTGTTTATGGACTATCATACACTATTTTAATGAAAATTTTGGAAATAGTGATCCCTATTTTTTAACGTCTTTTTTTTTCCTGCGAACAACTTTCCCCACTTGTTTCCCTTTGGATTTAAGCTATATAAACATATAGACTCCACACTTATCTTATACATTACCTCATATCGACGAATCTTCAAAAATAATAACAGGACTCCCCAAATTATTCGTTATCAAAATATTAATTCAGTGATCAATTGTCTTGGCAACATATTCTTAATAAATATGAGGTTGGACTAGGGCTGTACAAGATTTAAAAAAACATTGCCGGGTTACCGTAGAGGCCTAAAAAAGTCGCGCCTCGGCGGCAAGCCGCCTCGGCATTAAGAATGCGCATCTAAATTTTTATATGTCCTTCTTTCTTTTATTTTTCCCTTCCCTTTCTTTTCTTTTTCTTTTTTTCCCCTCCTCTTGCTCTCATTTGCCTTTTTTCCCTTTTCTCATCATTTTTCATGTTGTAAACAGAAATTCATCAAAAGTGACACCTCAGAAAAGCTAAAATATTGAATTTTTGGAACTTTTGATAGAGCACGTTTTTAAATATTAATTAAAGTAAATGTATATTTTGTAAAGATTCTTTTTAATAAAAAAATAAAATTTTGAAGAAGAACACAAAATCTTCTGAAAAATAATATCACATAAACTCATATTATTTTCTAATATATAACTATTTTTTATAAAAATCAAATTCAATGATCTTAAAAGCGAAGGATAAACCTCAAAATTTACGAATATAATGAGTGGGAATATAATGCTTATCTATCATAAAACCATATGAAATATCAATTTTTGCTTTACGCCTAATTTTTGACGACAATTAGCAAAAAATGTTAAATGTTAACACTCAGTCCATTTGAATATGAAAAATAAAATTGACTTTGATTAAATGTTTTTATTTATCATGCAATTCTTCTTGCGACCAAAGATTTGAATAAAATTTCAAAAAATAAGATAGCTTAAAAAGTAATATACGGTAGTGTTTACTAATAGATGAATAGTATATAAATTCTATTAAAATGGATTTGATCCAAAAAAATATAAAACCAAAAATAATTGTTATAATTTAAATGAAGAAGTAATTTAAAACGATTTTATTTATGATCAAATTTTATATATTTTTGACCTCACTTTTTCCGTAATTCAATTTTTTACTTTTAATATTTTAGATCTTCATAATATCATTTGAAAAATTAACCATATAAAAAAATCAAGTTATCAATTCACTTTTTCCGTAATTCAAAAATCAAAAATATAAATAATATATCTTTTTATCAAATATTATTATTATATTCTGTGGATATTACATCAAAGAGTCGAATGTAAGCATTTTTTAAGGCTGCACTTACGCCCATCTGACTTTGTTTCAAATTTTTGACAACTGGCGTGAAGCGTCATTAAAATTTAACCTTAAACATCTGAATTGAAGGCCCTGTCATAGGGGCGTAAGTGCACCATTAAAGATCCAATAAAAAGTAGGGAATAATCATAAAAAATTGAGAAGGGCTGGAAAATCGCTTAATGTATAGAAATGAAAAAGCTTAAATTTTTTTTATTTCTAATGAAATTCATCTTCAAAAATACCAGAAAAAGAATAGTATCTTGCGTAAGAACATTATTTTGCACCACGCGATTTGAGAAAATTTTCAGTTCTTATACAATTAAAATATTTTGCCAAATAAAGTGCGGTTTCTCCAGCATTAGTTTTTTCATTGATATTTGCACCATGTGAAACGAGAACTTCGGCAGTTTCTTTACTATCATGTATTGCTGCAATATGAAGAGCAGTGTTTCCATCTTCATTTTTTTCATTGATATTTGCACCATGTAAAATGAGAACTTCGGCAGTTTCTTTGCTATTATGTTTTGCTGCAATATGAAGAGCGTTGTTTCCATCAAATTTTTTTTCATTGATATTTGCACCATGTAAAACGAGAACTTCGGCAATTTCTTTGCTATTATATTTTGCTGCAATATGAAGAGCAGTTATTCCATATCTAGTTTTTCTATTGATATTTACACCATGTGAAACAAGAACTTCAGTAGTTTCTTTGCTATGACTCTGTGCTGCAAAATGAAGTGCGGTGCTTCCATCAAAAATTATTTCATTAATATTTGCACCATGTGAAAGGAAGTATTCAACAAGAGATGGAGTTTTAAACATCAGTGAATAAACCAGGTATTCGCCAATCTCATTAGTTTGATCGAAACAAACTAAAAATGATTCAAGATTATTGTAAGTTCCTGAGTATCTTAGATCGATATCTATTTTGTGTTCATACATTAAGAATGTGATAAAGTCAATGTTGTGTGAAATAATTGCATATTTCATGCATTCTTTATTTGGTTTCTTATATTTCAAACATTCATTCATGATCTCTTGATTTCCTCCTAAAAATGATAATGCTAGACATTTTTTAGTTATTTTTGAGCCGAATTTCGTTCTTAATAACTTGAAACAATCAACTGCTCCATGGTAACAACATAATTCAAGTAGAGAATATCCTTTATAATAATATGGATATAAACTGCTTTCAAGTTCTTGAGTTTCATCAAAACCTTTAGTTTCAATAAAGAAGATGAATTTTATTAAGTCATTATTCATAATTGCTTTGTAAATTGTATCATCTGTGTGAATTTCGAGATTGTTAAAATCATCGTTTTCGAAGTCATCATCTTTGGCTAAATTAATTCCATATTCTATATAAAACAGGAAGTTTGAAATTTTTATGACACAGTTGACCTCTTTGACATGATATTCATCAGATATGAATTTGGCAAGAGATAAATATGACTTTGCATAGCGATTATTATACGGAATGATATCTAAAATATCTCTTATCATATCTTGGGGAGGATATTTATTTGAATCAATCAATTTTAGTTTAATATTTTTGTAAATCGAGTTTAATTCTTCTTCTTTTTCCTTTTTCAACTGATACAACGTATTAAATATATCGATATAGTATTTGTAGAAACTTCGCAATCTGCTGTATTTGCTTGGATGAACGTTTTGAGAGGACATTATTTTAATGAAGGATATATCTAGGTTTTACCATATAATATACCACTTAAATTCAATTGTAGAAAAAATGCTATTATACAGATGTTGAAAACAATGACTGCCAAGATTTCAGTTATAATTTATTGATGAGAAATGACATAACAACAATAGAAAAGTCATAAAAAATATAAAATGTGATGCGGATTTATTGTAGATTCATAAATTAAAAAGTATGGGAAATATTCTATTGGCGTGAAGCACCGATAGAATTGACTGATTTGACACTTTTTCACTTTTTTTTTGATGAATCAAGATCTTTATTTTTCCTTCTCTTGTTCAAATATTCAGAGATTAATCAATATCCCCAATCAGCAATATGTTATTTCATTTAAAGAAATAACTATCAATCTATCTCTTATCGAAGCAATTTTTATATCCGAAATTGCCTATAAAAACTATCTTAAAGATAAATCATTAAAGTTAGTTTTGGATATTAAGATAGATGATGCAATTATTAATATAATAAAACAATTGATTTCTGGGAAATTAATTAAAATTTCGAAAAACCTTCTTCCCGAATTTCTTCAGCTAGGCAATTCTATAGGAAATCAAGAAATTATTAAGTTCTGCATCGATCACAGCGAAATTAACATCAATAACTTTGATATTTTTTATCAATTTGATCAGAAAAAAGTTCTTGATTTCTTTTTAGCTCATTATAAAGAAATTAGTCAAAATAAGCTCTTTAGTATTGATCCTCATGCATTATCATCAATTATCGGCCAACTTTTAAACAAAGAAACAAATCAGAATATTATTAATGATTTATTCGAAATTATTATGCAAGTCTATGCAAATAATCCAAGTAATATTGTATTTGAAAGTATTGATTTAAGTATTCTTCCCAAAAACTGCATTCAAAAGTTCATTCAAATCTTTGATTATAAATTCATGGATAAACATGTTTGGGATTGCATTGGAAAGATTATACTAGAAGACAAACAAGATAAAAGTCAGAAACATATTGAAAAGCCAATAATTCCCGTTTCAAATATGAAATTGAATGAATTTCCAAACGGAATCATTAAGAACATGCCACTGAATGAAATAACTGTTACAAGTTCATCCTGCTTGCATAAGAGTATGAAACCAGAAAACGTTCTTAATCAAAACAACAGAAAAACATATTTTCAATCTTTAAATGAACCAAATCAATGGATACTGCTGTCATTTGCAAAGAGAATACATATTGAATCTTATCAAATAAAGTGCATGAGGGATTGGGGTAATTGTCCAATGAATTGGGATTTAATGGTTTCTGAAGATAATTTAAATTATAAAATTGTTGATTCTCAAAGAAATAATGATATAAGAGAGAAAGATTACAAAATACAGCTCAATGAAGCAGCTGATGGCCGGTTTGTGAAGATAATTCAAACTGGTTTGAACACCCATGATGAAAATGATTTCCTTATTGGCAGTGTTGAGATGTTTGGAGGAGTGTGAGAAGATCTCACCAATAATTAACATGAATTTCATTTTCATATTTAAAATATTATTTGTTTATGATATAAATTTGACTTAAACATACTAGGTTATACAATATATCACTTTTATTTATCAATAATAAATGTAATCTTAACAATTAAATGCTAGTATTCTATTAGATTTAATTATGAGATAAATAGTAGTTAAGCTACGACAATATGTTTAAATCTTTCATCGAAATAATTCAAAATCTAGTTTAGTACCACGTGTGATTGTTCTATTTTCCTTAATTTTGTTTTGAAGTGTTATAATTAGATTTATGCACTGGCTGAATACATATACTCAATACATAAAGAGATCTGATTATATGTGATGGATAAAGACCATGATTTTGAATTTTATTAGATTATTTTCTCGGTATGGAAAAATGTTCAAATTATACCATATTATGTGTGTGTATTTCAATTGTGTATTTCAAATTTGTTGGATTGAAATAAATTTATTTGCGATCAATAAATTCGCTTCGGAAGACTTTATTAACAAGGCATTGCCATTCTCAGATATACCATCATCTTTAAACAAGCTGATGCAATCACTTTTGAGATCTGAAAAAATTTCTAAAAAATCAAATTTTACAAATGTTTATAAAATTATTTAGCATTGATGATAGTGCAAAACGATTTCCTTTCAAAATTTTACATTTATCTTTTGAGAAGTGACCAATTTTCCAAATCTATTTTTCTTGAACAGTCTTGCTATAGTAATGATTGATTTGCGTAAGGAGGTTCTTAATAAAAAAATTCAATAAGGTATTTGAAAAGTATTTATTTCAAATATTTTAATATTTTTAACACACATGTTTATTATAATTCATTTATTTTAATCTGCAGATTACTCAAAATATTGAATAGTAGTATTCAATTTTTAAAACCTTCCGAAAAATCGTTCAAACATATTTTTAAAAACCAAATTAAATGCATCTCAATATTGCATAAAAATAATTGTGACAAATTTTTTGAATTCAAATTATTCATGGAAGTTTCGTCCTTAATAGACTTTTATACACTTAATGGAATTGTAGAAACACACGAAAACATTACCGTTTATAATGCAATTGGCAAAGCAGCAAACAGAATGTATAATGTTTCGAGAATTCCTAAAGATCTTGCAAAATCAACCACAAGAAACCCATTTTCAATGCTTTTAAGTTTGAAAAGTGAATTCCTTGTAAATTGTGTAGATGTTTTTGAAGATTCCAAAACATTCTACGCTGCCTATGAATTACCAAATGGAACTCCTCTCATTGAAACAATTCATACCGGATCTCGAATCAAAGAAGAAAGAGCTGCATACATATTAAATCAATTGCTTCAAGCAGTTAAATACTTGCATCAATCTGGTTTTGGAAATATTCAGATAAATCCACAAACTATTTTCGTTACACCAAATGATGATGTGACAATTACAGACTATTCATTCCTGGCTAATATTCCGTATAATGAACGCCTTCAAACTCGACCCGAAATTTTGGAAAATGCGCCACCGGAATTTTTCAAGTCAGGATCATACGTTGCATCGCAAGCAAACGTTTGGAGTATTGGCGTGATAGCATATATACTTGTTACTGGATCCCATCCGTTCAAAACAAACACACATTCCTATAATCAGTCAGAATATATCATCAAAGAGTCAATTCTCCAACAGATTCAGATTCCTTCATACATCAGTACCTCAGCACATAACTTTATCCAAAGATCGCTCGAAATTGAACCAACTCGCAGATTTTCTATTGACCAATGCATCGGACACCTCTGGATCTCCAAGCAAAGTAAGAAAATGGTTAAGGTCAGCTCCTTTAATAGCTTCAATTCATTGCAATTTGATGATAAAAACATATTTAAATCAAATGGCCTTTCTACATTATCTCCTACCACCAAAAACTCACCAACTAGGTTCAGTAGTAGCAATTTATCCAGTTTATCCTTGTTTTCGAACATGAGACCTCCATCAGAATTTGATTTTTGAAATTTCAATGTATTATATTGCATATTATGTATATTTGTAATTGAATCGGATGTTTAAATTAGTAAATCACTAATTTATTGTAATATTTTAAAATTTTTATTTGAAAAATTATTATTTTGAATAACCATAAGATTCTTCCATAGGATACGTATTTAGTCTTCTTAATAAAGGTATACATAAGTCATCTCATCAAAAATATTTAATTTTTTTAAATCTGAAGAAAATTCAATTTATAACTTCGTTGTATTTTAAGAATGATAACGAACTCATTTTAAATTTAAATTTTTGAGGACTTAGGACTTGAAACTTAAAAGATATAGAATAAAATATTTCAATAATGAATGAATCTAGACATGTAGAACAGGCCAAATTTATCACATTTGTGCAACAAGCATGTTGGATGAGTCTGTCAAATCTTGATAATTCAACACTTAATTCAAGATTTGTGACTGGATTTAATTCTCGAATGTTACATCTATTAGAATTTATTGCCTCAGCTTGAGTATTTTGTATTCAAAAATGATCAAATCCTGAGATTTAGCTCCATATCTATGAATGGTAAATTATCAGAATCTTCTCAATTTTGATATAATGAGTTTCAGCTTGAATAACTTGATTTCTGATAGTTTTTATACATATATCGATAAGATGACCCAACACCATTTCTTTTTATGTGGGATTTAAGGATTTATATTTGTGGAAATTGACCATAATATCAAAAAAATTAATTCGGAAAATTATGAGTTCTTGAAATCTAATTAAAGAAAACGCATCGTCCAATAGTCGAGTAATTAAAATTGCCAGGTTTTTGAGAGAAAACTTAAACGGAATAGAAGATTTATATTACGCTTTACAAAGAAATTATATTTCTTAAACATTTATATTCAATTTTTCAGTGTAACGACTGATATTGAATTTTTCAATACACCGATTCATTTTTTTATTTTACCCTGAAATAATATTTTAGTTCTCTTGTAACTATGCCTAGAAAATTTTGATTTATCACAATTTCTCAGTGATGATTTCAATAATCCTTTCAAAGTTGTAGTTAAAAATAAAGATCAATATTTCACACCTCCTTCGTTTCTTTTTAAAATTATTGAAACAAAGAAATAACACAAATCTTATCGTGCTTGAAATTAGAAACGGATTTTTATTATTTTAGAATGCTGAGAAGCACTCTGACCTTTAGTCATTTGCTATCTAAGGGTATTATCAATCACTATGAGCCAACAGTTACTGGCAACACATTAACATTTAGCACAGCTGAAGATACAAGGGTTGATAGTGATAAAATAAACAAATTATTAAGGGATCATCAAATCACTACGATTGTTTATGATATTGACTCAACCACAAACTATCTTTCGGTCTTAAAGCCATACTTAAAATATGTTCAAAAACTAGAAATCAAAAAATATAGTTCTACTGAACTTGATTTATCAAATTATGGATGCGAATACCTCACTTCAATTACAATCCCAGATTCCATTACAACAATTTCCTCTGGCTGCTTTCAATCATTTGCAATCACAAGTATTGATCTCAAAAATGTTAAAACAATTAGATCCAATGCTTTTTCATCATGTTATAAACTTGAGAAAATTGTTGCAAGCCATGTGACTTCAATCAGTAGTTCTTTTGCCAAAAATTGCTATTCATTGAGTTCAATAACAACAGGCGTATTAACATCAATTGGTTCAAGTGCATTTTATAATTGCCACAAACTAAAATCAATAGAAATCAGCTCAGTTACTGAAATTGGTTCTGAGGCATTTTACCGTGCAGGTATTAAATCTGTTACGATTCCTTCATCATGCACAAGGATAGAATCTTCGGCTTTTGAAGAATCTGCTCTTGAATCAATTTCTTTCAGTGAAAGAACTGAAGATTTGGTAATTTCTAATGAAGTCTTTGCCAAAACATATATTACAAGTGTTACAATTCCAAAGCAAGTAACATTGGGTAGTTCTATATTCGATTCTTGTGGAAAGTTGGAAAAAATCAATATTGATGAAAGCATAACTACAATCCCAGCAGGCTTTGCACATATGTGCATATCTCTTAAATCCGTTGTTGCAAAGGGTATTACATCTGTTTCTACTTCTGCATTTGAATTATGCATCAATTTGCAGTCAGCAACACTTGGATCAGTAACAACATTTAACTCAAAATGTTTCATGTATTGCACAAATCTTTCAATGTCCTTTAATGAATCACTTGAAATTACATTCAGTGATAGTTGTTTTGCATTCTGTGATAACATAAAGTTAACCAATGTACCAAAAGAATGGACAATCAACAATAATGCATTTTTAGGATGTGGCGGCATTTCTACCCTCAAAATTAATGCAACATTGAGCCAATCATCCTTCAAAGGCTGCAGAGAACTTACAAGTGTAGAGCTTCTTGAAAATGTTGAAACAGTTCCATCCTCATGCTTCGGGAATTGTTCTGCATTAACAAGTCTTAAATTCACAAAGAATCTTAAGAATATAAATTCTTATGCATTTTCATTCACAGGTTTGACAGGATCATATAATTTCTCAAGCATAGAATTATCATCAAACGCTTTTGATAGCACACAAATTGAGGAAGTAATTATTGGAAAAACAGATTATCATACATTCTTCAATTGCACAAATCTGAAAACAGTGAAAATTGATACTGATGGTTTCACTCCACAGTCATTCATCAATTGCTCTGAATTTGATATCAAATTAGAAGAAAATGCCGAAAGGCTTAAATTTGATAATAATATCTTATACTATTATTATAAATCAACTACAAGTGACTTTACAGAGAAAAAATTATTGGCTGTACTCCCAAATTATGAATCAAAATCAATGACTATATCTGAGTATGATAGCATCAATGCATATGCATTTTCCCTTAGCGATAGACCCAGAGAGTTAATTATCGATGGATTAATGATCACCTTGAAAGCAAATACTATTAAAGAATCAAATATTAGACGTCTGGAAATAAAGAATTTCAATGGAGTTAATATCCCATCTAGTGCATTCCAAGATGCGTATAACCTCCAGGAAGTTATCATCGCAGAAGGAATTGTCGCAATTGATAGTTTGGCCTTTTCCGACTGCTATAGATTAAAGAGCATTGAATTATCATCAACATTGAGATCTATAGGACCAAAAGCATTTTGGAATTGCTATAATTTGAAATATATTGACCTTTCAAATGTTGATATAATTCTTGCAGGCGCTTTTCTTAAATGCGAATCTCTTTACAGTGTTACATTCTCGAACAAATTAACTTCGATCAATAATCAAGCCTTTAGAAATACTTACATTAAGAATCTTGTTATTCCTGCTTCTGTTTTGGTAATTTCGGACTCTGCATTTTCATATTGCAATAATTTGAAAAGGATTGAATATGAATCAGGAATCCTTGAAATCGGTTCAATCGGGTCGAATTGTCCTAATCTAAAGAAAATTATTATTCCAGACACTGTTAGATTTATTACTTCTAATGCATTTAATGGTTATCCAAATCTTGATGTTGAAATTGATTCTTCAAATCCATACTTTGAAGCACAAGATCACGCCATCATTGAAAAATCGACACAAAACGTTATTGCATCATATGGTACTCTTCCAAAAGTTTATGAAGTTCCAGAAGGAGTTATTAACGTCGAATCATTATCAAGGAATCAACCAGTTGAAAATATTCAATCTGGTTCAGTTTCAACTGGAATATCAGCTGCAATTGTTAAATATCCAAGTTCCAATAAAGGTTCAACTGATTTTGCAATTAATTCGTGCTCTGATTCTTATGCAGATCAATTATCAAATGAAATTCAATCTAATGGTGATTGCAGCAAGAAGCTTCCTGACTATTACTACTGGAGATTCCACCGTGGAATGACTCCAGCAGAAATTGCTCTCACAGTTATTTTAGTTCTCATTGCAGTAGCTGCAATTGTATTAGTAATCATCTATTTTACATTAATAAAGAAAAAGAAAGTTGAAGCTGACCAAGAACCATAAAAATTTATAGTAAACATTTGGTAAATAATACAGTTTTCTTTTTTTTTTAAATAAATTCAAACACTGAAATATTATTGGAATAATGTAATTACCACAGGTATCATACATACGAAAGAATAATTTCACTAAAAGATTTCGACTTTGATTTTGATTCTAAAATCATTTCTTATTGAGCAATTAATTTTCAAAAATAAAGGATAGAACAGCCACTTATATATGGGAGTTATAATGATGCCAATATTTATATGTTCATCATGATTTTTAATGACAAGACTGTCATGTAGAATTTTAAACTGGTAAAGGTTCAAGAGCGGGTCGCCTTATTTTTTTATTTATTTAAATTAATAAAGACTCTTCTTTTCATATTATACTTGAAATCGTTGAGAAACATATTTCACACACTTTGTATGTATATTGAATTAATTCAGAAATTCTGTCTCAAAATTTTTGAATCATCAACACAATAAATTGAATGACCGCTAGGTTTCATTCAATTAAAAATTGTACTAAACATTATGTTATGCAAGATATTGCGAAAAATTTTTGATAACTTGTAAAAAAAGTGTAAACTTCAGAATACACAATAATATGTTATTTGGATACTATATCTAATTACAAATATTATTGCCACTCAAAAAATCACGATTTCAATTTTTCTCGAAATCTAGCATTGAAATGCATATTAATTTTACTAAATATAAGCATTATATTATATGCTAATGGACTTTTTGCAAAGTTAGTAGTTAAACATGTATATATATATTCCTCCAAAGTTCTTTCAATTTCATTGAAAGGGAGGAAAATGAAGAGATTCTAAAGAGAAAAACCAAAAAGCAGTCTCTAATGATATAACATGAAAACTATATTATTGTGCAAGACAATATCAACATTTTTCAAGAGATAAAAATCTGATAAAAAATTTGATAAATATATTTATGATATTTTAAGCATAACAGGGAATTTTAAAAATTCTGAGATATAAACTTTATTTCTATAAGTTCTGAAATGTGACAAAGTGAAATATAAAATATATATAACATTATTACTGAGCATTTTCAAGTACTTCCTCTTCTTCCTCTTCAACAAGTTCTTCGAAGTCACTTGCGTCGACGAAATCGACTTCTTCCTCTTCGCCAGCAAGTTCATCAAGATTATCTTGAAATTCTGCTTGGTTGAGGTTGTAGATTTCACCGTATTCACCAGCCTTGAGACGGCGCTTAAGTTCTTCTTGAACTGAATATTCGACATGAGCAACGTTGAGAGCACGTTGTTCTCTTGTAGCATTACGACGTTCTATCTTCTTCTTAATAGGAAGTGACTTAACTTGTCCTTCTTTCTTACGCATTTCACGCATATTTTGTAAAGTTTCTAAAAGACGACCATATCTGAATTTAACTTTCTCAATAAGCCATGCATCCCAGTACTGCATTTCGTATTCTATGATTTTGTACGCTTCTTCTGGATTTTCGGGTAATTCGATTTTTTGCCACATTTTACTAGGCATATGAGCTCTTTCAGCAGTTTTTGTTTTAAGTATAAGCTTACCTTTTTCGAGCATGACTGTGCCATACTGTGAGTTTGCAAGTGAACAAGATTTTCTATCACAAATGCCTGTGACGTTGTCTTCGTTCCTGCAGAAAATGAGGGTATCTGTTTTAACTCTAAAACAACAGTTCTCGAACTTTAATATTTCCCAAACAAGCGAATCTGCTGTTCCACACGCCATTTTGGTCCTTTGAAGAGAATCACAAAATTTGAGACACTAATTTTTTATCTAAAATCTTCTTGATTTTTCATCATAAAAAGATACTATGACTTGCATATAATAATTTTGTTCCGAGAATTTTAGGATAAATCATTTCCCAATTTTTCCCAAAATTCAATCAATTGTTTCCATCATCGACTCTTCATTTAAACACTTGGTAAGGTTATGCTGACATGATCATCACTCACAAATTTCATATAGCATTATAATAACATAAATTAAATGGTATCTTCATGAAAATTTTGGAGATTTGAGGTCATTCTCTGGGTAGAAAGGTATTAAATTTTTATGACACGGCTAAAGATAAGATTTGAACAAATTACATTTTTGATGAACTCAATTGAGAGAGAAATTGGTAATAGAATATATCTACATTTGCTCATCTTTCGCAAAAAGAGTTCCAAATTTGTTGTTGAATAACATTTTCCTTCGGTGAACTCATATTCAGGAATTATTCTTTTTATATCATATAAGAGAATAATTTTCTAGTCAAGAATAGTAAGCAAATTAGACTAACAATAAATTAGTATTTAATTAACAATAAGAATGTAAATAAAAAATGAAATTATTTGCCTTTGACGTATCTTGCATGAATCATCTTGTTTTCTTCTAAGAAACGTGCAATATGATCCGAAGTCCATTGTTGCCAGTAGTATACAGATGATCTTCTTGCAGGATTTGCTGGAGAAATGCTAACTTTAGGACCGTTGTCGTTACTTTCATCGGATAACTCGCATTGAGTGCAGTGACCACTTATTTCTGCTTCAATTGCTTCTATTGGGTTCCTTGCAACAGCCGCGATACTTTCAACGAGTTCCTTTTGAGCAGCGAACTGGAGAACGCCAGTCTTGATATCCTCAATATGGAAGTCTTCGACATAGCGTGGTATCAATGAAAAATTCGGAAGAGTTACCTTGAAATTATGATTTGAAATTTCTGGAGTTAAGTGGACATTAAGGTTCATTGGTTGAATAGGAACAAGCGTAGATCGAATATGCAAAGCAACTTGTGACAAAGGTATTTCATTCAAATCAATTTTAATTCCTAAACCTTTATCGCAATGAAGAACTCCATCTTTGATTAAATCGTTTTCAAGAGCATAAGAGCTAACTGCACGTATAACAGAAGCTAACGTAGCTTGATGCATTTTAACAATTGGGAATAAATTTTCTGGAACTTGGTAGTAGGTAACTGGGAAATCAGGATAAAGTATGATAGAAACTTCTAGATGGAATGATATATCATTTGGAAGAACAATTTCGATTGAATCCGTTTCAAGTGTATCTGCATTTCGTGTCCATTCTTTATGGATGCCATTGATTTCAAATATAATTTTATCAAAGTACTGAGAAATTATATAAGGTGTGGTATCTTCGTATATTGTGAATAAAAATCTAAAAATGTTTTCGACGCATTGTTCTAATCTAATTGAAATAATGGCCTTGATTGGATTAGCATTTAGTCTATCACCAAGTGCAAAGGATTGTTGTTCATTGTATAAACGACGTTTAATGAATGATAAAAAATTAAGTTGATAAGCTGCAATTTCGCAGGAGTCCTTAAGCACATCAAATCTGTTTTTGATGGCTTGATTTTGAAATGCTAGATCTTCTTCTAATGGCTCAAGAATTTGAGACAGCATTCGAAAAAGAAAAATAAAACAAAAAAATTACAAAAATATAGATTATTCATGAATGATTAATGTGTCTGCTTTTAGATCTATCATAGAATATGGATTAATAGCACAAATATGTTTATTTGCAGGTCAAAGAATCGAATATTAATTACCTCGAAATCACTCTTGTATTTTTCTTCCATTCTTCGTTTATTAGTCATCGATTATCTACATAGTCTAAATCCATTACCAAAATCAAGAAAGCATCATTACGATTTTGTGGATATAACTTTAAAACGACTTTTCTATTATTATGATAACAGCTATCTTTAGGCTTAGCGTGGCTGCATTATTATATGTTCAAATAAATCACAAAGTGTCACTTTTATTTGAATTTAATTTGAGAGGAAAACGATTATCTTCCGTTAGTACTCCCATAGATGTCGGCGCTTCCCATCAAAATTTATATCAGGACGCGTCCAACAACAGACTTTGCGGGAGAAAACATTAAAATATTAGATGATCATCAAACAGTTGCAGTAAATATCGACAAATCAGATCCATTAAATTTCTTGAACACTCCAGAATGTAATTATTCCTTTAAATTCCACAGTATTCTTCATAACGTTAGTCAAGAAATTGTTTTTGAAGAAGCAGCTCGTGAAATTGTTGATTCTTTCATTCAAGGCTATAATGGCTGCATTTTCTCATTTGGCCAACGTGGAGCCGGTAAAACATTTACTATGTTTGGTGGAATTCGTCACTTCAAATATCGTGGCATCGTTCCAAGAGCAATTTCATACATTTTCACAGAACTAGAGAAATTCAAGACAATCCAATTCACACTTACAATGCAATACTGCCAAATCTTCAATGATATCATATACGATCTTCTCAGTGATGATAACAAAGAAATGCAAATTGCAGAAGACGAAGAAGGCAATCCATACATACAAAACCTTTCAGAGCATAAAGTCACTGATGTCCATACTGCACTTACAAAGCTTCTTGATGGAGATTCTAAACTTCATCTCGCTGAACATAAATTTGGCAGAGCTGTTCATCGCAGTCATGCAGTTTTCATTCTTGATTTAGTAGGCAGGAAAGGTACTCGCATGACACACTCTCGTCTTCTTCTCCTAGATTTAGCAGCAGCCGAAGAAGCCGGAGATTGTGCATACGTTAACAAATCTATTTCATATCTACAGCAATTAGTCGTTTCTATTATCTCCAAGGATACAAAGCATCTTCCTTTCCGCCGTTCGAAGCTTACATATTTACTTCGAGATGCAATTGGCGGAAATTGCAGGACATCAATCATCGCAAATGTCTGGCCTGAGAAGCAGAACAACAGGGAAACCATTTCTACGTTCCAATTTGCAAATGAACTCAGTAAAGTACATAATGATGCGAAAGTTAACACAATGGAGCCATTAGAGCTTAGAATAGAGCGTCTCCAAGAAGAACTCGAAATACTTGAAGCCGAGCAAGAGCTTCAAAGCGAATTGGCCGGAAATATCAAAGTTGATGGCCTCAAACAAGAAGACGAACAGCACGTGGCCGACCAAGTTGCTCTCTATTTGAATGATGAAATCGACAACCTCCCGCTCCAAAGCGTTGCCCACATAAAAGCGATATTTGCCGAAATCAAAAAGCGCTACATCGACATTCCAAATGCCATTATGCGTGAAGTTGGCAAGAACTTCACCCTCACAGAGCGTGTAAAGAACGTCAAAGCTCCAAAAGACGTCGGAACAATTGATGGCGCCGGTTTCTCCATTGGCGTTGCTCCAAGCCAAGATCGTCCCTGCAACATTCGCACCGTCGCGAAGATGGACCGCGGTGGCAACCAGTCAGGCGGAAGGGCCGATAACCCTGCTGTTCCCACGAAAGAACAACTTTTCGAAATTTACAAGTTGAGGGATGGAAAACAGCAAGCCACAGAGCTCATTGAAGCCAAGCACACCACGAAATCACTCGTACAACAGAAGAAAGAGACTGTCGAGAAGGTCAATACCCTCCAAGAGCAAATCGTCAGTCTCGGAAAGGAAATCGACCAAAAGGGAATTCGCCAGGCTAAAAGACTGTTTGAAGCTGATGCTGCTCTCCTTGAAGAGGAGCTCAAACAGAAACAGGCTTATAAGGATGGATACGCGGCAATACAGAAGATACAGGCTGAAATCGATGGATTGAAAGAGAAATGCGGATCAATTAGAACTGCAATTCTCAGCTCTTTCGAGGAATGGTACAATAAATGGCTTAATAACGAGTTGTACACTGAACCAATTGTTCCGCCAAACAAAGAGGCTGACGCTGGACAGAATGGAAAAGAATCTGCTGCTTCAAAGGCAAAGAAAGGAAAAGAACCGGTAAAACCTGTAAAGAAACCTCCGCCAAGAAAGCCGGGCAAATAAAAATTAAATTAAATTGCTTTTTGTTTATCAAAGTAAACACTTAAAAAAAAGTTCTACTATTTCTTTTTGTTGCAATATGAAGTGCGGTTTTTCCAATATTAGTTTTTTTTTTCATTGATATTTGCACCATGTGAAATAAGAAGTTCGGCTATATCTTTGTGATTATTTTCTGCTGCAATGTAAAGAGCAGTGTTTCCTTCATTATCTTTTTCATTGAAAGAAATGGAAAATAGGCACAAGCTTAATTAATGATAACTCTGCAAAATAAGAATATCTTTTATGTTTACTTGCAAATGATGCCACAGAGGGAATTTGAAGAAAATTATTATCTTGTTCTAATTCTTTTTGTAAAATATACTCTTTGAACTGATCAATTTGATCATGCATAAATATAAATTCAATTAAATCCTCCATATAGAATTCTAAATGCGAAATTTCCTCGATGTTACAACCAATATGCTCGAGTATATTGATATAATTCTTTCCAGAAGCATAATTGTATTGAAATACCAAGAGAATAATCTTTGTTAGCTGCTTGACTGAAAGTTGATATTTTGAAATAAAATGCTTGCAATTGAATTGCACATATCTTCAATAGATTCATTAAATTTTATGCGGAAGAGCTTTTGAGACGACTCTATAAAGTCTGCATATTGCTTTAAATAGTCAGAGCTCATAAAAAAAGTTAATGTTGGATTCCGACAAAATTGTCGCATTTTGGAGGAAGATTTTTTAATGTATATTTTTCTTATTAAATTTCAACAATGAGGTGGTTCGGAATCATCCATAAAAAGAAGTTTAGTTCCTACGAATATTGACCAACAAAAAGTGACAATTTTTTTGATGGCAGAAAATCCAATTTCTTTACATAACATATCAGCTCCTCACCAAGACGACGATTTTAAAGGAATATTCTCGCACATTTTTAATCTTACTGGAGGGAAAAATCCCTCGGATTTGAATTTAATTTCAATTATTCCTTCAGACACAATTAATTCAAACGTTGCACATATAATAGAAAGTAACTTTAGAAGTCATTGGTTTTCATTTAGAGAAAACCCATGGGTTACAATAGATTTCAAAGAAGTTAGTGTAAAACTTTCAGGATATACACTTAAAACATACTCTGGTGGTGAAAACTATGGCCACATGAGATCTTGGGATCTTGAAGTAAGTAACGACAACACAAATTGGATTAATATTCACAGTGTAAGAGATTCTAATGATCTAAATGCAGACAGCGTTCATAAATACTATGATGTTACATCAGATGACTATTTTCGTTTTGTTAGACTGAAAATGTTCGGTCGTAACGGAGCTGGTTCAGATTTCATGGTCGTGAGATGCATAGAATTGTTTGGCTCAACAAACTAATTACAATTTTTCTGAGAAAATTTATTTTTGAAAAAATTGAAAAAAATTATTAAAAAATCTGACCAACTCAATGCCAAAATCATTAAAATGAATACGATCTTTTAACTGTTATCACAAAATGACCAACTTTACATCATTATTTGGTGAATTTTATTATTATCTTTTTAATTTGTTACTAAACTACCTTATATTATTCCAAATATTTATAATTTTTCATATAGCACATATAAAGTAGGTTTTGAATTATATTTTTTTTTTTTTTTGCTCTTATTTGTCATATGTAATTCATCCATAGGATTCATAAAATAGTTATTAAAGCTATGTTTGTAACGCTATTGTTTATAGTTGAACTCATATTATGCTAATTCTATAAAAAACACCCTTAATAATTTGTGAATTATTAAAAGAATAATGTTTCTTTTATACTGCATATCAACCAACACGTAACACTAATAGTCAATCAAAATATTTTCGATGAATCAGTATTCATTATGCTGTAAAGGATGCGATGATATATGACTGATCAGTATGTACCAAGAGTATTTAAAAATGTAATATAGAAGAGAGATAAAGGGTGAATTTGCTCAGAGATTTGACACTCAAATAATTTAAAATCATAAAATTTTAAACGTGCATGACTAAGCGACAGACAAAACAGATCAAGGATAGATTAGACAGAATTTTAAAGAAGCTGGATGATCAAGATGATGATGAACCATTTATTTCATCATCAGATCAAGAAAGCGACTCAGAAATACACATAAACAAACACGATCTAAGTGAAATAAGTGAAATATCATCAATTGAATCAATTAACATAGATTCTATACTTGAACCACAACCTAAAAGAGTACCAGAAGCAAAAATTTCAAATTCGAAAATTTCAAAAATTCCAGTTAGATCAAAAATAGAAGAAAAAAACCTTCCAAGACCATCGATACGTGAACAGAAACCATTACATCCAGTTGTTGCATACAGTCAGAGTGCAAAACAATATGCAACTAAACCCGAAAGACCTGTTAACTTTTTTGCAGTTGATTACTCTCAATTTGAGCATGCTATTGTCTGTATTTACAAAGGAATTGATTTTCCTCGCCCAAGACAAGGTGAAAGAAGTACTTATGTTTTAATGAGGCTTCATGATCAAATTCAGGAACTTGTTACGCCTATATCTTTCGATTCACATGAAGCAATTTACAATGCTGGATTCAAACTTGATACTTTAGGTTTAGATTTCGAAAATTTCACACCAGTTATTGAAGTTTATGATTTCCATGGAGAAAACGACAAAGAACTTATTGGTGTAGGTTACATACAACTGCAGATTGCTAAAAAGCAAGATAGAATATGCACTGTTTTGCATGATTCCTGGGTAAATATTTATACACTGAAATCCCACATTAAATGCGGTAAAGTACTTATGACATTTATATTCTACGATAATGAGGACGATATCAAAGGAATGATCAAAAACCCAACAGAAAGTCAAGAAAAAGTTGAAAAAACTGTTGAACAACCAATCAAACAACCAGTTCAAGAGAGGCCTGTGAAGAAAGAATCCATGGCTGTTCAGGCCGAAGTTGTAGACATCCCATCGGAGACAGATGACAACTTATTCGCTTCAGATGATTTTGAAATTCCGATAAGGCAAGAAAAAGCATGGAAAAGTAGAGTTTGGCAAGGACAGGAGCGAAAAGCAGAAGCTGTGGGCAAAGAAAATGCACTTGATGAATCTTTTTCAAGTGAAGTTTCAACAAAAAGCTTTCATAAGAGAAAACCAGCAAAACCAAATATTCAAAGTAAAATTCGATTTGTTACAGAGATAAACGATTCTGATGATGAAGTTGAAAATAAAACAGATGGACAACAAAATTCAGAATCGAGTATGATATCGAACTCAAGCAGTTTCTTTACTAAAAGGAAATCCAAAGCCCAAAAGGTCAATGAACAACCTAAATCTCAGTATGCTAGCTATGCAGATTATGGATTATGGAGCTAAATATGCATTGGTTAATAAAAAAATGTATGAAATTGTTGGTCTTTAAAAATTGTTATTATTTAACTTTAGAAAAGTTATTCTATTTTTTAGAAAAAATAATAAAAATTTTATTAACAATATATTTCGCTAAAATAAGACGAAATAAATCAATTCTTGAAATAATGTAACTACTCTGGCTCGGTATGTTGTGATGTGAAAAATACAATAGCGTATTGAAGAACATCTTGTGGTTTATCTTTCAAAAGAGCAACCATGAATTCACTAATCATATCATGAAGCTCTGGATGTTTCCTCAGATATTTCTCATTATCTATTCTAATACGGTCGAGCTTTTCTTCGGAAACTTCCATTTTGAACGAAAAAAATAACGTACAAAAATGTTAAAAGAAATGCAAATAAGGATATTGCTTATTAGGTATATGCATTTCAAATTTTTAAAATCAGAAACTCAATAAATACAAAAATTGGGGAAAAATTACAGCTTTAGTCTCCATATGGATCTGAGTACCGGCAAAATATATTATGAAAGCTGTTCAAATAGAGAAAATGAGAAGTGATTGCCTACATGAAAAGTTTTGAATTAAATTCTCAGTGTTGATCAATAAAAATCAAATATTTGCACGAATGATATTGTTTTTATTCCATTTACTAGGTTTAGTTAGATTTCTAATCCTAGTTTTTTATTTTTGCACGTAGAAGTGATTCCACCATGACCCCCATCCATGGAGGTTAGAATTCATACTAGAAATGCAGTGTCCAATGGTAATGTTACCCCTTATATTACTTTAAAAATCTATCACTTTTTGGTCTCAATTGTATTCGAAATGAATATGAAATATGATGTTATCTAGTATTTTTTATAATATATCAATGACCATCAAAAATTATAAATAAATGTTTATTAAATATATCGCAATATAAGAATTCATAAATAAATTTTGAATATCAAGGAGAAATATTTGATTCCAAGAAAGAGGACAAGGAAAGAAAGATATATTTATCAAGGGTATATCGAATTTAAACTGTAATAAGCTTTGCAAACATGAATTTAGGCCAATAAATTTGATAATATTGATATTATAAAATCAATGAAATTCGATAAGCTTTGTGTTATACATAGTTGAGAATTTTCCTATTTGATATAAAATCAAATAGGACTGATAATTATTGGAAAAAATGATTTAAAATGCACATGTATTGGGGATCTGTAGCTGAAATTTTGAATTAAGTTGAGTAAATATTGATTGTAGCATTGTAAGACATCGGAAAATCATATATTTTTTAAAAATCTGGATTAAATTAAGGTGAAATCTCTAATTATTGTCATTTTTGTTTGGAGATTATCAAAGTTGTGGCAGAGTTAGAGGTATGCCTTTGGAAAATTACGGGATATTTCAAATACTGGTGCGCTCAGAGGATGAAAAAAATTGTTTCATTAAAATTGAGAAGGAAATTTAACGTACAATAATATAATTGATACTTACATTATGCTCATTATATGGGTTAAATTTCAAATTACCCTTGTCAGACGATAACGATTATTTTTCAATATAATAATCGTTCTTGAAAAAAGGTAACCCAAATGAATTGTATTTAAATCGTATGTACATTCTATTTCATCAAAAAAATTTACCCTTTTCTCTCATATTTTTGGTAGAAACACTTCTTTGCACGTTTATAAATTTTTTATAGAGGAAAACAATATCAATGAATAAGTTTGATATGGACGAGGAAATGAGAACAATAGAAGTTAAAAAGACAGAATTCTGCATTGTCTTCTGGATTGGATTACTTTTAATGCCAATTTCTATTGTATTTTGGGTCGGATTTCTCAAAAAGATGGATATCGTAAATTTCGACTCATATACAATGTCAACAGAGCCAGATAGTATCAATAATGGCAATGCACAAAATGATAACATTCTTCTTTTCAATCAAACACAATTCGTTCTTAATTACGTTTCAGATTCTGGAGTTGAAGAATATATATTTGCCCCAGTATGGTATAAAATTTCAAGATCTACTAACTACTTACTTCCTAGTTTACTTCATTATATTTTATTCATCAAAAAGGGTAGTAGATCAGGTCAAAATTCATACTTCACACGCAATTTCACATTACCTTCTTCATACTCTACACTTGCATACAATATTACTTGGAATTCTTCACGAACAAATAATCAAATATCACAAGACTTCGTTTTTCCTATTTATAGAACGCTTGTTGACCAGAACGACCCTTATATAGTAACTAGAGAAAGACTTACAAAAATCAAAATGTTCAGAACACCTGGTGTTGAAGATACTCCTATGTCTGAAGAAGGTTTAGTTGTTGAATATACTGATTATACTGTAACATCATCATATAATGTACTCATGGAAATATATGACTCCGAGGGCATGGTTAACTATTCTTTTCCTGGATTAGAGGATTATACTATTGCTGGTATTTCCATTATTCTGCTTTTCATTGGTTTAATCATGGTTTTGATTTTCTTGTGGCATTGGTGGAGTGTCAAATATATTATTATTCAAAATGTTATTAAGAAATGCACAACTCACCAAAGATATTACTAACTTGATTATAGGTCATATGCTTATATTATTCCCTTATCTGTTTTTGTATTATATTTACAATAAAATTTGTTTTTTGTGTTTATTTTAAAATTGATACAAGCATTGTTCATAAATTATGCTGCAATTACAATTTATGCTTTAAAACCATATATTTTGAGATCATGATATAATCAAACTATAACTTCGGTGATCTTAACAATATTGCGAGAAATATGAATATTAGAACTTGTAAGTTAACTATACAATATCACACTTTTAAAATATTTCCAAGTTTGATCATTATATAGCCAATCATATATCAAGAAAATGTTGATATACTATCCATTACCTAGATAGAATGTCCTTCTCTTCGAAATCTAAAAACATTAATGAAATATAGAAATTATGAATATTTGTGAATAATTTTTAAATATTTGGTCATACCATTCATTAGACTTTTCAGAAATTGTTGTGTTCATCATTTTTTACATATATGATATTTTTCTTCCATGTCATAATTAAATTTTTTTATGCTTGATCAAGAAATTAAACCAAATGAATACAGTGAATTACGAAATATGTATAAAGACACCATCGATTTGTATAATACATTATACCAGTTAAAAACGAAAAATGAAGAAGATTTAAACTCAATTTACAAAAAGATCAAAACAATTTTGATAAATTCGAGGACATATTCTCCCAAACGCATTATTAGAGATATTTTAAGCATAATTGAATATAATAATCGCTATATGAAGTCATACTTGAAACTTGCCAAACTTATATATGATGATTATCATGTTACAAAAGTCAAAAATGCATGGGATATTTCTAAATACCTATTTTACAAAGAATATGGAATTAGAATAGACTATCCTAGTGTTTGCGAATACGCTCCTTTTTCAAATCTCGATATTCATGAAGAAAATTCAATTTACAGAATAATTATGGATAATGACAAAGAAAGTTTCATCTCATATACGGCACAAGAAGGTTTTAATAAATATCGAAGAATTGAGAACTTTTTATTTCCAATTTCAATCGAAGGATATACATTACTTGAATTATGTTGTTATTATGGATCAGTTGATTGTTTCAAGTTTTTGAGATCGGAATTTAACTCAGTAATAACTCAACAATGTCTAGAGGTATCATTTTTAGGCGGAAACCCAGAAATCATTAGCGAATGTTTGAAATATAAAACACCAAATAAAGAATGCATGAAATATGCAATAATTTCACACAACATCGATTTTGTTACATTCTTGATAAATGAATACAATATAAAGATTGATTTACATTTTTGCATAGAATATAAAAATCTTGAATCATTTTTAGTTTATTTCGATCAAACTAATAATATTAACAAGTGCTTCTTATATTCAACAAATTTTAATATTCCATCACTTAGCGAATATTTCCTTTCACTTGGTGCAAATATCAATGAAAAAAATATGGATGGTGATGAAGGAACAGCTCTTCAAATCGCAGTAACAAATAACTGTAAAAAATTAATCAATCTTCTTCTTTCACACGGTATAAATGTTAATGAAAAAAATTATTATGCAAACACAGCTCTACATATTGCAGTAATTTTCAAAAGAAAAGAAATCATCGAACAACTTATTTCACATGGTGTAAATATCAATGAAAAAGATAGACGTGGAAGAACGAGTCTACATATTGCTGTAGGCAAAAATAATAATAAAATAGTGGATCTTCTTGTTTCACATTGTGTAAATATCAATGAAAAAGATAATGATGGAGATACCGCTCTTCATATAGCGGCATATAAAACTAAGGAAATAGTCGAACTCCTTATTTCACATGGTGCAAATATTAATGAAAAAGATAGACATGGAAGATCTGCTCTTCATATTGCAGCATCAAGTTTTAATAAAGAAATAGTCGAACTCCTTATTTCACATGGTGCAAATGTCCATGAAAAAGATAACGATGGAAGAACAGCTCTTCATATTGCAGCATCAAATATTAATAAAGAAATTACCGAACTCCTTATTTCACATGGTGCAAATATCAATGAAAAAGATCAATGGGGGTCTACTGCTCTTCATATTGCTACATGTTATGGTAGTAAAGAAATCATTGAGCTTCTTCTTTCACATGGAGCAAATATTAATGAGCAAGATATATATGGAACAACTGCCCTTCATATTGCAGCAGAAAATAATTGTAAAGAAACCATCATACTTCTTCTTTCACATGGAGCAAATGGTTGGCATTCCATGTGGTTTTTAAAATCATTATGCTGGATAAACTAGATTAATTAAATCAAAATCTGCTTCTAGTTTAAATGACAATTAATGATTTGTTATCATCTAATTTTAGTATCTTTCCTCCATATTTGAATGTCTCAGAAAGTTAATATTAACCTACTTTCTTATAATTTAATAAAGTTTGATTTATGATTTGTGATTTTTAAATTCTACAATTTTTTACAAGTATTGATAATATTCATATAAATTAATTGGAGTTAAAACCCCATTCAAATATAAAAATTATCAATGGTACTGCCATGTATAACTCAATCATCTCTCAGTCAGAGAATCTAAACATTACATGAATTACCCTAATATTATGTGTGTAAAAAATACAGCTGTAAGAATTCTAATTTGTTATTGTTTTTATAGGCGATATTAGAAAGTAAATGCGTCATTAGGGTACACTTACGCCCTAATGGAACGACCTTCAATACAAATGTTTAAGGTCAATTTTTAATGAATCAAAGTCAGATGTGCGTAAGTGCAGGCATTATAAAAAAAAGTTAAATAAAATCAAACATGCATAACAATATTTTTATAATTTACAAAAATAATACAATATTTAGTTTCACTTGAAACGGGAGAGAATTGATTCCGCATATACCCTGTTCTCAGAACTTTCAGAAATTTCAGAAAGTACTGAATAAAGTTCTTCATCTCCATAAATTGAGTCCAAAACAATTGTTTCGTTGTTTGTTTCTGCAACTCTTAAGATCATATTTAATATAATCAGAGAAGAATCGCATTCTTTATCCGACATCAATGGTAAATGGTCAGATAATATACTTAAGAAATCTTTTTCAAGAATTTGGACTTTAAATTTCAAAGGTGAGTTCAGAAATATACGAAGCAATGCACTGACTGCACAAAGTCTATTTTGCAAAGCTTTGTCTTCAATAATTTTGAAGAGTTTTTCAATAATATTATTTTGAATCAAAATTTCTGTTCCTTGCTGACCTCCGAATTCAGCAAGATCCCCAATGATGTCAATAGCATATGAAAGAGTACAAGCATCATCACTCTGAAGGCCAAATAATATGAAATAAATCAAATTTGTCTGGATGATCGATCTCAATGGGTTTTGTGTCTTAAAAGTAATCTCTCTCAATATTAATAGCATCATATCGTTTGTTTGTGCATCTTCTGCAGGTTTCTGGAAAATTAAATAAAAATCCTGATATTCGACCAAATCAAAGCATAATTCGGTGGATTGTTTAAGAGCAAAGTAAATGAACCTTAAGCATTCGAATCTGAGCTGTCCATCTGAGTCATATCCAAGTCTTATTACTTTTTGTATTGTTGGTAGTATTTTCTCTTGCAGGGACTGGTATTTGAGGAAGGTTGTCAAAAACATAATAGACTGATCATCATTAATTGTTGATTCAAAGTCATATTGTTTGCTATACTGAAAAATAGTGGTTGCTGCTTCTTCATCGGTTGAAGCGAGTAGTCCTACAATGTTGTATGCATAAGAAAGTGGAAAACATTGCATAATTGGTTCTAATCTTTGAGGAACTAAAAATAGTTCATTTGTAAACTCTTCTCTGTAGCCAATTATCAATTCTATCGCATGAAGATAATTGATCATCAATGTTTCATTGTTTTGTTCTCTCGCTGAATTTAATAATTGAATTAAATAGTCTGCTTGCTCTTCGTTGATAACAAAACGATGAGTTTTGCAGAATTCTCCAAAGTTATTCATCCGATCTTCTATAGGAATTGATTGATCACCCAAACGATTTAATAACTTGTTGTGTACTTCAAAATCAGTCGAGATTTCTCGGCACTGGTTATCATTTTGTTGATTTTGTCGATCTCGCAATCTAAATATGGCATTAGTGCCGGGATCTTGCATACACAAAAATTTATGAGATTGAATACTTCTGAATTTTTTGATCAAAATCTTGAGGAAAGAATATGCAAGAGAAGTAGAAAATATGACTGAAAAGGGTGAATTTGCTTGATGCAAAATGGTTTTGGATGGAATTAAGCAATTTTGTTCTATTCTGAATTAAATTAGAAGAACTGTTGTTATATCTTATAAAAGCATACGTAACTCAGAGATTTGGATTCAATTCTTTGTCATAGATATAAATACAAAAGATAAAATTATGGGTAATTGTGAATATGAGCCTAATTCACATAATAATAATGATAAATCATTTATAAGTTATTATTTACTAGGACACGTGTTTTGGAATTATTAAATAATCACAAATATCAAAAGAAAAAACAGATTTAACTCGAAAAAATGATTTTTTTTAAAACGATAAAAAATTGAGAACCCATAAAAGTAATCAGAAATTTATTTAATTTTTGAGGCCTTGTAAAATCAATCCAATTTTGGGTGAAGCAAAAAGAGTTGTTATATCAATAACTCTAATCGAATTAAAAATGTTTTCATTCACTATCTTTTTCTATTTGAATTTTCTGAGTATAAAATTACATTTATGAGAAAGCTCATTGAAAAATTCAAATGTGATTTTCATAAAATATCACATTACTTATATAGATAATGTTTTATCGATATAATATAAATAAAATAACGTTCCCTTTTCAATCTTAAAATCAAAATAAATGATTAAATCCTTACTAATGAAGCACATAAAATAATATTTTCTTTAAATAAAATGGTTGAATAAACTAATCGTTCAAATTAATTCAAAATAAATTTTATTCCAATGAAAATCATATATTCACTATCAACTTTTTAATTGCCCTTAAAATCTTATTTAAATTTACTCTATCAATTGTGGGCCATAACCGTTTTTTTCTATGATTTACAATCGAAGTTTTGTGAATGATTTGCCGGTTGTTTGTAGTCATTTTTTTTAACCATGGAAGGTGTTAAGTCTACATCAATCGCTCTCGAATCAACAGAAACAAAACCATTCAACAAGACATTCACCGCAAAACCAGCAGATATCGCAAAAAGATTAAACAGACCATCGTGTCCAATTACTACAAAAGAAATTTTGTTCCACCTACCACACAGCCAGTTGCTGTCCTTTTTAAATCATCGTCAATCAGTTCTCTTGTTTCTACTAACAAGAAATCGATTCCGATTGTTATGAACTCCGCATAATTTGTTTTTTTTTTAAAATGTTAGTACTATCGTCTTTTTAATTGATTTATTTTTTATCACAGCATTGCTGTATAGTTTTTTCCTGCCCGATATTTTCATTCCAGGCAATCATTTTTTTTTATTTTTTATTCGTTTTTTATGAAACTCCTCATTTCTATTTTTCAGATCATATTTTAGTTAGAGACGAACATGTTTCTTCTATTTTTTCTCGGTTCCCCGTCGCATATTTCCAACGATTATTCATATTTTAGATTTAAGAGTTTTAATGCGCAATCATAGGAAAACCAACTAACACCTTCTCAAAACCATACGATTTGCATGATTTTCAGTCTTATATCCTCCTGATTTCGATTTCTTCCCAAAAGACAGGAATTTTCAAGATTTTCGAGATCTAATAACAGAAAAATCAAAAGCCACACGCACGCTTTTCTATTTTGCTGCATAATGAAAAGCGGTTTCGATTTCGGATTTATCTTCATCTATATTTCCGTAGCTCTTACTTCATAGAAACACCGATAATTTACATTGAAAGAGTTTTGAGCTTCAATCTACAATATCTTTTGATTTTAATTCCCAAATTTTCTAAAATACCATCACATCATCGTTATATGCTATGATCCAACCATTCACATATTAACTACTTATTGTTCTTTGCATATAATATAATGAAAATTATTCAAAGTTTATTTTCTGGATTAAATCATTACTATATTAAGCACAAAGATCCAAATACAAGCCTTACTTTTAGTTCAATCATAAGATGGTCATATAGAACATGAATAAGAATGGAATCGATTGAATTTGCGCTCGATGGGCAATTTCAGAACAAACACAAAGAGTTTCCTGAGTGTTAATATTTTTAATTCCTCTTTCCGCGAGAGAAATTTTTTTAGGTGTTTGCCGTTTATAAAAAGAATTCGATGATGATATAACTTTACAACACGTAAACTTCTCAATATCGTATAAACATTAGATGAGCGTCGCCGGAGAAGTTGAGGACGAATACGCCGTATTTTTCGATCAAGATGTCCCTATTGAGAACAGACTTGATGAATCACCCGAGGAAGCAGAAAGAGATGAACCAGGAGAAGAATATACTAATTTTTCAATCGTTGTAAGCCTCAAACAAACAAAAGATGAGGTTGAAGCAATTAAAATCCAATTGTACTCAAAGGATGTATTGAGCTTCCTTTATGAGGGCGAAATGCCAAAAGAAGATTTCGAAACCTTCAAAGCTGAGCAAGAATTAGATATCGATTTCAATGACTTCCCGAATGTACTCCAAGAAGTTCTCGGCCAGATTAACGAGGATATCGAAGAGAATGGCTACAATGCTCGCCTTCTTTCAGGCGGTGAGAACGAATGCCGATTAATCATTAAGCAGGATCTTGACCTTTGCACAACCGAAATATTTAATATCAAGCTTCTTGGTGCTGATGCTGAGAGAATCAGAAAAGTCAGCCAGGAACGTTACAACGAGCTTAGCAAGCGCGACAACAACTTAAGAATCCAATACAAGGACCTCATTAAGAGGATCAGACGTCAGGATCCAAAGATTTTACAAGACTTCAAGCTTAATTCACAAATAGAATGAAATCAACTTTAAATACGAGAACATTTGGTAAATAATTTAGGTGTCCATTTATTAAAAATTATACTTTATGAATTACTATTTCATTTTTACACATTATACTTTTTTATCATATTTTTATTTGAACCAAAAATGATATCATCAATCTTCGAATGAGTAAAATATCAAGAATGAGATATCAACATGTAAGAATTTGAATTGGATATGATGTATTCACTATAAAATAAACTTTTATTTAATATTCAGACCTTATATTGTAAAACTATTCAGCACACATATTAACAAACATAGACATGATACATTTTGTCCATTAATATGGCTCTAATTCATTGTTTAAATTTCAATTCATTCGATAAATATGTCAACACTCAAAATCAACAAGAAAATTACACATCAAATTTTGAGATAACATTACATCTAATGAGTTTCATCCAGTTATAGTTTATAATTTTTTTTTCAAAATGCTTGACGGAGTTTTATCGATTGCACGGGACGGAACACAAAAATTAGAAGAACAAACAAAGATCCAAGCAAAAATACAGTCTATGCTTGAACATCAGCAGAATATCATGGAAGATGTCTATAGAGATCTTGGAGATTTTAAAGAGATTCAAAAAAGACTTGATGAAGTCGATGAACTTAATAATGTTATCGACATAAACATCCAAAACCATAGAAAATTCCTTACAGATCTTTTAAATAAACAACCGAAATCACAAAATTCACAAATTAGTGATTTGATTGCAAGTTTAATTCTAAATATCCAAGATGCAGTCATCGAAATGGGATTTGCACATACAGAAAAAGGAGAATATGAAGTTGAAATTTCGGAACTTCTTACAATAGAAGATGACATAAAATCAACTATTGACTCGCTAACAGAGAAAGGATTATACTTAGAATCATCAGATGACAGACTTCTTCGTCAACAAAAATATCAGCGACATATCAAGAAACTCTACGATTTCATTCAAGAAGAAGCTAAGAAATGATATCTTGTATCTTGCATAGTGCGTATGTAAATCTTTATCCAATGAAATTGAATGATCATTGGAAGGAGTCAATATATATCTCAGAACTTTCCCCAAAGTTCATTAATGTATAATATTATGTTTATATTTAATAAAATCAATATATAATATTATTCTATTATAAACACATAAATTTTATCTTTCATATACTCTTAATGAAACAATAATATTAAACAGGCTAAATTTCATTTGAATTCTGCTATACTCTTCCTTGGTTTATCTGGGATAAATCAAGCTAGTAGAGAATAAATATAACCAATCAATGTTTTATGCTTTCATAAAGACTAACCCTCTATTCACTGTCTACTCTCTAGCAAAGCATCCTCGAAATATTAGGATTTTTAATCAATTGCTCAATCAATGGAACTAATTTTTACACCTTTATTTTTATCGGCATGTTGTATCGATAAGATTGAATGAAAAATGATCGATGTCACTTTTGAAAATGCTGTTGTTTTTGATTTTTTTACATGTAAAGGATTTTTCACAGATAGTTGATATCCATTGTCTATTTAATAATTACACTTCGAAAGGAATCGGAAAATGGTGCAATATCTCCTGAAATTTCAATATCCAATGTTGGAATTCCATCTTTTATCGGAATTCAAAAGAAATGCAATCGAAATATGCTTTACATTTACAAATCTAACAAGGACACAACTTCCAAAATCGTTTATCTCGAAAAACAGTTGCGAAAAGATGTTTTCCTCATCAACGAATTAATTAAGAACAATTTTATAGTTCAAAATGTTCTTGACACTTCAGTTACATACATAATATCGCCATCGCAGTTAGAAAATACAAATGAATTTAAATTAATCAATGAAGATTTACCAGAATTTTCAAAACTACATTTGAATCAGACGTATGCATATCTAAAAGGTCCAAAATTATATAAATGGTTTATAGATTTCAAAATTAAATTATGGATAAGAAAATTTTGCTTCTTTTCAGTTAATGCATTTATAATTGTAGTTATTTTAACAAGATTATACACAAAGCAAGCAATTTGCATTGACAGTTGCCATAAATTTACAATCTGGTTCGTTAATCAGTTTGGAAGAAACTTTACAACGCCAGGACGCAAAATCTACTCAACCAAATCGCAAATTAAGTCACTTGTTGATGCAGCCAAACTCAAATCCAAGCTTAAATCCGCTTATGTCTATCAAACTTACAGTAATAAGCGAATTTGCCTTATTGAGTTGATAATTATTCCAATTTCAAAGCATATTTTCATGGCATTGGAGTGGTACGAGACATTCGAAGAGGAAAGACCTCCACCAGATCAAACAATTTCGGGAGGAATTTTAAGATTTGATGATTACGATGATCCGATCAAAGTTAATGTTAACATAAGGACAAACAAGGACCAACAAGTCTATTTAGAAGTTCCTTTCAATGCAGATGATGAAGAATGCAGATTAATTTTGAAACATAATGGTTCTACTTTACCATTTGGTCTATATGCTCTTCAAGAGACATATATAAATCTTCTCCATGCAACTTTGTTCAGACAAGGCCTCAATCTTCAGATTTCCCATAGTGCTTTCATCGAATACGTCAAAAAGATCTTTTATTCACTCAGTTATGAGGTGTTAGTACTGTACATGATAAATAATGGCAAATTGGAACCTATTATCTGTCTAAAAAGCGAAAAACAAGATGATTCCATAATTCATATCTCAAATGAGTGGTCTCAGAAGATGTATCCAAAGTCATTGAACAATGAGTTCGTCAAAGAAAATATTGGCAACGTCAGATTGTGCATGACTTCACTTAAAGGAGAGCCATATTATTATGCAATGACAATGGGGTACAATGCAGGCTCAGTTATCAACCATTCAGCTGAGACGAGGTTCCACTTCCTCATAGGAATGGTCACGGCCTTCAATCATTCCTTATTACAGAATAAAGACAAAGTTATGGCCCTTCCTCGCATTTACGAGCTCATCGACCACACAATTGAGCTATCGTTGATCTCTTGTATCGGTAAACCTGACAATATAAAGTTTGTTCGAACAAATTTGCTCGAAAAAGGCCGCCATCCATGGGCAAAGCAGAACAAACCGTTCATTATCCATGATATATCCGAATTTGATTGGGCTCAGAAGGTTATCAAGGCTGTTACAACTCGAAATATTTATGATAAAGTAGATAGTGGCGAATTCATGAAGATGACACAATTCGTTTGTAGCACACCTGCTAATGATTCGATTGATATCTATTCTATTACTTCCTCGATGTATTTTGACGATTCAATTAATGAAAATGTTTATCTCTACTTAATTGAAGATGTTTCGACTTTAGAATCACCAAACTTCCTTAAAAAGACAATTCCTGCTATTTTATTTGCTTCAATGCTGAACTTGTACGCTATTAATAAGAAAGATTTGTCAGTTTGCGATCCATATAGACTTGCAACCAAATTGGGCTACGACTACAAGAAAGTTGCAACTCTTTATGATGTTTGCAATCACTCAGAACTGTCAACTCTTCCTCAAAACAAAGCATTGATATTAACAATGGCAAATGGCCGTCCAAAACGATTCTTTGCCATCACACATCCGAAATATGACCTGTTCTATATATTCCCTGCCCCAGATGTCTCTTCCATGGTCTTGAGTGACAATGAACAACTTGTTGAGTGGAAAGGACCGAACGATTTGGCCATTTTCATATACAACCAGGAGACACAAAAAATTGTTGATACAAATAATGTCTCTTCTTCGCTCGAAGACTTCGCGGAACAAAGAATATTTAATGCCGACAGAAAAGCCTTCTTGGAGCACTTGAGGAACCCAGAATCATTATCAGATAATACCCAGAAGACCATTAGAGTGTTCACAGCTGATGGTTGCGCTTGGAGAATCTTGAAGATATCTCCACATCCTTTATTTAAGAATATCTACTTGATAAGTTCATGGGCTCTTCTTAACTTCTCTTTAATCGATGCTTTGACTTATGATTTCGCTGATACAACGTCGACAACGTTTAATTCCGCTAAAATTCATCAGTGGATGTTTGAAAACGCTGTAGAACCAGTCAGAATATTCAGATCAATGCCTCGTGGTCAGAACATGCCGAAAAGAATAACAAGAGCTGACGAAAATGACTTCCCTGACATGTCTAAACTAACTAGCGCTATTGCAAAGTCAAAGAATGTACTAGATGAAGATGAAAATGCTGCTGTTTCGATTGCAGAACTTGAATTATAAATTTTTAACTTTAGTTTTTTTTTATTCAAGTTTTTTTTAAGGATGTACTTACGCCCCTATGACATGGCCTTCAATTCAGACGTTTCAGGTTAATTTTCAATGGCGCTTCACGCAAGTTGTCAAAAATTTGAATTAAAGTCAGATGGGCGAAAGTACAAGCTTAAATGTTGGCTTTCTATTTTCTGACTTCATTTCACAAAATAAATAAATTCTTATTTTAATATCAAGATAGAATAACAACAATATTAAGTATTTTACACGTTAATGTTTCATTCAGAAAAATATAATTTCTCTGAGGAAAAAAATATTCTTTTCAATGGGAATTCGTATTAGCAAAATCATCCTTAATAATAGATTTGTTGGCCATATCATTGTTAATGACATCATCCCAATCTACTTGTTTATCAATATTCTTGAGGAATGAAATGGACTTCGAGATCATGAGAGAGTATTCAGTTATGTCATATTTGAATGCCATTCTGATGTATGAAACAGCGGCAACAGTGGCAGCTACATTTCTTCCATATTTTGATTTAATTTGCTGGTCAATATTAACAAAATAATTCCATGAACCATCAGCATTTTGATTAAAGATCAAAGTTTCTGGGGATGCTTCTTTAAACATTCTTTGAAACCATGAGAAAAAGAAAGAAAATAGACCATAAAGAAGTGAAAATATAAAAGTAATTATGATAAGACTTCCCATTTCATCTTTCTTCGCATTGCATTTTGGTGTTTTGTAAGCTCGAGAAATTTTTGTTCCGCTTTGATCGCAATTATTTGAATCCGGCAATATTGAATATTTATAATAACTACGATTATTAGATGACTCAAGTGCTTTTGATCTAACATGGTTACGATTGAGACATGGAGGCATTATTGGGCGGCACTTACATAAATATTTCCTATAATAGTTTATCCTCATGTCAATATCCGACTGGTAATTAACTCCAATGTAGGACGTGCATTGTGATGGCACACCCGATTCCAAAGATAACTCAATGCATTTATTCTTGAGATGGTTACAGAACCCCATTAATGTGTTACATTCATCGAACCACCAAATCATTCTTTCTTGATTAAATTCCATCAAAGAATCCATTTCAATATCATCGATGACATATCGACTAAATAATTGCTTCATTCCTAAATTGTCATCACATTTAGAAACGGGAATAGTCATAGAAATATCTTCATTAAGATTGAAGCCACTTATCAAAATATTTTCTAAGCAGGAAGACTTAATAAAGAAAATCTGTGGATACCTAGAATATAATGGTCGGCATGGTGAAGGCCACATTTCTGCCTTATTGATATCACATTGAATAGTAATCCCATCTATAAATGGAGAAATAGAAGATTTCATCAAATCGATAACTTTCTTTTTCATATTGTCATTGTCAGCAATCAAAACGAAATTACCTCCACTTCTCAAGGAAACATTCTTAATGAAACTAGGATTAGTTTCAGGTCCAAGACCTATTGCATATATTCTATTGTTTTCTTTTTGATTTTCTACAATTGAACAAATTTCGCAGGAGCGGTAAATTTGGCTGCCTGTTAATAGATATATATACCTGATATATCCATCTTTTGGGTTTTTATCATAAACATATTTCAACGGTGATTCAAGATCGGGAAAACTCATGTCGGCATTGATACAATTTATCGCTCTCATTGCTTTTTTAATATTTCGATTTGTATAATCACATATTGGAACAACTTCTTTAAATCTTCTACCAAATTTAATAATTGAAAATCGGCAACTGATTGGGAGGGAATGAATCATTAGATTTATGTTTTAATACACTTTTGAATTTTCCAGTAGTAATCAAAACGAAAGGTGGTATTTAAGATGTTTATGCTTGATAATCTTGGATATTTTATATGACATTACCTAGAGAATAACTTTTTAATATCCTTTTACTATTATTATAAGAGTGAAATTATCATATCCTTCATAGTATTCTTTCAATAGCATAGATCTCCTCTTTTGAAGATGGAATTTGCTTCTTTGAACACATTCGAAAAGATGGTAATTTTGAGTATTGTAATTCTCTTAGTTAAATCAAGTTCATTGCCACAGAAGCTGTATCACCTTTCATTTTTTTATCACCCTTTTTAGAAATGCTTTCACTCTGAATATTGGAGTAAATAGCTTGATCTTTAACATGTAAACATGAGTCTGTTAGGTGATAGTAAATGCCTAACTAAGTCTTGAAGCATTTATAATTTAATAGTTCGCTGATTAGGAATTAAAATATAACTCATCTGCAATGAGCATTTGTTGACTATTTGCCTATTTTTACTAATGGAAGCGTCTATTTAAAATATGTATGACATCTTATAAAGGCTCAGTTTTCGCATTTGCTTGATTGTTTTTTTTTTTGATTTAACATATCTAATAATAAGTAAACGAATATCAATTAGCCAAAAATCACACAAGATAACTCTATAACCTTTGAATGATAAATAATAAAAATAATATGAAAAAATATTATTGATTTTATAAAACAAACAATATAAGGAAATAGACAACTGACATGATTGTTAACAAGTTATGCAGATAAGAGTGATTTGCAGGTTTCATATATTTTTGAGATGAATGAAGACTTTGGTGGCTGTCCTTCAACAACCGAATCAAAGAATTCGATATTTATGCCATTTTCCATCGTTAAAATGGCATAGCACTCTGTGTGTAAGTCCAAACTAAGTGGTCCAAGACTTGCTGAGAGCTGATCACTGAGTATGACGGTATTATGAGTATGTCCTGTAAGAATGAAGTCATCAGGCTTGATTAAATTAGGTAATGACGTTCTGATTGTGTATAACCAATCTGGAATTTTTTCTGGGGTCAATCTTAAATGATTATGGAAATCATGAGAGAGAATCAACCTTTTTGGAGTTCCTGGACGTGGATTTGGATGCGGAATTGCTAAAGCAAACTCGGATATAATATGAATATTTGGTATATCGACATTTAGTTTATGCAGAATATGTCTATCATGATTTCCACCTATTGCATAAACTTGAACGGGTAATTTTGCGAAGATTTCAAAGATTTTCAAATACATATTTTCTGCCCCTTCAGTTCTGATGTTAATAAGATCACCAAGTGTAAACACTGTGTTAATATTTTCTCTTTGTATAAGTGTGATGATATAATTCTTTAGTTTTGGAAAATTATCTTCAAATGAATAAAATCTGCAAAGATGGCTGTCTGTAAATATGAGCGCTCGCATATTTTCAAGATCTGGATAATCTATAACTGACATATTTGCATCAGTATTGATCATTCTCAGTAACTTGGTCATGTAAATTTTGTTTTTGCTTTTGAAAATTTTCCTCAATAACGATATCAACAAAATTAGTCATACAAATACATAGGAAATATTTAGCAATATTGTCATGAAGGCATATACCTTATCAAAACAGGACGAATGACCTCAAAATAACCAGTTTCTCTTCATAAGATATTCATCTCTACAAATCACAATTAATTTGTGTGAAAGGGTTATATATGATGGCTATCAATTCGATGGTTTCTAGTTTTCAGATCAGAATTTATTTAAATTTGCTTATATCATTAAAATATCAATCTACGCTGCTTAAATCAAAGAACTATTAGTGTTACGAAGCAGTATCTTATTCTTATGCTCACAATGATAAAATATCAATTCTGTACCCTCAAAAACATTTCCTTATTAAGAAAAGTGACAAAGTTGTACGTTTATTCCTGAAATGCATCGTGATAACGGGAACGAGAATTCCCCACCTTCTGAATCTCGTTCCACTGTCATTAAAATGATGCAGGAGCAAATTCAAGACCTTTTATTTTATCGAAACGAATATGAAAATATCGAAAGTAGACTCAAAATTGCTGAGAATGCATTAATTGTACAAGAAGAACAATATAAACTTAAAATAGACGAACTTACAAGTGAACTCGAGAGCGTTAAAGAGCAAAATGCCCTCTTAATCGATCAAACGATGAGATTCAAAGCACAACAAATCGGTGAGAGTCAAAAAGTTCTAAAAGATACAGATGTTAAAATCAAAATATACAAAGAAAAGTATGATGATCTTCTCAAAAATTCTTCAGTTGATGCAATTGCTCGACAAAAAGCTAAAACAGAACAACTTAGACAGAAGAATAAAGAAGTAGTAGATAAATTATCTGCAGATCTAAAAAATGCACAAGCTCAAATTAAGCAAAACGAAAATCAACTTGGCGAACTCAAAACATCCAATAAAGATCTTAAAAATACAATTATTCAACTTAATAAGCAGATAACCGAATTGAAAGATAAAAATCAATCCCTTCAAAAAGATGTTAATACATTATCACTTGATCATAAGCGTAAGACTGATTTATTGGTTCAACAAAGATCGAAACTACAAATTGATGCTTTGAAGAAGAAACAAAATGACGCTAAAGCATCACAAATTATGGATAAAAACAAAAAAGCTTTGATGTTCAAGGATGGACAAATAGCTAAGCTGTCCACTGCATTAGAAAATGAATCAAAACTCAAGAAAAAGCAAGAATTAAGAAATGAGAAATTAAAAAAGTCAACTGCGGATACAATTTCAAAATTACAAACTACAATTTCGAATCTGAAAGAAGAAAATGAAGCACTAAGACAATCAAAGCAAGAAAGCGAAGAAAGCGAATCATCAATGGAAGTTGAGTTAGTTTTTCTTCGTAATCAGAAAAAGCAATTGGAAGAAAAACTTGATGCTGCTCAAAAACTCCACCAAAAGAATGTCAAGCTTCAACAAGTTGTCGGTCAACTGAAGAATGCTGTTGAAAATCTTGAAACTAGCGCATCTTCTTATGAATCAGAAGCACAAACAAAAGAATCCGATCTTCGTGCCATAATTCAGAAGCATTTCGAAGGTGTAGATGATACTACTGAATGGGTAGTTTTAATTGCTATGGCAGATAAAGCACTTGATGAAACAGAAGCATTGAAAATCCATTGCCAAAAACTAGAGAAGAAATTGGAGAAATCCAAACAAAAGAGGATGAAACTTTCAGAGGATCTTTATCAATCACAAGCAAACTTGAATGATGTACAAAGAGAAGTTGATGAAGTTAAGTCTCAAATGGCTTTGAGAATCGCAGGATCGAAGAGAACAATTTATAGTAGCGCAAATTCTAGGAATCAAGGAGGATCATCATTAGATAATGCCAGCCCAAGAAGCCCTGCTGGTTCAAACAATGGTGATTTCAATTCAGCTCTTGCTGTAATGAATCCTGCTGTGTCAAGTGCCGAAGCTCATGCAATGATGATGGATTTGAGCGAAATAAATTCTTTCAGAGGCGTAATTTCACAAAAAATCGATGTTTCAAACTTCAAAGCTAGAAATGCAATCTTGCAAGCTAATGCAAAACTGAATGGACAAGAATGGTACCCTGTTAATGCTAGAACAATTACATTAGTATCAGTTTTTGCTATAAGATTCCTTCATTTCAAGAGAATAGCTCAATTCAATCCAAGTACAATCCTTTCATTTGTTACTCCTTGTGGAAGGAAATATACTTCAATTGAAGAAACTCTTCTTCAAAATGTTAACAAAGTTATGGAAGATAATAACAGCATGCATGGCAAAGAAGAAGAATCTGCCGAATTTATTAACAACTCAGCTGAACAGATAACAACTCTTAAATCACAAGTTGATCAATATGAATCTCAAATCAAAGATGAAAGAAGGCAAAAAGAAGAGCTCCAGAAGTCTTTAGACAAATTAAAGGCAGAATTATCAAAGAAAGTCGACTCTGCACTTTACGAAGAAACTCAGAAACAGCTAAGAGAAACAACACAGCATGAAAAAGATCTCTCGGAAGAATTAACAAGTGTCAAAGGAGAATTGCAAAGATTACTTGATGCTGTGAAAATTAATAAAACTAATGAAACAAATATAACAGCACAATTAGATGAATCTTTGCGAGTAAATGAAGAACTTAAAGGACAAATAGAGAAACTACAACAAGAGCTACAAGTTCTTTATGTAGCTAATAAAGAGAAATCAAGAGATATCCTAGCTTTGGAAAGGAAGAATAACAGTAAAATTTCAAAGATTTCTCTTGAATTACCTGATGTTTCATCTTCTCAAACTGGAGAAGAATTACAAAAGCCAACAAAGAGAAGATCAAAGAGTGTCTCGTTCACAGCTCAAAAACAACAGCAAAACCCATCATTCTTCTTAAATGAGAATATCAGGGATGGATTGGCACAAATGCAAAATGCAATTCTCAAGCATGACTGATTTCTTTCTTTATTTTTAATGTTTTGTAAATTATTTGATATATGTATTAATATTTCCTATTTCTTAAAACAAATTAACGCAAAATTGAATCAGACTTCAAGCAATTTTCAAAAAAATTTTTATGAATGGGAATAATACACAGGATATATAATTCAATTAGTATTTTCATTGAAACATAATAATGTAGAGTGAATTGAAAATATTATGTCACCATTCTTCATATTCGCGCGATAGTATCACAATATTCAAACAAATTGACAAAACTTACAATAAAAATCAGACATTCGAGCATATTATTATGTGATCTTATAGGAAAAGTCATTATTTTTTAAGAAGTTAAATTTTGGATACTCTATTTTTGAAATATCTTCTGATAAACTTAAGAACCACATGAAGGCTAGCAAGAAGAACTTTTCCCATCATACGAATTTAAGTCAGAATTTCCCAAATGAAATTTGACAGAAGAAAAAAAATTCATAAAAATTTTTTTTTCAAAAAAAAAAATGGATGATTTACAGAAATATCATACAGAATCCAAGATGATTGATAGTTCAATTAGTCATCATCTAGATGAGATCAAAAAGACGAAAGTAGGTCTTCGAGAACACGCAAATAAAGCTATAGACTTAAAATGTGCAATCTCACTCAGATCAGCTTACTTACTTAAAATATCTCCATCAACAGTTCTTAAGGACTCTAAACTCCCTTTCATCAACTCAATGAAGCTAAATCCCGCAAAAAGTATCAATGACATCCGAATTCTTAGTCCTCTTCGCAATGATACTATACAATTCTTAAACACACTGATCAAGGGTATTGATGATCTACCTGAAATGCTTGCATCTCTCGATCCTTCTCATTTAATTGAATGTCGTAGCTTTATTCCAGAGTATTTCGAGCCTTTTTCGCTATTTGCAAGCTCTACACTTCCAGCTTTATTCGGATTTTGTTGGACAGAAGAGTTTACAAGAGCATATATCAACTTTTTGTCAAAGATTGCGAAAAACCTCCCATCTTCTATTTACGATAACTTTAGATCACACTGGCTCTACGACTGCTACAAAAACTTTATTTACAGATCGAAGATTTCGAAATTCCTCGAACCTTCGTTAAGTGGACCATTAATGGAGCTTGCAAAGGATGAGACGATTCTCGCACCACTCAAGAGCAACAACCAATCTCTTCTTCTTAACAATTTGATAAAATATGCCGATAAAATGATTCAAAACATGAATGACAACATCCAGCTCTTTCCACCTGAAGTTAGTTTACTTATGAGATCGTTTGGCGATACGGCAGATGACGAAGAGACGAGAATTCAAAGATATGAAAGTTTATTTATTGATTGCGCTCTTGTTCCTGCTATTTCATTCCCGAAGACATATTCTCTTTTCCCTCCTACATACAACTATCTCCTCGATGCTTCTGGTTCTTCTCGCGCTGTTCAACTTTTGGCTCAAATTTTCAGGTTAATTCTTCATCCATCGCAAGCCAAGCTTCGCTACGAACTAGACTATCAAAAACTCGCCAATCTACCATTCGCAAACTTACTTCGCGCGATTGCAAATCCATCTGAAGATCATTCTAACATAAAATGCAACGAACTACTACCACTGCTCGAGGAAAAGACAATGTCATTGTTATTCTCGGTTCCCGACGTTTATACTCTTGCATTAGCTGTAAGAATGAGCAAAACTACCCCAGAATCGCTCAAACTCGCCAAGCAACTTGCTCCTAAGTATATATTAGACAACATGAAGTTACCTCTTGAGTATTTCCGCTTTGAAACCATTCATACGAATTCATATTTCGAACAATCGACAGAAAGTACTGCGATCAAGCTCCAAACAGCACCAATAACACCTGTAACACAAGATGCCACAGCTCTTTTCGAGTTCCTTCGTTTTGCGGAAATAGATTCATTAGCTCCTAAAGATGCAGCAAGTTTCCTTGAGCATCATCAACGGAAAGCTCATCTTGAAGGAGATTTCATGAAGAATACCTATTTAAACAACATTTTGAGGAAACTAGCCGAAGTTTCCGATTCAAGACAGATTTTGCCAGCGTTAGAAGACGAACTGAATCGTCATCGATTATTTATTGCGAAATGCCGAGACCAAATTACTCAAATCATTGTTATGATTAACAAAATATCTAATAAAATCAAAGAACTTGGTAAACAAGGCAAACAGCTTCTTCCTATCATGCATTCCAATCTGCTTGAATCATTCCTCACTAGTTGTCCCGAAGTTATCAGCGAATTCCGCGAAAAGAAATCATTTATGTTAGATGACAAAGAAATCTTCAGGAATTACCTTTTTTGCGTTGAAGATAAGATTGTTAAGTTCCTTGGCAGCTCATCCGATTCATTTTCCGAAGGCGTTGCCGCCCATTTCCACACATGGATGATGCAGCACTTGACATTGTCCGAATTCAAGAAGATCCATCCAGAATTCGAGAAACACGACAAAATCATTGCGAATGTCAACATCACAGGCTCAAACATCATTGAATCTGTTTGTTTTTCGCAATCGCCAGCCAAAATCAAGGAAATCATGAACGAAAAGAACTATTTCGTTTACGTACACCAAGAACTATTCGCAGCTGCTGCAATCGAACTTCCTGTCGAAGCAGGAACTCATATCGCTATGGCGATCGAACTCATCACTACTATTTTCTCTCTATCTATAGGTGGAATGCCACAAGCTGATGATATGACTCCTATTTTGAATTTCGTTTTATTCACGAGCGGAATTCCGAATTTGCACTCTTTCGCAAGCTATTTACAGCATTTCTACCACGACATAAATCGAAAGGAGTTCAAGATTGTTCCTGATCAAGTTGCAATCGCAATCACCCACATAATCAACCACGCAACTTCACTCTCTGAAATCATTGGAAGTATTTAATTTTTTATTTATTTATTATTTATTTTCTATCTTTTTAATATAAATTTAAGTTTTGTCAATAATCTTTTTTTTGTCCATTTAAAAATTAATCCGCGTAAAGCGTTCAATTTTTTTGTAAACTATCAATTTTCGTGAGATGCAGAATATTGAGGCTGAAAGCACCAATAACAGGAAATCGGGTTTGAATTTTGGAGTAGAAACAACAGTACACCTTCCTGGCCATGGAGAAGTTCATTAACTCTTCATAACGCGTCATTTTTTGTATGGGGAGCAAAATTGGCCATAAATTTGCAAATCTGATTTCAAAGGTGAATCACAAAAATTTTGGGGCGTACGATAAATTTATCGTCAAAAAATAAAAATCATATACACATGAAATGTAATCTAAATCTTTAATTTTTAACTCTCGAAAAAAATAATCGTATGCCCCAAAATTTTCGATTAAAATTTGCATCAGAATTGTTTTTTAAATAAATAATCTGATTTATGATTGGCCATAAATGATCTGATCTGAATGATCTGATTTTTTAAATTGAGAACTTTACAAATTAGAATGAGAGCAAATTGATCCGAATGATCATATTTTTTATTTAAAAAGTTACAAATCGATCCAAATGATACGATTTTTTTTAAATTGAGAACTTTACAAATCAAATGATCTTTTCTTGGATTTTTCTGATCCACACAGCATCTAACCTGCAAGATACAGACACCCTTATCATTCCTGAAGACACAAAGGAAATAAGAGAATATCAATATGCAAATTTGAATAATTTTACTAAGATTTTGTTTCCAAAATCATTAGAAATAATTCATGAACATGCATTTTCTTGCTGTAAAAATTTAGAAAGTATTGAATTACCCCCAAATCTTTCAATAATTGAAGACAATTCATTCGAATATTGCAAACGCATGAAAACAGTCGTTTTTCATTCCGAAAATACTATAATTTCGCAATACTCATTTCAAGGTTGCTATGCACTTGAAATAATTCAACTTCCTTCAAATTTAAAAATTATTTCATCACATTTATTTACGAATTGCAGTAATCTTCAAACAATACAACTTCCTACATCATTACAATCAATTCAGAATAATGCATTTTATGGATGTGAGAGTTTACAGCATATTGAAATTCCTTCAAATGTCACTTACATTGGAAAGGGTTGTTTTTATCATTGCACAAATCTTCAAACAATACAACTTCCTGCATCATTAGAATCAATTCAAAACACTACATTTAGTGGATGCACGAGTTTACAACATATTGAAATTCCTTCAAATGTTACTTCCATTGGAAATGGTTGCTTTAGATATTGCAGTAAACTTCAAACAATTCAACTCCCAGCATCATTAAAATCTATTGAGGGATATTCATTCTATAGGTGCAGGAGTTTACAACATATTGATCTTCCTCAATATGCTATGATTGGACAATATTGTTTTTGCAATTGTACAAATCTTCAATCAATAAAACTCTCATATGGTTTAGAGATACAGGCTGGAACTTTTAAGAATTGTATTAATCTAGGAAAAATCGATATTTCTGATGTTAAATCAATTGATGATTATGCATTTTATAATTGCACAAAACTAACATTTGATTCTTTTTCATCTTCGCTAAGTTTTATTGGTAAATTTGCATTTTCATATTGTTTAAGCATAAAGAATATTAATATCCCAACAGATAATATTAGAGAAGGCGTATTTAGTAACTGTTTTGGTCTCGAAACAATACAATTTAATTTTTGGCTATTTACAATTGAAGATAAAGCCTCTGAAAATTGCATAAATCTTGGTGAAATTAAATTTTCGCTAGCTATAATTTCAATTGGAAAATATGCCTTTTATAATTGCACAAAATTAACATTTGATTCACTACCAGTTGATAATATTTCTGATTACGCTTTTGCATATTGTAATAATATTAAAAGAATTGTTTTTTTAATAACACGCATTCTCGAGACAGGAACAGATGTATTTGCAAATTGTGCTAATTTAGAAAGTGTTGAATTTCAAGATAAATTGACCACAATCAACAATAATTTATTCAGAAATTGTTATTCACTAAAATCGATTCAAATCCCTGATTCTCTTAAATTTATAGGAAATTCTTCATTCCAAAATTGCATATCATTGGAAAGTTTTACATTTACCGAAAACGTTGAAAAAATTGGTGAATTTGCATTTGAAGGCTGTATCAACATTAAAAGCATCACATTCTTGAATTCATCAAGACAAGTTAATATTGAAAAATATTGTTTCAAAGATTTGACATCATTAGAAAATATCACTTTTCCTTCATCCATGAATAGCATTCCTATAGGACTCTTTTGTAATTGCACTAGTATTGTTCGAATAGAAATTCCAAATTCAATTACACAAATAGACCCGAGAGCATTCTCTCATTGCAACAAACTCAAAGAATTAACATTGGGCACATCGATTATTACTTTATTTGATGAATGTTTTTGTGAATGTTCTTCTCTTGAAATTGTCAATATTAAATCAGAAAAACTGACATCAATAGGTATAAAATCATTCTTCAACTGTTATTCATTGAAATCTATTTCATTTCCAGTTTCATTACAAAAAATAGAATTACATGCATTTGCAAATTGTGCAAATTTAACAGAACTAACATTTTCGATTGCACTCCTTGAGCTCTATGAAGGATGTTTTATTAACTGCACATCATTGAAAAAGATCAATTTACCAAATGGTCTTAAAATTATCGGAAAGAATTCATTTTCAAACTGTTATGAATTGCACGAAATTATTATTGAATCAAATTGCTCAATAAAAGGAGATGTTTTTGAGAATTGTAGCAAATTAGAAAATATTATTATTAACTCACAAAATTATGATGTATTTCAAATCGAATCTTTCCATAACACAGTCAAATCAATCACATTTAATTTCTCAGTCATCCAATATCCATCAGTTTCATCATTCCATCATCTTGAAAACATTAAAATCTTTTCATATGAAAACGATTCATTTATCAACGAATATTTCATCACATCATCTAATGTCAGCATTTCTATCATCGGAAACATCAAACAAATTTCAGATAAATCATTTTCTAATAGTTATATCAACACATTCTTGTACTGTGGTGATCGATCAGTTGAAGGTAAATTCCTTTCTAAAGATCGAGTGAAAATTGTTAATATTTCAGAATACTATCCACACATCAGCATTGGTGGTGTTCATGCTCATAAAACATCTGAATGTCCAAACTTTCCTCAAAAGAAATACTTCAAACTTACCACATTACATATCGTTCTGATTACAGTATCAATTGTTATTCTTAGTTCTATAGGTATCACAATTATAATCAAATTTCAAAGATATCTAAAGTCTCAAAAGAAAATTGAAAACAAAATCATGTTAGAAAGACTTGTTGATAAGGATTTCGGGTAATTTTATATTATATTATACTGATAGCCAGACATATAATATTATGTAATTTATCTCTTCCAAATAAATCAAAATCAACTTTAATTTTTTTTAGATGAAAATTTTTCTATCTGAACACAAAAAAGATGTTAATGGATTCACTCGATATACAAGGCATTTCAATCTTTTTTGTCAGTACATTTATTGGTGAAGAAAGGATGTTATTAAATTTAATATTTTGAATGACATTTTTTTTTCAACAATTATGAAATAGCAAAATTCCTTTAAAGGGAATAAAAGCAATTTCATAAATCTTTTTGGTGATGAATATTAATGAATACTCTTTAAATATCAATCCATTAATGCCCCATCGATACTATACAGCATTTAACAGCTGTAGTAACAATGGTGCGCGTGGTTGTATTTTCTATCAGCAGCAAGGCGAATTTGCTCATGATCGGGTCTGCAGTTTCGCTTCTAAAGTAAACTCACAAACTGCATAAGGTGTTTACTGTAAATTCTTTGTTAGTAATACCTTCAAAAATTATATTTATGATTCCTCTATTAGTAAAAACGGAGATGAAAGTTTTCTAAGAATTAAAAATCTTTAATCGTTTTTGCGCATTTTTGCACCCCATGTAAAACCCAAAATCCGAATTAAATTTTTCATTTTCAAACGAATTTTATAGAGAATTTTATGAAGTTGATTCATTTTCATCAGAATCAAATTGCTCATTTACCACTTTTTTAATTCAACAAATAAGGGTTATAAACTCCACCATTCAAATTCTCAAATAAATTTTTAAAATTCTAAATTGTTACATTTTAAATAATAATGATGGTGAATTCTTAAGGCTCTATCTCCTATTATAGTTTATATCAAAAATAGTAGTTTTATAAATAGCACTAATAGTGATAGTTATAATTATTTTGATGGTAAAATTACGTTAGATGGTTATTGCCTTTATAAATATAATCATAATTGAATTTGCTCATAATCTTCCTCATTTTTCAACTGCATTTTGTCATGCAGATATTCCTATTATTTATGAAATCAAACAAAAAATTCAACATAGTGAAAATATTGATTTGCTTTGTGTTTTTCTTTCATCACTAAACATTTCGTTTAAATCTTATTATCTGTAAATATATTTTTTTGAAAATATTTCTAAATTATATAATCGTCTTTGAGCATAGCATCTGCTCATATAAATAGATAAAATACCAAACTTATATAATAAAGATAAATTTATTTCCACATGTTCATACTTTGTAACTTTCGATGGGGAAATTCGCTTTCTTTATTCCTTTATATTTGACAATCAAATGAAATATGAAGAGTAGCTTTTCCATTATTACTCTTCGCAATGAAATCTGTATCATGTAAAATAAAAAAAATCGGCCATTTTTATAATGTTTATTTCTGCTGCACAATGAAGATAAGTTTATCCTCAGATATCTGTCGATCTTTCAAAATTATTTCTACCATATTACCTCTAGAGTTAAAAAAAATTCATAGAAAATATTTAATAATAAACAAATAATATAATATTTAATATATATTCTAATGAATTGAAATAATTTTGTCTTATCAAAATCATTATAATAAAAATTTCCGCAAGAAAATAAAAGCCAAAATAGTAAGAAAAATGAGTGCCAATGTATTAAACATTATAACAAGATCAGACGAAAATTTAGCAGAATCAGGATTACTCTTAAGAGCACTAATTTGACAGAATTTATCAAACGAATACTTATCGCCGACTAAGATAGAAGTGCAATCGATGCTCTTCAGCCATTCTTCAGTGTTTGGATAGCATGAATATGTTGTTTCCGTGTAGAAAATAGCTGGACTGATGGTATCAACAAAAGAATTATTGAAGATTGTTACATATTGGTACAGTACGATATTTTGGATATTTGTACAAAGGGAGAAAGCATTAGGCATAATGAATGCATTATCAAATATCTCGACTATTACTAGATTCGAACAGTTATAGAATGCATAGCCATCAACAACTGTATTAGAGTTAATTATAACTGTTTCAATACCGCTAGAACAAAACGCGAAAGAAGTTATCTTGTTCAGTGAACAAGGAATAGAAATCTGTTTCAATTTCACGCAGCCAGAGATGCAAAACTTTCCAACGGATTTCAAGTTAAATGGAAGATTTACGTACCGTAATGAAATACAGTTCTTAAATGCATTATCTCCAATACTCTCTAGCTCTTGTGAGAAATGAATTTCTTCTATATTACTACAGTCACTAAATGAAAAAGGAGGAATTGACTTCAATGAATGCCAATATGAAAGGTTCAATATATGGACTGAATTACCTTTTATGGAGTTAAATCCTATTGAGTTAAGCTTAGTGCATCCTTTAAATACAGAAGTTCCAATTGTTGCAATTGATGAAGAAGAAATAAATGAAACTTTGATAAGATTGATGCAATTTTCAAAAGCACTTGAACCAATTTCTCTAATTGTTTCGGGTAATTTTACTTCTTGAATGCATTTATGACCTTTGAATGAATTGTTTGCAATCGAAACGATCTTATTTCCATTCAACGATGATCTTATCTCAACAACACTGAAACAGTTTTTGTTGAATCCGATGACACTCAATTCACTTCCGTTTAGAATATAATCATAGTTATCATGGAAAAATGTAATTCTTGCATATCCATTTCCGACATGCCCTGTGGATATGGTTCCATTTAGTTCTTTGAATTGATTGTTTCCGGCAAGCATCTCTGTATCATGCAAGTAGTATTTTGGTGTTAATTTACATCCGCTTGGGTAGAATTCAGCTGTTGATGCTTTATAAACATAGCCGCTACCTCCACTACCCGCACAACAACCATCGCGAACATTGTCAGGTGGTGGGAATTGTTGAGTACCTCTACAAGTACCGCCTCCGAACCAACCTCCACCACCACCACCAGCTGCGCATGGAGCAGTTGCTCCTTGAAAGAAATCACCTGCGCCTGAAGTTGAGTTTTGTTTGGCAGGGAAATTTCCCCCTCCAGCATAACCCCCTCCATAATATTCAGAATGAGAACCTCCACCACCACCCGCTACAATTACACGTGAATATATGCTATTTTCATTGATTCTGATATCTGTTCCACCTCCACCACAATTACCATAATATGAAATATACTTAACAACACGCTCTGATAAATAATTTGCATGTTTATATTCAAAAATAGCACCTCCACCGCCATTATAACCTCCTTGTAACCATGCTCCAGCACGTTCTCCTCTAGAACCTCCAACTTGGACATAGAAATTTGTGGTCTCTGTTAGGTTTAAATATCCAGCAGAGTAGCCACCTTTACCTCCGCTGCTACCCTGAGCACCCCAAACTTCTAATTTATAGTATCCAGGATCAAGGGACATGTTTTGGGCGCTACCAATATATGGAAAATTATATATTACTTCAAAAATACCAAAAATGATTGGAAATCCCATTATTTATCAATCTCTTACCAGTGAGTCGTGCCTATTATTCACTTTTTGAGAAAGGTCATACAATTAATTATATGAATTTTCTCAAAAAAATAGACCGCTTTTGGGCAGCATAAGCAATTCTCTTTAATTCGGCATAAAAACTAAGAATCGTAAATAAAACATATAAATACAATTAATTCATATGATTTTTATTACATTTTACTTGAAAAACTAAGATTTCCAAATTGAATTGAGACCTTTAAACCAGTAACTTAAGCATATTTAAAAGCTATTATACTCACTATTGCTTGTGACTATTCATTCGATTTTTGTCGCACAGATATTTTCCTTTTATAACCGACTTCATCGTTCAATCCTTTTCAAATAATGAAATGTTTAAAAAGGTCATAATGATCTTGTTATTTACTAAGAAAATTAGCTTCCATTCAGATGGAATTCCCATTTATTATCAATTTCTTATTAAAAAAATGATATTGACTCTTTGAGTTGCACTTTTTTTATTCGAATTTTATGAAAAGTTTCAACTGATTTGAATATATGGTGTTACAAAATAATTGGTATTTCATTTTCTATTTTTTTGCACCATGTGAAATGAGAAATTCATACATTTCTTTAGAATGGTGATCAAACGCCATTTGAAGAGGTGTTTTTCCAAATAGATTCTTTGCATTGACATCAACACCATGAGAAATAAGAAATTTTGCAGCATTCACGTTTCTTATTTGTACTGCCCAATGAAGATAAGTATTTTCTCGGTCATTTGTTAGATTTAAATCTGCACCTTTGGAAAATAGAAATTCCTGTAAATATAAATTATCTCTTCTCATTGCAATGAGAATAGGAGTTTCCCCATAATTGTTTTTTACATCAACATATGCACCATGCGAAATAAGAATTTTGGCCGATTCTAAATTATTATAGTTTACAGCATAATGAAGAGCTGTCATTCCATGAATATCTTTTGCATTGACATTAACTCCGTGAGTTATGAAAAATTCTGCAGTTTTGATACAATACTTCTCTGTTGTAAAATGAAGTGGTGTTTCATCTATTATATATTTAGCATTAATATCGGCTCCATGTGAAAGAAGATATTCACAAAGTGAAGGAATATTAAACATACCTGAAAATATAAAACATTTGTTAATTTCATTAGTCATATCTAAATATACTAAAAAGCCATCCAGATAATGATACCAGCAAAAATATTTGATTTGAGGTTGTAAATTGTATTCATTCATTAAAAATGTAAGAAAATCAATGTTGTGTGAAACAATAGCATATTCAATGCATTGATTATCTGGTTTATATATTTTCAAACACTCACTCATGATGTCTGCATTTCCTCCTAAAAATGAAAGCCGAAGACATTCTTCTGTGATTTTGGCTTCGAAATTTGTGATTAAAAACTTAAAACATGAAACTGATCCGTAATAACAACATAATTCCAGTAATGAATATCTTAAATTTGGATTTGGATATAAATCATTGGATTGCATCTTAGCAAATTTATTAAAGTCATCATTTTCTGTTAGATCCATAAAAGTCATTATGTCATCTTCTTTATGAATATCCAATGAATATTTTTTCAATATGCATAAGCTGTATTTAATTTTATCTTTATCGTTAAGAACAATTCCATATTCTTGGTTGGCAAAGTAATTAAACACAAATGAAATGTGTGGAACTTTTTCAGGATGATATTCTTCATAAATCATTTTGAAAATACGCCAATATGACCTCAGGTATCGATTATTATAAACCACTATATTAGAAATTTCAGACAACATAGCTTCTGCTGAAAAGATTTCTGTTTCAATTAAATTTGTTTTAATTTTTTTGTAAATTTCAGTTATTTCTTCTTCATTTCTCGTTTTTAGACGGTACAATGAAGTCATTGTGTCCATGTAGTCTTTGAACATGCTTGACATCTCATTGTAATCGCATTGTTGATGATCAATCATTAAAATTTTTGAAATACGGTTTTCGGATCAATTAAGTTCAAAATAATCGTCAATGATTTCGTGATATATTTCATCTATTAGTTTATAAAGTTATCAGAATAATTTCGGATCAATTAAATTCAAAATAATTGTCATAATTCACTTCGATAATATAAAGTTTTTAAAATTTTTTCAATGCGATAATATAAAGTGGGAAAGAGTTTGTCACTTTTTGTTAATGCTCAAGCCTTGGCTTTCACATCAAACATTCGATCGGTTTGCAAAAGTTATCATTGATGGAAAGCAAATCGATTTCAAGAGCCAAGAAACGATATTAGAACTGCTTTCGAAGAATAATATTAATATCCCTCATAAATGTCAAGGAACTGGCGATTGCAGACTGTGTAAAGTTCTTGTAAATGGTGTACCTAGACAATCCTGTGAAGTTATTGCTAAAGATGGGATGATAATTAGCACAAAAGATCCAAATATCAAAAATAATATTGAAAACAAAGTTAAAATCTATGCATCCTTTGATCCAGATGTTGAAAAAGCATATCATCTTATCAAAAATCCATCAATGAAGCAACATCATATTGATATAACAACAGGATCAATTCAACTTAACCATGAGACGTGTATCGATTGTTTCAAGTGTGTAGATGTTTGTCCAGCACATGTTTTAACAAAAGGAGACCATCTCCAGACATTTGGATATTTCGGATTGAAAGAATCAGGATGTTTAAGTTGCGGAAATTGTCTTGAAGTTTGTCCAACGAAATCTTTCTCTATAACAGACAATTCCGGGCTCTTTAGATCAGCCATGTCCAAGAAGAATACATTAAAAGTTCTTGTAGCTGATTTATCCATTATTTCGCGAATAGAAGAAGTGTTAAATCTTCCAAAGAATTCCATTGATTTAGAAAATTTTTCAAAATTTTTGAAGAATTTAGGATTTGATTATTTTCTTGACCAAGGATTGATAAATGACTACAAGATCATAAAGAATTCCACAAAACTCATCAACCATTCAACACAGTTCTACCAGAGAACATTTGGATCTTTCTGTCCGACGTTGACAAGAAAATATGTTGAATATGTAATGAATCCAGAAAAGAAAATTTTTGAGTATTTAACATCTCCTGGATTAGATGTAACGACTTTTGTTGTGACTGATTTCCTTTCCAAACGATCTGAGGCTACTTTTTATATGAGCAATCCAGAGATCTTCTATTCTCTTGGTTTAACATCGAATGAATTTTTGGATTTCGTCAAAAATCAAAAGCCTTCATTTGACGGAGATTCTCTTTGCAGAATTTCCCCTCTTGGATCTGAAGAAGGAGCAAAAGCTGTAACATCTGAGAAGTTTGCAAATGCTGTTATCTCAACATTTGTTAAAAATTATACGACAGCAAAACCTCCTCATCTTTCTTTTAACAAAGTTGATGAAGGAATCAAAGTTGCGGATTTCCATATCGGAGCAGAAACAAAAGCTCAAGCCGCCATTATTGAATCTGCTGCAGATGTAGAAAGACTGTTGGATATGAAATTCAACAATCTTATTTACATTTCTCCAAATGAGAAAAATAGAAATATTGATATTAATTATCGCCAAATTCAGAGAGATTATAAGTTTGCTAATGTTAACCCAGAAGCAAAGAGACTTTATTCTAAGTATCTTGAAGAAGTTGACCATGAACTTGCAATGAAAAGGAAATGTACATGTTAAATAAAGCATATATATGATTTTTAACTCCTCTTGTTTAAATATTTAATACACAGACAGAATTCTTAGTATGAACACGAACATCAATTCTATCATATTCCTTAAGTCTGTCATCAAAGTTTAATCTTCATCATTCAAATATCTTATACACGACTTCATCCTCACTATTCATTGTCGCGAGCATCTCTCTCTCTTCATTCTCTGCTTTCATTCTATTGTAAAAATTTAAAATATCATCAATGATTCTTATATTTTATGATAACATTTGATTTCAATAGTTATCCAACTGTTAACTATCCAATAAAGTATACTATACTATATTTGATTTGATTTTAGAGTATTCAATTTTTTGTGAATTTGTATTGCTTCCTATCGATTTTAACTTAATTTAACACGAATTACGAATGAGTGAACAAACAAAAGCAGACACAGATTTTTCATAATCCAAAAATTTATCCATTGCACACATATAACAGAAATACTAATTTCATTTTGATATTAATATACAAGCATAAAAATCTTGTCGGAAATTCTAAATACATATACAATTTAGTTTTGTGTTATAATAGTTTTAAAGAATTCATTTCAAATCAATTAATAGTAATATTTAGTTAATCTCAAAAATATAAATGTTGATTATTAACCCTTTAGAGTTATTTCATTAAATATGATGCTATGTTTGAATGCCCCATTTTGGATGCTAATTTTGCTGAATTCGATCCATCCTTATTTGTTGCTTTTGTATTTGCGCCTGCGGAGACAAGGAATTTAACAATTTCTAAATAACCGCGAGATGATGCATGAAGGAGTGGTGTATTTCCGTCGTTGTCTTTTGCTTCTTTGTTTGCTCCAGCAGAGACAAGATATTTAGTTATCTCAAGATTTCCAACAGTTACTGCAATAATCAAAGGTGTCATACCATAAATATTTTTGGCTTCTATATTAGCACCTACAGAGACGAGATATTTTGTAATTTCAAGATTTTGTCCTGATGCTAATAAAAGTGGGGTCATTCCATTCTTATTCTTTGCTTCTTTATTAGCTTTATTTAAACATAGAAACTTGATCACTTCAAGATGGGAAGAGCCAAAGGATATTGCAATCATGAGTGAATTAGCTCCATTGTTATCCTTTGCCTCGATATCAGCTCCAGCCTGGACAAGATATTTAACAATATCCAGATGATTCTTTCCGGCAGCAATAATTAAGGCATTCAATCCTGTATTACTCCTTGCTTCCTTATTAGCCCCAATTGAGCATAAATATTTGGCAACTTCAAGATGGCCATTTCTTATCGCTTGCATGAGTGAAGTTTCTCCATTATTTTCTTTCTCTTCTATATTAGCTCCAATTGACGCAAAATATTTAACAACTTCAAGGCGGCCATTATTCGAAGCATGAATAAGGGGAGTGGCTCCACTTTTATCTGCTGCTTTTTGATTTGCTCCTGCAGAAACAAGACTTTTAACTATGTCAAGAAAACCACAATTTGATGCCTGAATTAATGCTGTAGCTCTATTATTATCTTTCTCCTCTAGATTGGCTCCAACAGAAATCAGATATTTAACAATTTCGGGGAAATTCTTTTGTGATGCCAAAATTAATGCAGTGAGTCCATTATCATTTTTGGCTTCTTTATTGGCTCCAGAAGAGATAAGACATTTTACAATATCAAAATGGCCAAAAATTGATGCCATAAGCAGCGGTGTATACTCTGGTGCATTCTTTGCTTCTAAATTAGCTCCACAAGTAATAAGATATTTCACAATTTCCAAATGACCAGCACCACAAGCATTGAGAATTGGTGTATTTTTATTTTGAGCGCGAACTTCAATATTAGATCCAACAGAAACGAGATATTTAACAAGTTCGAGGTTTCCTTCTTTGCAAGCCGTAAGCAATGATTCGTATCCTTTTTCGTCTTTCTTTTCTAAAAGGCATTCAATTTGTGATTTTGTGATTTTATTTTGATATCCTCTTGCTGGAATTTCACATAAGAATTTGTATATCTCTGAAAAATTATTCGAGTCCTTATACTTATCTATTTTTGATAAAAACTCTTTCGGAACTGTAATTTCATTAGCTTTTTGTTTCAATAAGTTATTTTCTTTTGATAATTCTGAAATTTGCATTTTAAGTTTCTCAATCTCAGAATTAAGTGAAATTATCTTGTTATTTGATTCTTGCTGCTGTTTTTTTTTTTTTTTTTGTATTTTCGAGCTCACTTTGTAAATTTTGATATGAAATTTTCAGATCTGTAAGAATTGCTTCATATTCATTTATTTTATCTCCCATTGGGCTTAAAACATTGAATAAATCTTTTAATATTCTTATTTTAAGGTATTTTTTCGAATATTTCAGAACTTTAATCGCATCATGCATATTCTGAAGAGTAACATGGGCATTTCGAACGCATAATATTAACTTATGCGAATCGTACATAAGAGATCCTTCTTTTAGAATTGAAACATATTGTTCTGTAGATAATGTTGCGTATTTTAAGATTTTATCTACTTGTTTAATATCATACGTATCTAAAAATGTCCTGTCTTGGATAAAAGTTCCAATATTATTACCAATGTATTCATAATTCACGGTTAGTTCTTGCGCCATTTGACTTTACAAAAATTTTTCTGAAAAAGTCGTAAATTTCAAAATATTTTTATTTTCAGGGTATCCATATATAAATTGCAAATGTTGGTCAATTGAATTAATATTTCTCAATAAAAATACAAAAAAATATTTTCGAAGTTGGCAAATTTCATGTTCGCAGCCTTGACACCACCTTAATTCTTTCTAACAGACAATACCATAATTTTCACTTGATATTTGTTTATTTTATGATGAATCGCACTATAGAAATTAGGTTAAATTAAATTACAGCATAAGATTTAAATGAATTAGATTTAAATTAGTCTGTACAAGAATAAAATATATAAGGAAGATGTTGAAATGGTAATCGAAAAGTAGTGTTGGCAATTTGCTCAAGATGGAGAGTTGAGACTTTAGGATATGTGATAGAGTTAATGCTTGCATTGAAATAACTAAAGTTATCTTCATGAAAGCTAGGTTTGGATAACTAATCTAATCTATATTCGAATTCATGAAATTGCAAGCCAAAAATATTATTTATATGAGTAAGATAATGTGTGGTTATGCTTTTGATGGCAAATGACTCTTGAAATCAATATTTATTCTAAAATGAAAGCAAGAGGTTTATTTTAAGTGCATTAATCAAATGTGTGTCATTTGTAGATAATCATCTTTTGATTTATTCTATAACATTTGTATAAAATTTTTTGATGTTTGATGGATTATTCGAAATATGATAAAGCAGTTAGAATTTTATTCAGTTCCAACCAAAATAATGCTTCTCAATTGCAAGAAGCTAACGATTATTTGCGTGAAAATGAATATTCTCCACAATCCTTTCAATGGGCAATAGATAAACTTCAAACTACAACTGAAAAAACGATAGTTAAGCATGCAGAAATCTTACTAACCCACTGGTGTGCAAATGCATGGGAACAAATTCCAGCAGATTTAATTGACCAACTGAGACAAGCATTATTTCTTTCTAAATTCATGTCAAACAACGATATAGATCAATCCCTACTTAATATTATAGGTACAAGCCAAGTTTCATTCGTTTTAAAAATGTATCCACAATATTGGCCATCATTTTGGTCAGATTTCCTAGAAGTTGCCGATGGAATGGTATACGCGTTCCTCTTAGCACTAAAAGATTACACAAAAGCATTAAATTTACGAGATCAATTACAATATCGTGATTTCAAGAATGCGATGCGCCAGGATGGATCAGATAAGCTACTTGCAGACTACATAATATCAAGGCTACCATCTTACGACAAGAAATGCTTTGAAATCTACATTTATTTAATTTCTTGGATAAATTTCAATTTTATCTGGACAACAGATTCCCTTGAAGTTCTCAACAACACTCTATCAAGTCCAGATACTATTACATACGGAATTCGCTGTTTATCAGCATTAATTGAAAGAGGAATGCCAGATGAAGAAAAAACAAGTTTAATTCAAAGTTTACAGAGGGAATATATCAAATTTTACCACTGTCAGAAAAATTTAGTAAATTTTGCTAACAAAAAATGGTAAGGTAACGGAAAAGTCTTTAAATATTCTATATATATCCATGATCTTTTGCAGGTAGAAGCAGCAATATAATGTGCTATTATCTATATATTCAAACATAGCACTTACAAAAAAGTTCAAGTTATATCTTTTAATTAACAACAAATATTGAGTTATTGGATGAAAACACAGTGTGCGCATATTTTTTGAGTGTACAAAAATTATTTTATATGTGTGTTATTTGAATATCTCATGGTTTTATAGTCGCAATTAATTATATGAGACGAAGTATGTGTGTTTGAACTATTTCTATATATGCATGTGATTTTTCTATAGGAGCACTGTTAGTGTATGTGTGTGTTTATGAAAAAAAGAGTATGTTTGAAAATTATGATAATCAAATTTCTCAAAAAGACGCAATTCTTAATGGGGAATAATAAGCTTATAGTAGCAAAACACATATTGAAAGATCATTAGTTGAAACTAAAATTTTACTCATCAGTATAATCTGATTCATAAAATTTATCTGTAATATTATGTGTATGAATTTTTTTCAAAGAGGTAGTTATAAGTATTGAGTTATATTTGTAGTTTATTGTTGAAAATATTGGACTTGAGATTTATTATATGAAATTTAAAGTAAAAATAAATATGGCGGACCTTCATTGTGAAGGCCTACTATGTTAATGTATAAAAAGCCTATTTTCTTTTGGTTTTGAATGGGGCCATCAAAACAATTTGACGGCCGCGTTCAAAACTAAAAGCAAGTAGGCTTTCGTATATATTCTATTTAAAATATTCGGTTTACTTTATTTGAAACTCGATTTTTCAGGTAGTGCCAAAATTCAGAAGCATTACCTGAAAAAACAAGCTCCAAACAAAGTAAATATCGAATGGCAGCCACATAGTTATATGTGGCTGCCATTATTTTGTAAAATTTTCGTATTTATGAGGATTTTGAAATTTGGTCGCCTATCTGATAAAGATAGGCGACAACTATAATATAAGAATGTTTTTAACAGCCCTATTTGAGTTTGTTCATAAACTCAAATAGGGCTGGGAGTGGCCAGATTCGGAGAACGAATAAGCCATTCCAAATCGAATTTACAAAAAGTGACGAAGATCATAAATAATCGTTATTTCAATAAAAATATTCTTAATAGCAAGGCCATATTATGAATCTTACGATTTTAAACTCCTTTCTTGAAAAGCTTTCACTTTGTAGCAAGAATGTCACATTCGAAATTCATTTCAAGAAAGGAGTTTACAATTGCAATATAATGACCTATTATATTGCAATTGTAAACTCCTTTCTTGAATAATTTCATTTGAATAAATTATAAATGTCGCATTCTATGCAAAACTCTCGATTAACGTTTCATTTTTCATATAAATCATAAATATTCAAACTTTGTCAATATAGATTTTTTAAATTCTTTATTTTTCTTATGAAAATTGCACTTTTTAATTTCAAATTCAGAATTTTGAATATTTTTTGGGAATTTTTATTCAATTTTTGCATAATTTTATTATATTCTTTATATATAATGGTTTTGTACCAGTTTATATTTTTAATTTTTAAATACATATGAACGTTTTTCATTCAATTTTTAAATGAATGTTTTAATGGGATGAGCTTACTGAGCATAGGCTCATCCCATCAAAACATTCCCTTAAAAACTCTGGCCTTTATCGAGGCCAGAGCTCAGAGTCCATCTCCTCAGAGCCAAGTTCCTCGACGGTCATCCTCATTAGGCTCGATGGAAGAGGAACTTGGCTCTGAATGAAATCCATAAGCTCTGGCCCTAGCAAAGGCCAAAGCTTCGCTTACAGTCCCCAGGGCCGGTTTCCCCAAATGCCGCCCTGATCCCGGGCGGCAGGAGAGGAATCCAGCCCTGGGAGCACTTAAATACGAAGCTCTGGCCTTGGTAATGGCCAGAGCCTGCATATTTAATCCTCAGGGCCGAGTTTGAGGGAGATCGTCTACATCATTGACGATCTCCTCTCTTCTCGGCCCTGAAAGAAAGAGATACACAGGCTCTAGCCTCAGAAGAGACCAGAGCCTCGCTTACAGTTCTCAGAGTTGAGTTCCCTGAGATTGTCCAGATCACGGACACTTCTCAGCCGAACTCGGCCCTGAGAAGCATCAAATACAAAGCTCTGGTCTCTTAAGAAGCCAGATCCAGGAAGACCAATCCTCAGGGCCGAGTTTTGCGATGATCGTGATCATAAAGACGGTCTCGCAAGAACTCGGCCCTGAAAGGCTTAGTAAATACAGGCTCTGACCTAATAAGAGATTAGAGCCTCCCTTACAATCTCTACTGCCGAGTCTCAGGAGATCGTCCAAATTTGAGACACGTTTCACTGAGACTCGGCTTCCATAGTAAGATTAGGGCACCAGAAAGACTAGAAGGGGGCCCTGACCTTGAGAAAGGACCCCCTTCCCGGTCTTTCTGGCGAACTTTGCTTCGCATTGCGAGTGTCTGCTGCGAATCCGGGGCTGAGCAGCAGACACTCGCAATCATATATCGCGGCAAGTGCAACTGCGGTGCCAGAATGCACTTGCCGCGACAATTGCGAAATGCAAAGATGATGCCGGAAGGAGTGGCAATACTGGCAAAAGCCACTCCTTCTGACACCAGAAAGACTACAAATATCCTATTCACTTTCAAAATACTTCCAATACTGATTTAAATTTCTATTATAAATTCTTATCGCACTTAAACCTAATGTTATCTACTCAAAACAGCAAAACCCATGTTTCCTATTGTCAACAACATGAACCCTCATAGCTGCCACGCATTAAACCTATATCTGATTTCTTATACAATGAGATTCTTTTCAACTATCTGAGATATAACAAAACCAATAGTGCAAACATTGAGCACAAGATAAACATGATTCAATACAATAAGAATAACAGATCTTTGATCAAATGCGAATAATAACTATCTCAATGTCGAATTTTGTTCAAATAAAATTATATGAAAAACACCTATATACTGTGTTCTGATCATTCATATAAACAATTCAGACAAAGGATCAATATCCATCGATTTAGTAAATTTTGCTAGCAAAATTTACTAAGATTTTTTTTCTTACAAAAATTGGTAAGGCCCCATATAAGAAGATTAATTGAAATGGTTTTTTCTTCATTTTCGCAATTCCAATCTTTTTCTTCATTAAACTCTTCAATAACACCATCCATTATTGTATCAAAGACCGAAGTAACCCATTCACTATTATCTTTTGTATAACAACGTTTCAAAGAATTACAAATACTAATCTTTTCGTTATAGTGATAACAGAATCTCTAGTGAGTCATTCCCTATTGCAATGGATAATGTTTCAATGTATTCTGAGAAAATAATATCATCTTGTGAAAAACATTGTTGATATTCAGTCAAAAGTGGATAAACATAATCAGAATATCCTTCAATGCTTTCGCTATTCACGGATTTTATGAAAAGAAGAACTTTTCTCGCATTATCAAATAAATTTTTGTTATCTTCCATCAAAAATCCCTATAGAAGGCCAATAATTGTTCCTAGTACCTCATCTTGTCCATCTTTGAGGTATTCAATGAAAATTGCTGCGCATTTGAGTAAAGATTCGTTTCTTGTTGAAGCCAAAGTGACAACGAAGTCATTTGTAATGAATTCGTGGATGTTTTTGTTCTTAGAGAGATTAATTAATGCAGATGAAACATCATATTCAGAAAAATAAACTAATTTCTCAAAGAATTCAAAAATTGTTTTTCCTTCAAACAAATTTGCGCAATAAGAAAGGAACGATGAATAAAGGATAACAGCAGAAAGCTGTTGATCGTACTCAAATGGAACAGAAAAGTCTAAAACTTCACTAAATGTCAAAATTGCCGAAATTGAAATTTCATTACATGAATTATCTTTGTAAACAGTGGAGCAAATGAGTAGACATGCACATGTATCCTGCAATGTGTCCGATGATGATATCTTTTTGGCGAAATTTTCATTTATTTCTGGAGATAATTTTTTAATTTTTGAAATTATCTCGGAAATCTTAATAGGAAGGATATCATCAATAACAGATTCGTTCTCAAAATATAATGCCAGCTTTGTATAGCATAATTCGAAGATTAGGACTGAATTTGCTGAATTTATTTTCAAATATTTTTCAAAAAAGTCCAAAATCTTCAAAGAAGAGTCATAAATATTCATTTCAAATATTGTCAATGCAAAACCAACAAATTCTTGAATAATTTCAGGATGATTCGTTGACTTTGAAATTGATCTTAATAAAGAAGCAATTACTGTAATAATTTCTTCATTGTCTGTTTCTATTATTGCATGAATTCTTTCTGGGATCTGTAAACGGGGCCTTACCAATTTTTGTAAGAAAAAAAAATCTTAGTAAATTTTGCTAGCAAAATTTACTAAATCGATGGATATTGATCCTTTGTCTGAATTGTTTATATGAATGATCAGAACACAGTATATAGGTGTTTTTCATATAATTTTATTTGAACAAAATTCGACATTGAGATAGTTATTATTCGCATTTGATCAAAGATCTGTTATTCTTATTGTATTGAATCATGTTTATCTTGTGCTCAATGTTTGCACTATTGGTTTTGTTATATCTCAGATAGTTGAAAAGAATCTCATTGTATAAGAAATCAGATATAGGTTTAATGCGTGGCAGCTATGAGGGTTCATGTTGTTGACAATAGGAAACATGGGTTTTGCTGTGTTTGAGTAGATAACATTAGGTTTAAGTGCGATAAGAATTTATAATAGAAATTTAAATCAGTATTGGAAGTATTTTGAAAGTGAATAGGATATTTGTAGTCTTTCTGGTGTCAGAAGGAGTGGCTTTTGCCAGTATTGCCACTCCTTCCGGCATCATCTTTGCATTTCGCAATTGTCGCGGCAAGTGCATTCTGGCACCGCAGTTGCACTTGCCGCGACATATGATTGCGAGTGTCTGCTGCTCAGCCCCGGATTCGCAGCAGACACTCGCAATGCGAAGCAAAGTTCGCCAGAAAGACCGGGACCGTAGACTTCAACATTTGAAGAATATATTAAAGATAATACTGCACATCATTTGAAAATTTTTGCGATTCATCTTTGAAATTATAACTGCGAATTTATGGACATTTTCAGATAAAAAATTTAAATTATTCAATATGAAAATTTTGACAGAATTGAGCTGAACAAAATCTATTACTGAATTTTAAAATCGAACAATATAAACATTAGATGAAACCTAAATGTATGTTTACAAGACACAAGCTATTCTTAATTCAATTAAAAATTGACAAAATTTTTAATGGATCAAGTTCATTATAAAGTTAGAAAATGGAAAGATTCCCGGCATATAGTTAATCCAGAGATCAAAAAATATCTCCTGGATTCAATACAAGATGACATACCAAATTATTTGGAACTTTTCCAATTAAAATCTTTTCAAACATTTCGCAACTTTCCATTTTTTATATCTCGAGATTTACAATCACATATCAATGCTGTTGTATTAATAGTTTTCGGTGATAATTCAAATGTTTCAATAACTTCAGATCAATGACTAATATGAAATTTAAGATTTGTGTTAATTTAAGAATTAACAATGGAATCTGGTTTAGAAAGATGGAAAGCATAGAGAATCTAAAGGATAAGAGAGATTAAATACAAAATGCTGCATAAAAAGGCAGATCAGTGAGAAGAAATCATGAGGTTAAAAAGGAACATTCAAATTAGAATATAACATTGCATATTACAATATTAATATTAAAGATAATACTGCACATCATTGTGCAGTGATCCATAAATCAATATTAATATCTCATATGATAAAATCTAATATCATATTACAATATTAATATTAAAGATAATACTGCACATCATTGTGCAATTACACTATTTTAAATATTTTCATAAATAATGACTTACAAGTTAAAAAAATGTAGAATTAACTGCATGATCCAATATTGGACCGAATGTATGTTTGAATCTATAACTGAATTCATTAATGACAAAAAAGTGACTCTATAACTGAGTATCTGGCTGACAATATGCCTGAAAGTTTGAATGTGTCTAGGAATATAACTGACAGTTTGAGTGACATTTTGAATGAGGGTTTGGTTGTCAGTATAACTCAAGGTTTGAGAGAGAATATGATTCACAGTTTGACTGACAATATGACTTAGAGTTTGAGTGACAGTATGAACAACAGTTTGGGTGATAGTATGAACTACAGTATGACTGAGAATATGACTGACGGTTTGACAGACACTTTGACTTACGGTTTTAGTTAGAATAAGACTGACAGTTTGAGTGACAATATAACTGACGGTTTGACTGACAATATGACTGTTGATTTGAGTGAGTGTATGATTGAGAGTTTGGGTGACAATATGACTCATAGTTTAAGAGAGTGTATGACTGATGGTTTTAGTGAGAATAAGACTGATAGTTTGACTGACAATAAGACTGACGTTTTGACTGACTATATGACTGACGGTTTGACTGACAATATGACTGAGAGTGTGAGCGACAATATGACTGTTGATTTGAGTGAGTGTATGACTGACAATTTGAGTGACAATATGACTTCGGTTTGACAGACACTATGAATTAGCTTTTTAGTTAGAATAAGACTGACAATTTGAGTGACAATATGACTGACGGTTTGACACACACTATGAATTAGCTTTTTAGTTAGAATATGACTGACGGTTTGACAGCCTCTATGACTTACGGTTTTATTTAGAATATGACTGAGAGTTTGGGTGACAATATGACTCATAGTTTAAGAGAGTGTATGACTGATGGTTTTAGTGAGAATAAGACTGATAGTTTGAGTAACAACATGACTGACGTTTTGACTGACAATATGAGTGACGGCTTTAGTTAGAATATGACTTAGAGTTTAGCTGACAATTGGCTGACAGTTTGAGTGACAATATGACTGACGTTTTGACTAACAATATGACTGACGGTTTGACATCGAAATTCATTCATATATATGTATTGATCAATGCAATCACCCTATTTAATATTATTATTTATCAATTAATTTTTCATTACTACATGCTCTCAATTATTATGACATTAATATTTATCAATAAATATTTCATTACTATATGCTCCCACCAAATTTGACATTATTGTTCTTTGACAAATTTTTCTTTATTAAAGACACTCTCACAAATTCATATCAATATATTTTAATTATCACCTATTCCAATCCATTTTCATATTCATATTCTTATTGAGTTAGAATAAATTGAGGATGACTGAGAATCAAATTATAATTAGTGAGAGTCAATTGAAGAATATTGTGAGTTAATTAAGGTTGTTTAAGAATAAATTGTGAATAAGTGACAATCAATTGAGGATGAGTGAGAATCATTTGATTATTAGTGGGATTCAACTGAACATCAGTGAGAATCAATTGAATAATACTAAGAAGAAATTGAGGAAGAGTGAGAATCACTTGATTCTTAGCGAGAATCAATTAAGGATGAGTAAGAATCAATTAATAAGTAGTGAGAATCAATTTAGGGTGACTGAGAATCAATTGATTCTTAGTGAGAATCTATTGATAATTAATGCGAATCAATTGATTATTTGTGAGAATCAATTGATCAGTAGTGAGGATCAATTGATTATTTGTGAGAATCAATTGAAGATGAGTAAGAGTCAATTGAGGATGAATATGTGTCTATTCTGATATGACTTAGTATCTACTGAGGCTAGATGCTAACATCTTACTTTTATGATCATAATTTTTCAACTCCATTAATATTTATAACAATATTTTGATTACTATTTAAATAATTTTATCAAATGATAATTATTAACATATATTAAGAGTATGTTTAATTTTCAACATACTCTTAAAAATCCGAAATTTTAAAAAAGTGACAATTTTTTTAATGCTAAACCATCTTCATCTACCATTAAATGTTTCGGATGATTTGATTTTAATTCAGTTGGGTTCTATTAGATGTAATAGTGTAAATTCTGATTCAACAATTTATCCAGATGGGTATATTTCAAAAATTTTATATTATTCTTCCAATAAACCCTATCAAAAAGAATGGTATACAAATAAAAATAACTTATCAAGATGGTAAACCTAAATTCACTGTTTTGGATTCATTATCAAATGCATATGTCGGAGATTCACCATCATATCCTTGGGGACAAATCGTTTCAAAAATCAAAGAATTAAACAGAAATATTAAGAATGTATATAATTTTGGACATAAATTATTTGGATTTGAAAATAAATCTATCATTTGTTATTTGGAGGAACTCAAAGAGCGTTTTATCTCGAATAGCGATGAAGTAAAGTATCTTCAAACATATGAAACAACACCTAAATTTCAGAAATCCGCTGAAGCTTTTACAGAAATGGTAAATATGATTATAAGTGAAAAATATTTGCAAACAGATCTCAGTCAAATTAAAATCAAAATCCATCGTCTAGGGGAACAATATATTCTTAAATTTTTAGAAGCATTTATAATTGCCCGCCCCAAATTTTATGCACAGGTTATAGGTTTCTTACAAAATTTTTCATTTGACCAGGAATTATACTCAAAAGCAGGAATTTCTAAACCATTAATACAAGCAATAATTAATGGCGATAAAAGATATTCGAATATTTTTGCTTTTTCAGGAAAATCGTGTGATTTAACAATCGAAGATTTTATTAATGTTTTAATTTCAGATCAAACAAATCAAAATGGTGAAGAATATTATCAAATACGTATCAGATCTATATTGGATAATAGTAAATATTCTTTCTATGAACTAGCAGTTAAATTTGAATCAATTAATATTTTAAATTCGTGTAATATAGATAATGTTACACCAATCATGAAAGCATTGATAATGTCAAGCCCAAACGAAACAATTTTCAAAATGAATGATAAATTCAATTTGCAGACTTATCAATTTACAAACCAAATCAAGTATGTTTTATCTTTTGCATACAATATCTCAGAGTTATTTTCTACATTTAGAAATCCATTACTCTCTTCGATTGTTTCAACAAATAATATTATATCAGTAATGAATTTGAATGAAAGCAAAGTTATTCGTTTAAAGATTCATTTAATCTTCCATGAGGCCCTAATTCAAAATAATGATTTTATGTACAAGAACTTTAATGTTTTGAATCAAATAAAAAACAATGACCTTCTGGAAAT